CAGTGGGAAGCTGAAAGACATAAACCAATCGATATTTACTGTGAGATCTATCGAACACAATTTCTTCCATGTCTTGTTGCCGCCTGAAGAATCCAAGGACCATATCAGTTGGGCGGGGCCGTTTATCTCAGAAACGCACAAGCGATTATCGAGGATGCACATGGTGTCGCCGACAGGGTCACGTTCATGGAGGAAGGGAGCTTTACATGTGACTTGAAAAGTTTCAGTGTGAAGATCAAAAGATAATATCTTGCATTCTGTACCCTCGGTGAGCCAATGAAGTGATCCATCAAAATACACGGGATCTTGGTAATCATTTATCCGACAAGGAGAAGCAGGATGAACGTACCTCCAAGCATTGGTGCTAAAATCGAAAACTTCACAAGTGGTACTGGTAGCATTGTCGAGGCCAAACTCGGATGAATTATATAACCAAACCTGCTTAAACGTGCCCTTGAGTTTGTCTTTACCAAATCCAAGCTTAGGAGTTGGGTAGTCATACTCTTGTTTATCAAATTTGTCGATGAGGAACTGTTGCAAGTTGGAAAGAGGACAACTTCGATGCAATTTAGTGGCGGGATTCACCACGATATTCGGCGAGTAAAAGCAGTAGATGCATACCAGACCGTCACAACTACCATAGCAGAGCAAGGTGTTCCAAGTAGGGAATCTGAACGTAGAAACTATGGACGAACCAAACACAATTCTCCTCTCCCTCGTAGCTTCATCATCACCATTATTATCATCAGCAAAGGACACTACAAGAACATCAGGACCTCGGGATTGCATACGACGGATCAACTGTCGTTCCTGGAAACACCGGGACTCGATTGTGGATTTCCACTGGTTGGATACAGACTTGAACCTCAGCAGAGATTCCACAGGAAGTCTCTCGAGGATGAGCCCAACAACATCGTGTGGTAGCAGCAATTTCACCACACTAGAGCGATGTCTTTTCAAAACCAAACTAGAGCCATGTCTTTTCGATCCAACAACACTCGAGCGATCTCTTTTCAACATTGTCTTGTGTCTCTCTAATTGACCAACAGAAGAATTAAGCCTACAAATATATATACACACAAACACGAGCTGAGCTAGGAAATCGAAAAAAGAGGAAAACTTCCATTAACGAAATGGTAATTATAACTCTCTAATCTCTCTATCATTGTGTTATTTTAAATCGTTATCGGATAAATATTAAAAACCAAAAATCTCAAACCAAAATAATTACGGATTTCGTCAAATCAAAACACAATCACAGAAGATAATAGAAAATCATAACAACTACAGTGAAGTACCTCACGAAATGATTGAATCAAATCAAATCCTTCCTCCTTTAGAGCTTTATCAGGACTCAGGAGTCTGATTTCTCTGTCTCTCTCCTTAGAACAATATTTTATTCCATATGAGATATCGATGCTCTTACCGGCGGATGAGAGAATCTCGTCGGAAACTCAGACCAAGTTACACCTGTCCTGCAACTTCTTTGCGACCCTATCTTCCTCTCTTTCTTTTGGGCTTTCATTTTCATTTGGGCTTTCATTTTCATTTGGGCTTTGAACCCATAATCCTTTTTCTTTGACACGTTAAAAAAAAAAAAGTAAAAGAAATCCGTAAACTCCGGTCCCAAAAATAAAAGAAAAAAAACCTTGATTCTTGACATGATTCAAAAAATGCATTGGAAAAGTTTTGAAGTCCAAAATCTGATATAGTAAAGTAGATTTGTCCAATCATCCCCTAAATAAAGAATGTTGAATGTCAAGCAGGAAGCAGGACCGGTCAATGGATATGCCGGAGAAATTGGAGTTATTGACTGAAGCCGCCGAGGATTTGTGTCTCACGTTTGGATTGTATTAGGATGGACCAGAATTTAATGGCCCAATCTTCTAAATATGTTGAAATCAAAATAAACATGTACTAGATGTCAAGTTGGCCCATGCTTGAGATTTTTTTTTTTTGTTTTAACATCTTCAATGTTGAGAATTTATGTACTTTATTTTTATTTTGTAATTCCAATCTGTTGCAAATGCCATGTTATATACAGTTGACGGAAAAAAAGAAGCATGTTGTTGTAGTTATGAACAATGCATATTGATTTGATTTGATTTGTTTTATTATTACTGGGACTAAGGATCCCCGCGGGGAAATATAATATTTCACAAATTGTTTAAAAAAAATATCAATCGAAAAATTATAATGAATTGTAACAATTTAATTTTTTTTTAATATCAAATCAATATATATATATATTTATTTTACGAAAATTATGATAAAGATAACCTCACAAGCATTTATTAAGTATATTAATATTAGAAAATATTAATTTATAACTAAAAACTATTTCCAAGTACAAAAAAACATCAAATAATAAACCAAATGTTACAACAATTTGATAAATAAGCCAAAATGTTCATTGGTTCGTCAAATAAACCAAATACTACTTCGCTAAATTAAACGGTAGAAACAAATCATTTAAATATATATTAGTAATTAAATATTTTTTAAAATATGACGAACTGTAACCGAGAGACGTGACCGAAGATATCAAACATACCAAAAGTTGCAACGGTTCGTCAAATATACCAAATGTTGTAATGATTCATCAAAAATACTAAAGATTACAATGGTTTGTAAAACAAAACCAAAATTTGCAACAGTTCAATTAAACAGTTACAATTTTATTTAAATACATTTTAGTAGTTAGAATTAAAAATAATAATTTATAAAAATTTACATTAACGGTAGATGATTAAATGTTATAACGATTTATTTTTTTTAATTGTAATTTGTTTGTAAAATAAATTAAATGTTGCAATGGTACATCTAAAAGGATGCAACCGTTTTATGAAGAATTACAATAAAAAGATGCAACCGTCGAAAACATTTACTCGGATTGCAACTTTTTCAAAAACATAACATTTTTTTTGAAAGAATAAACGAAATGTTACGATATATCAAAAGTTACAAAGACGGTTCGTCAAATAAACTAAAGATTACAACGGTTCGTAAAACAAAACCAAAAGTGGCAATGATTCGTCAAATAAACCAAATGTTGCAATGTTTCAATTAAACGGTTACAATCTCATTTAAATATATTTTGTTAATTTAAAATTTAAAATTTAAATAATAATTTATGAAAAGTTATACCGAGAGACGCGACGGTAGACTAAATGTTATAGCGATTTATAAAATAAATCAAAAGTTACAATTGTTCGTGAAATAAACTAAATATATAAACCAAAAATTGCAATTGTTTGTAAAATAAGCTAAATATTGCAATGATACGAATAAACGGTTTAAACTGTTTATGAAGATTTACAACAAAAAGACGAAACCGTAGAAGACATTTGGAATGCAATTTATAAAACAAAACATAACTGTAAAATATATATTTTGATTTAAAAAGAATTAACGAAAAGTTGTGATTAAAAGATACAACCGTTCATAAATTTTGTGCAAAAAATATTTATTGAGATTGGTATTATATATGGATTATTTATTATTTACTTATTAATAAGGACTTTTGGGCGTGACAAATCATAAAAGTTTTTATCAACATAAATAAGCGAAGAGCATTATATTTCCAGTAAATAAAGTGAATATATGTATACAAGTGTTTCGCATAATAGTCCTTTCACATGTTTTTTAATTTAATTAATTGGAGAGGTTGAGATATCTTTCTTTTCACAAATTCTCTACTAAGATTAGACACTCTATAAGCAATGTTTACACTCTATTAGCTATATATATATACATATAATAAAGAAATGTTTGAAACAGTGATATTGTAGATGGGCACGTCTCTTACTTTCTTTAGCAATGAAATAACAAAAGACATACAGTATAGTTTAACTAACCAATGACGTCAAAATAAAAAAAAAAGTTAAAACTTTGAGTTAGTATATATAATTTGAAGAAGCATAGCAAGCTAAAGCTCAAATAGACAAGTTTCATGTAAATGTATATATGCAATACAGAAACTTCTACAAGCGGGCAACCATAATCTCTATGAGCAGATACAATTATTTCACAGCATCGTTTTTATGTTTGTAATCTGTTCTTCAGAATTCAAGGAATACAGTTTTTCTCTCTACCCATATCTAGAAAAAGTAATCATAATTCATACATAGACTTCGAAATTCGAATCTTTGGGCAGTAAAGATATTTATAGAAAGAAGAAACTAATTACTATTATTTAAAAAAAAAAAACTAATTATTACCTATATGGCTATATCATAGGTGTTTTCTTAAAATATATTTATTGCAAGTTGTTATTTGTAATTGTTTTTTTTATCTTTTCTCATTCTAATAGTATATATATATATATATATATATATATATATATATATATATATATTCTTCCCTAGTAGTATATATTTATGTTAAGTGTTGGCTAAACTTTATTGTTGATTTACTTGTGTCTATATATCAAATTAAAATTTGTCTGAGTATTAGAAAAAAAGCATTTACATATTGTTAGCTTTTTCATCAAATAAAGGTCTTCGAGAATTTAATTTAATCCAACTAAAATTTTCTGGATGTTCAAAAAAAGAGGCCAACTAATGAAAGTTTTTATTTTAATTAATTGGAGAGGTTGCTATGTATTTTATTTTCATCAAAAAAATTTTAGTTTATCGATTATGTGAAAAAATTTAATTCAATTTTGAGTAATTGGAGAAAAAGTTAATTATTATAGTTTAATAGACTAATATTGAATATAGTTAATAATTAGATCATCCTAAGGTGCCGTTGTTTAGCAACTGTATTATTGACAACACCACATTTTATGAGAAGAAAAAAGTTAGGACCGATAGATTATCTAATTATTGTTCTTCTCATAAAATAATTACAGTATTTGACATTAATTCATTTTGTAGGGGATTATCTAATTCAAATGTTGGTTCAAGCGACCGTTAATTTCACAACGTCTCTTTTTTTAAAATTATAAAAGGTCGGTCTCTCTCTCTTTCTATAAAAACAATCACATCAAAATACTGTTCATACGTCTCTCGCAAGAAACCACTGTTTGCAGAATTCATCAGACCCTAAATCCTCTAGGCTATCTAGGTAATGATATTACTATAATTTTTCTTTTTTTTTCTTTGTATTGCGACAATCTCTCTCTCTGTTAATCATAGTATCACTCCGATCTCTTTATCTGAAATTGTTTTTTTCATCATCATATCAGATCACTGTTCATCATATTATCTTTCCTATCTCTCTATCTGAAATCGTTTGTTTTATCATCACGTCATAATCACTGTTCATCATCAATCTTGTTTTTCAAAAATCACTGGCTGAAGAATCACCAACTCGAAATCTTCTAGGGATATTTTTATACAATTTCTTCGTCTTGTTCTTGTTAATCGCAAGAATCTCTGTTCACATATTTCATCATCTATGTCTCCTCTGTCTTATTCGTTTCATCATCATCACATCTCGCAGGATCAATATGGAGAAAGTTGTCAGATTTCAGGTTCTTTGCCCTCCTTTGAAAGGTGGTTTGCTGAGGGGTCGACAACATTCCACTGTAATGAACATAAGGGCACAAACACGTTCTCGCGTGAGCATAAATCCAGTTATAGGATGGGAAATTGTTACTTTTTCTGCAGTTGAGGTATGAAAGTTCTGTCTGCTTAATTTTGTTGTGTCTGTGTATATTTCAAGTTCTTTCTAAACTTTTTTTCAATTTTCAGACTCTTGAGAATGGTTCACCATCTGTTGATGCCTTACTTGCAATGCTTCCTTACTTCCGTGACTTCAAGTGTGGACTGTATGAAGTCTCGTTACTTGTTGAGGAAGAACAACGTAGCTGTTTGGCAGAGGACTTTCTGGTCCAGTGGATGCAGCAGACTCTAACTTCAATAGTTGTCTCTGAATACAACACATACATTCGTGTTCAGGTAGGTTATGTGTTACAGGATTTTTCAGACGTGTATATTATAAGATTCATGTGTCTTACAAGATTGAAAAGTTTATATGACAAACTCTGTCTTCTTCTTCTTCTCTTTTCAGATCTTTGGAGGAAATCACGGCGTTAGCAATGCACTGTCTCTAATCGTGACCAGTTTGAGGCAAAACGTTTTCAACTGAAAGTTGAAGAACAGTATGAGAGGATATGATGTGAACATAGTATCTGAGCAGGAGCATAGTCAGTTTTTGGTCCTTTTTCTTGTTTTTTGATTTGGTGTGTTATCATCTTCTTCTATTGATAGCTTTCTGTTTTGATGGAACATATAATTACGTTTCGTTGTTATCTGTTTGGGTGTTCTTTTAGTCATCAGTTGCACACTTGTAATGCAAAAAGCAGGGCTTAATACAAAGATTCTTTAAAAATTGAGCCTCATTGTTTGTTGAGTTACTTCTGTCTCTGTCTGATTGATCTCCCTAAAAGACAATAAGCCTTTTTTTTCGTCAACTAAGTTTTGTTGTGACCTTTAAAATGCTAAACTTCCTCTCTGCCTCTGTTTTGTTCTGAGGAATTCAGACATTGAACAACTTCGTACTAAGCTTTATTAACAACCAAACAAATAAGTCATGTAATGTATATAGTTCAGATTAAGTGACCAAACCCTTAGTGTCAGGTATACACATTTCAGTATGGAAACTTTATCGCCCATATATCTCAGTTTGTGTTACATGATTCACAGACTCTGAGACTGAGACAGCACTCTCTTGATCTTGAATCTGTAGTGGACTGGTCACTACTTGTGCTATGTTTGGTCTGTCATATCTTGGTTCTCCTGTTTCCAGCTGAGAGATTTACCACAAAACAAAATTTCAACAAGTTAAAACCACACTGCAGTTGAAATGAACACATAAACAAAGTTAAAGAGTAACTGGAACAAAAATGATGGGTCTTAATGGAAAAATGTCTTTCAGCCCTACCCAGTTCTGAACTTGCAAGACGAATGGAAAGAAACTCTCCTCCGATGGAATATCTTAGTGTCTATTAGCTCCTGCTTCCAAAGCAAAAGTCCGAAATGATGACTTATGGCTCTCTCCGAAAGAGAGAAAATGCAATCTTGCCTTTAGGTGTGTTATCATATACATAAATTGTAATATTTTATTTAAAACTTCATCGTACAACAACCCTGTCTATGTCCAACAGAAGCCTTTGTCTGATAGTACATAACATATTCAATGATTTGAGTTTTTCTATGTTTGTACTCTCTGTTGCATATAATCTATCTACCAGAAAAAAAAACACTTTTTCCGCTACCAATCCCACAACAATGAAAGAAAGGAAAAACAGAGATGCAAAAATGAATGTATTTTTACCTGGACGCTTCCAAACGAGACTTTCCTCTCATATCATCATTAGTGATCAGCTTAAACCTCTACGAAGGCCTCTACTTCAGACTAGGTCTTGTTTTCCCTCAGATTAGTTTTCTCTCCCGGATAAATACATGTCATCAATGTTTTGGGTGGGGGGTCATCTCACCAGTAATCTCCGCACGAACAGGCACCGTTCTTGAAATGGTGAAACCGTTGCATGTCTCGTACTATAATTTCCCGTCCGGTCACAAGGGAAATGTACTTTGTAGCATTGTGACAGTCAGCACAAACCCGCAGGTTCTTTCTTACATGAATAGTTGTACCCGCAGTTGTATTCAAGAGTCCAAAAGATATTGCCAGCTTCTCACTGTGGCTACTCAGTAACTGCTCTTTAACATCATCTTCTAGGCCGAGGATTAAATTTGTGTCAGGAACATAACCAGCTTCTTTGATTTGGCATATCAGCTTCTCAAGAAAAGCATAAATCTTCTTAGAACTGGGATGGGCTGTGCTTCCAGAGAAGAAGCTATGAACTTCGTTCTTTATCTCCACCATACTGCAGCCAGGAGTTTTGCGCAGACCCTGTCTCAACATTGAAACTCTAACTTGTCCCACTTTTTCCCACATTGAAGCTGCACGATAAATGTTTGCAAGAAGCACATGATACCCACCATCTTCCGGGTTCAACTCAAACAATCTCTCTGCTACTTTCTCAGCGAAATTCACTTTTTTATGAATCTGGCAAGCACCTAACATGGCACCATATACATTTACAGCCGGCTTAACGGGCATCTGCATAATAAAGTCCCATGCTTCATTCAACCGCCCAGCCCGACCTAGAAGATCGACCATTGCTCCATAGTGGTCCATCGATGGTTCTATGCTGTAGTTTTCCTTCATCATATGGAAGCACTTGAGTCCTGCCTCCACCAAACCCGAGTGGCTGCAAGCAGAGATTACAGAAAGAAATGTGACACCATTTGGTCTGATGGTGCCTTTTTGCATTTCTTCAAACAACTCCAGAGCAGCTTTCCCAATTCCATGCGTCCCGTATCCATCAATCATAGCATTCCAGGTTGTCACATGACGCTCGCTCATCATATCAAAAATCAATCTTGCAATCATGATAGCACCACATTTCGCATACATGTCGACTAGAGCCGTTGTGACAAACACATTCTTATCCAGACAATTTCGCATAACCACCCCATGAATCCACTTCGCATGATGTGTAATTGACAGCTCTGCGATAGCAGTTATCACACTAACGTAAGTAAACGTGTCTGGTTTCACTGTCCGAGCCTGCATCTGGCTGAAGTAATTCAAAGCTTCGATCGGACGTCCATTCTGTGCAAATCCTAATATCATTGCATTCCAAGAGACAATGGTTCTGCTCTGCAATTTCCCAAACATAGAAGCAGCAGTATCAACTTCCTTGCACTTGCAATACATGGATATCAAAGAGTTCACTACAGAAACATTTCTATCAAGTTCCAACTCAACCGATAACTTATGGATGAATCTTCCTCTCTCAAGGTCCCCTAGGTCAGCACAAGCATGCAAAGCACCCATGACAGATACATCAGTGGGTTTCACTCCTTCGTCCAACATCTTCTGAAAAATTACCATTGCCTCTTTAGGATTCTCATTCTGCACATACGCATCAATCATTGAATTCCATGAAACAACATTCTTTTCTAACATCCCATCAAAGAGCAGTCGAGCAGTTTTCAGAGATCCACATTTCGCATACATATCAACCAAAGCAGTGGCAATATTGACAAGAGAATCAAATCCAGCCCGCATAGCATACCCATGAATCTCCTTGCCAATACTAATCGACCTCAAAGCAGAGACAGCAGGCAAAACAGAGACAATGGTGATAAAACTAGGCTTCAGATTCTCCTCACACATTAGATTAACCATTTCCAAAGCCATCCTCGCCATCCCATTCTGTGAATACCCAGCCACAATTGTATTCCACGAAACCAAATCTCTCTCAGGCATTCTATCAAACACCTTGCGGGCCTCATGTACCTGCCTACACTTGGCATACATATTCTCAAGTCCAGTCATGGCAAACAAATCCAACGAGAACCCACTCTTCACCAACAACCCATGAATTTCCTTTCCCACCCTAAGCTCTGCTTCGTCTCCGCAAACTTTCAGGAGATAAGTGAAGTTATACACAACAGGCTCTACATCATCATACCTCATTCGAACAAAAAATTTCAAAGCTTTATCCAAGTCCGAAACTTTAGCGAGCCCTTTAAGCATGGTGTGATAAAGAACATTGAGTTTATCGTCAATTGGTTCAAAAACACGAGCAGCCTCGTCGACACTGCCATAGCGACAAAACGAGCTGACAAGCTTCGTCTGAAAAAGATGCTCCTGATACAGACCATTCTTGAAGATAAGAGGCAGAATGTGACGAAGCTCTTTCAGAGAAGAACATCTCTCAAGAAGAAGAGCCGCTGGATGCTCGTAGACATTAGCCGGAATATAATTTCTCTGGGAGAGAAAGTGACGATGTCTCGACGAAATTGGCGGGATTTGAGAAAGTGTGGAGACATGCACCAATTGAGAGCTCATGGTTTTGTTCTGCAAAATCAATCCTTTACCAACAATTCCTTCTCTTACAGGTCCAACTTCTTCTCTCGATTTAATATACTTTATCTTCAGTGTCTGGTTTTCATTGAATTGATAGTGACGTGAGCTTATTCCGGGGAAGACGGTGAAGTGAGTCACTCGTCTCAGGTGAATAAGACCAAGTCGTAATAGACGTGCCAATTTTGGTCAATCAAACGTAGAAAGACCGCCATTAATAGAAAAATGATGAATCTTTTATCTTGCATCATCATAATCTTAGAACAGTGCCACTTGACTTGACCTTTCTACCAATATTTGGACTTTTCTCTTGAAGATTTAATCATCACCACAACATTACACAATCACTTAACGCAATTCAAGACCCTACCATTGTTAAATTTTACATTCAATGCTGAGATCTTTGCTATTTATATATCGGTTGTGTTTTGTGTTGTTTCAGGAAATATTAAGAAAATAAAAGCTACACCAAATTGGGACTGTTCTTGAGAGGCTGGTACTGAAGCTATGGGACTTCATGATAGCTTGAGTCCTTTTGTTTATGTTCTTGAACTGTCTTGCTTCTTCTTGAGCGTGTCTCTGGCTCAGGAAAGAACTTTCTTTTCCGGCAAGCTCAATGATTCCGAGACGATAGTCTCCAGCTTTCGCACGTTCAGGTTCGGTTTCTTCAGCCCTGTTAATTCCACAAGTCGATATGCGGGTATATGGTATAACAGTATTTCTGTACAAACTGTGATATGGGTTGCCAACAAAGATAAACCGATCAATGATTCCTCTGGAGTTATTTCGGTATCTCAAGATGGAAATCTCGTAGTTACGGATGGTCAGAGGCGTGTTCTATGGTCAACTAACGTCTCTACTCAAGCTCGTGCCAATTCTACTGTCGCTGAGCTTCTGGATTCCGGAAATCTTGTGCTAAAAGAGGCAAGTAGTGATGCATATCTTTGGGAGAGCTTCAAGTATCCTACTGATTCTTGGTTGCCAAATATGTTGGTTGGGACAAACGCAAGAACCGGAGGAGGAAACGTCACAATAACTTCTTGGAAAAACCCTTCGGATCCTTCGCCAGGGAGCTACACTGCCGCACTCATTCTTGCTGCATATCCAGAGCTCTTCATTATGAACAATAATAATAATAACAGTACGGTGTGGCGAAGTGGCCCGTGGAATGGCCAGATGTTTAATGGTTTACCAGATGTGTATGCTGGCGTTTTTCTTTATAGATTCATAGTTAATGATGACACCAATGGATCTGTCACCATGTCATATGCTAATGATTCAACTTTGAGATACTTCTACATGGATTATAGAGGATCCGTGATCCGAAGAGATTGGAGTGAGGCTAGGAGAAACTGGACTGTTGGGTTACAAGTTCCGGCAACAGAGTGTGACATCTACAGGCGATGTGGAGAATTCGCTACCTGCAATCCTCGGAAAAACCCGCCTTGTTCTTGCATTAGAGGATTTAGGCCAAGGAACCTTATAGAGTGGAACAATGGAAACTGGAGTGGTGGATGCACAAGAAGGGTTCCTTTGCAGTGTGAAAGACAGAACAATAATGGGAGTGCTGATGGGTTTTTGAGGCTGCGGCGAATGAAATTGCCTGACTTTGCAAGAAGATCTGAAGCAAGCGAACCAGAATGCTTAAGGACTTGTTTGCAGACATGTTCTTGTATAGCTGCTGCTCATGGCTTAGGATATGGCTGCATGATTTGGAATGGAAGCTTAGTTGATTCGCAGGAGTTGTCTGCTAGTGGATTGGATCTTTATATCCGTCTTGCACATTCAGAAATCAGTAAGTATTATTCCACAACTTCTCTCACATTCTTACATTGGTGATTGCAGTTATATTAATTCTGCTATTTCTTGCCCAATCTCAAATAGAAACAAAGGACAGGCGACCAATTTTGATCGGTACAATATTGGCAGGCGGTATTTTTGTTGTGGCAGCTTGTGTTCTTCTGGCACGACGGATTGTCATGAAGAAAAGAGGTCAGTGTTTAACAAAATTATGTTTGCTTCTTATAAGGGTTGGAATTTTTAATTTTAACAAAACTTGCATTTGGTGTCAGCAAAAAAGAAAGGAAGAGATGCAGAGCAGATTTTTGAGAGAGTGGAAGCTTTAGCTGGTGGTAATAAAGGAAAGTTGAAAGAGCTACCATTGTTTGAGTTTCAAGTGCTAGCAGAAGCAACTAATAATTTCTCTCTCAGAAATAAGCTTGGACAAGGTGGCTTTGGTCCTGTTTACAAAGTAAGTATGACTCTTAAAGGTTATAGCAATAAGTCTTTCGGTTGGGAAATAGGTTTCAATCATCTTATCATTTTTTGTTGCAGGGGAAGTTGCAAGAGGGGCAAGAGATTGCGGTGAAGAGGCTGTCACGAGCATCCGGACAAGGGCTTGAGGAACTTGTTAATGAAGTGGTTGTAATTTCTAAGTTGCAGCATCGAAATCTGGTGAAATTACTTGGTTGTTGCATTGCAGGAGAAGAGAGGATGTTAGTCTATGAGTTCATGCCCAAGAAAAGCTTAGACTATTATCTCTTTGGTAATTTATTACTATCTTTTGTTCTTAAACTCTGTTCCAATGTTATCACCAGGTCAACTAACAGAAGCTAATGTGTTGTTCAGACTCAAGGAGGGCAAAACTTCTTGATTGGAAGACGCGGTTTAACATAATCAATGGAATATGTAGAGGGCTTCTGTACCTTCACAGAGATTCTAGGCTGAGAATCATTCACAGGGATCTGAAAGCTAGCAACATCTTGTTAGATGAGAATCTGATTCCGAAAATATCTGATTTTGGGTTGGCTAGGATTTTCCCGGGGAATGAAGATGAAGCAAACACCCGAAGGGTCGTTGGAACATAGTAAGTAACTCCATTCAACCATATGTTACATCTTTTTTTTTTCCATTAATATAGTCCTAAAACCGAGAAAATAAATGTATCGTGCAGTGGCTATATGGCCCCTGAATATGCAATGGGAGGACTGTTTTCAGAGAAATCTGATGTTTTCAGCTTAGGAGTGATACTCTTAGAGATTGTCAGTGGAAGAAGAAACTCAAATTCGACTCTTTTAGCTTATGTGAGTCTAGCTTAACTCAGTAAAAGTTTCTTAACTCTCTTGAGGTTTTTCTCAAACTCTAAAACCTCCTCTGTTTTTGTAGGTATGGTCAATCTGGAACGAAGGGGAGATTAATGGTCTGGTAGATCCTGAGATCTTTGACCAACTCTTTGAGAAAGAAATACACAAATGCATTCACATAGGGCTTTTGTGTGTGCAAGAAGCTGCTAACGATAGGCCAAGTGTTGCTACAGTGTGTTCGATGCTCAGCAGCGAGATTGTAGACATTCCAGAACCAAAACAGCCTGCTTTTATATCAAGGAATAGTGCTCCAGAAGCTGATTCCTCTGAGAACGGTGACCTTAAAGACTCTATCAACAATGTCACCATCACCGATGTTACAGGACGTTAGAACCTGCAGAAACCAAAATGTATGTGTAATTCGCAAAACTCTTTAAGCATTGCAAGAGAATATATCATCTATCTATATAGATAGTTATGTCTCATACATCTAGTAATGTACAAGAATTTATGTTTATATAACAACTTCCCACTGTACGAAATTAAATACAAAAATCAAGAATCATCATCTCTTTAAAGAAATTCTCTTATGCTTTTGCTAATCCTTATAGATGCAAGAACCGGCTTCTTTTCTGAAAATTTCCACTTGACTTGACCTTTCACTATAACAATATTTTGACTTTTCTTTTGAGAATTTAATTCTCACCACACCATCAGCTACCAATGTTAAATGCTACATTCAATTCTGAGATCTTGCTATTTAGTTCTTGTTGAGTTTGGTCTTTTTAGGAAAGGATATTACAAAGCAAAGATATATCTAAAATTGGATAGTTTCTGTTCTTGAGAGGCTGGGACTGAAGTTATGAGACTTCATGAGAACGTGAGTCCTTTTGTTCTTGTTCTTCCCCTGTCTTGCTTCTTCTTAAGCTTCTCTTTAGCTCATGAAAGAGCTGTCTTTTCCGGCAAGCTCAATGATTCCGAGACGATAGTCTCAAGCTTCCGCACGTTCAGGTTCGGTTTCTTCAGCCCTATTAATTCTACAAGTCGATATGCTGGTATTTGGTATAACAGCATTCCTGTACAAACTGTGATATGGGTTGCTAACAAAGATAAGCCGATCAATGACTCCTCTGGAGTTATTTCATTATCTGAATATGGAAATCTCGTAGTTAGTGATGGTCAGAGGCGTGTTCTGTGGTCAACTACTGTCTCTACTCGAGTCCGTTCCAATTCTACTATCGCTGAGCTTTTGGATTCCGGGAACCTCGTGCTAAAAGAGGCGAGTAGTGATGCATATCTCTGGGAGAGCTTCAAGTATCCTACTGATTCTTGGTTGCCAAATATGTTGGTTGGGACAAACGCAAGAACCGGAGGAGGAAACGTCACCATAACTTCTTGGAAAAACCCTTCGGATCCTTCGCCCGGGAACTACACTGGTGCACTCGTTCTTGCTCCATATCCAGAGCTCTTTATTTTCAACAATAATGACAACAATGCTACAGTGTGGCGCAGTGGCCCGTGGAACGGCCAGATGTTTAATGGCTTACCAGATGTATATCCGGGGGTCTTTCTTTATAGATTCATAGTTAATGATGACACCAATGGATCAGTCACCATGTCATATGCTAATGATTCAACTTTGAGACACCTCTACTTGGATTATAGAGGATTTGTTATCCGGAGAGATTGGAGTGAGGCTAGGAGAAACTGGACGGTCGGATCACAAGTTCCAGCAACAGAGTGTGACATTTACAGCAGATGTGGCCAATACGCGACCTGCAATCCTCGGAAAACCCTGCCTTGTTCTTGCATTATAGGGTTTAGGCCAAGGAACCTTATAGAGTGGAACAGTGGAAACTGGAGTGATGGATGCATAAGAAAGGTCCCTTTGCAGTGTGAAAGAGAGAACAATAATGGGAGTGCTGATGGGTTTTTGAAGTTGCCGCGAATGAAATTGCCTGACTTTGCAAGAAGATCCGAAGCCAGCGAACCAGAGTGCTTAATGACTTGTTTGCAATCATGTTCTTGTATAGCTTTTGCCCATGGCTTAGGATACGGCTGTATGATTTGGAATGGAAGCTTAGTTGATTCGCAGGAGTTGTCTGCTAGTGGAATGGATCTTTCTATCCGTCTTGCACATTCAGAATTCAGTTAAGTATTATTCCACAACTTTTCTCATAATCTCCCTTAAGTGATTGCAGTTTCACTAATTCCGCTATTTCTTGCCAACTCTCGATTAGAAACACAGGACAGGCGACCAATTTTGATTGGTATATCATTGGCAGGCGGTATTTTTGTTGTGGCAGCTTGTGTCTTTCTGGCACGACGTATTGTCATGAAGAAAAGAGGTCAGAGTTTTACTAAGTTATGTTTGCTTCTTCTAAGCGTTGGATGTTTTAGTTATAATAAAACCTTGGATTCGGTCTCAGCTAAAAAGAAAGGAGCAGATGCAGAGCAAATTTTTAAGAGAGTGGAAGCTTTAGCTGGTGGAAATAGAGAAAAGTTGAAAGAGCTACCATTGTTTGAGTTTCAAGTGTTAGCTACTGCAACTGATAACTTCTCTCTTAGCAATAAGCTTGGACAAGGCGGTTTTGGTCGTGTTTACAAAGTAAGTATGGCTAGTAAAGGGTTGTGGCAACAAGCCAACAAGAATTTCTGTTGACATATTTTTTTGTTGCAGGGGAAGTTACAAGAAGGGCAAGAAATTGCTGTGAAGAGACTGTCACGAGCATCAGGACAAGGTCTTGAAGAACTTGTTACTGAAGTGGTTGTGATTTCTAAGTTGCAACATCGAAATTTGGTGAAATTACTTGGTTGCTGCATTGCGGGAGAAGAAAGGATGTTAGTTTATGAGTTCATGGCCAAGAAAAGCTTAGACTTTTATCTATTTGGTAACTTATCACTCTTTTTTGTTTTCAAACTCTGTTCCAATGTTATCATCAGGTCAAGTAACAGAAGCTAATTTGTTGTTCAGATCCAAGGGAAGCAAAACTTCTTGATTGGAAGACGCGGTTTGACATAATCAATGGAATATGTAGATGTCTTCTGTACCTTCACAGAGATTCTAGGCTAAGAATCATTCACAGAGATCTGAAAGCTAGCAACATCTTGTTAGATGAGAATCTGATTCCGAAAATATCCGATGTCGGGTTAGCCAGGATTTTCCCATGGAATGAAGATGAAGCAAACACCCAAAGGGTCGTTGGAACATAGTAAGTAACTCCATTTAACCATATGTTCCATAAAGATAGTTCTAAAACCAAGAAAATAAATGTATCGTGCAGCGGCTATATGGCACCTGAATATGCAATGGGAGGACTGTTTGCAGAGAAATCTGATGTTTTCAGCTTAGGAGTGATACTCTTAGAGATTGTCAGTGGAAGAAGAAACTCACATTCAACTCTTTTATCTTATGTGAGTCTACCTTAACTCTACTAAGTTTCTCAAACCTCTTCAGATTTTTCTCAAGCTATAAATGCTTCTCTGTTTTATAGGTATGGTCAATCTGGAACGAAGGGGATGTTAATGGTCTGGTAGATCCTGAGATTTTTGACCAAATTTTTGAGAAAGAAATACGCAAATGCGTTCACATTGCGCTTTTGTGTGTGCAAGACGCTGCTAATGATAGGCCAAGTGTTTCGACAGTGTGTTTGATGCTCAGCAGTGAGGTTGCAGACATTCCAGAACCTAAACAGCCTGCTTTTATGCCAAGAAACGCTGTTTTAGAAGCTGAGTTCTCGGAGAGCAGTGACCTCAAAGCCTCTATCAACAATGTCACCATTACTGATGTCTCAGGACGTTACAACCTGCAGAACCAAAATGTATGTGTAATTCGTGAAACTCTTAAGCATTGCCAGAGAATAATATATCATATATCTTATATAGATGGTTATGTCTCATACATCTAGTATGTACAAGAAATTTCGTTCATATAACAAATTCCACTGTACGAAACCAAATACAAATTCAAGAATCATCATTTCTTAAAAGAAAAATCTTTTAAGCTTTTGCTAGTCCTTATAGGAGGAAGTTCCACAGATGCAAGAACAGGCTTCTTTTCTGAGCTTTCATGCGCAAGAGAATGATGTGTGGAAGTTTCAGCTTCTTGGTGTTGGGACTCAGGATCCCAAAAGTGGTGTTCATGATGACCATGACCAGAGTGTCTAGGAGAAGGAGAATTCGGGTAACTTTCAACGCTCCGGTTATTGAAATTGTGAAGGAGATGGATTGGAGATGAGCCATGTGTTGGTGTGGTTGGACGGCTAGAGAAAGGTGTGTTGGATTCCGAGTGTCTTCCGTGTTTAGTCTCGCTCTTTGCAGTGCGATGCCACTTCTTTAATGCCGTGGCTACTCTATCGTTGAATACTGTTGGCTTCATTTTAGAACCCATCTACACACAATTTCCATTAAACACAGTGTCAAAAAACTAAATATCATATATCCAAAATCTGGTATCGATGTAACGCTTATGTTGTCTAGTACCTGAGTAACAAGTGCATAGAGTGGAAGAGTCACATAGCTGCAAAGTATCTGTACAACAGCTCTGCAAGATTTATAAAAAGGGTTATTATAGTTGAAAGGACAAATTCTCATAATCAACAGTCAAGATAATTTTAGCTTACCCAACTACAAGTCTAATGACCACATCTGCAGTGCTTTCATGGAAACAATTATTGAGATTGAATTCATACTGAAAATACAGAAAATTTATGACATAACAATTAGTATGGCCTGAAACAGCGATGTTTTTGAAGAAAATGAAATGGCTCGCTTACCGTACTCCAGGCAAAGAAGGCAAGTTGAAATGCATTCTGCAAAGTGAAGAAAAATTTTGGTACTCATGAGTTTTATTCTACCGTTAGGTGAAAAAACCGAAAAAGATCGAATAAACGAGCGGTGAAGGATATAAGTATTCTACCGTAAAAAGGACCAAGTGGATAAGGAAAAGAATGAACCGTGGCTTGCCAAACCAGAAGAGGTCATCACCAGGCTGAACCACTGGGGCCCCTCTCACCACATCACCTTTCTCTTGGATTCTTAGACCCAATTTTGTTATTATGACTTCAAGCTTTGTTCCAACTATTAGAATTACCTGCAGTTATATTCTCATTCTGTTAAAAACTGGCGGCAAAAAAGACCAAATCGAAGAAATGTTTTATCGGTTTAAGAGTTAATTGTACTTACGACTAGTGGAATGAATGGTAACCAGAGGTAAGAACGTAATCCTGTTTCAAAAGAAAACTGATTTCAGTTTTGTGTGACTATAGATGCAGCTATGATGTAATTTTTGCGGTAAGCAATGAACGTTACCATGTGAATTGGTCAAGAGGAATAGCACAGCGACAAACCAGATAACCGGACTGCATAAAGTTGGCGAAGATATAAGACAAAATTTCCAAATTGGCTTTGCTAAGACTAAAAAAAAAGGATCATTATAAGATCCAAACCTGATTTCAACAACGGTTTTGAAGTCTTTCTCTAATGATCTCTGAATATACTTGCGGAAATCGTAACTTGATTCGTTACCGGGAGCAAAATGCGCCTGAATAATGTAGTTAGATCATTGTCTTGAGAGATAAATGTTATAATCAACGATAGAGATAAAAAGAATAAATTGCTTACCATGATGAAACCATGTCTTAGTGCAAAGTAATCAACTTTGGTGACAGATCCAAAGAACTGTCTGAAAAAACACACAGTCCATAGTGTAACACTCGTCTTGCTCCAGAAATTGAGATGTCTTCTCCCAAAAGATGTGTCCCTCGCAAACCTAAACCTCTCAGGATCTGCATAACAAGAATTATCCACCGTAAATCTCCCATTCCGGTCTTTAAATTTTGTCGGAAATACTCATATTTACAGACCGTTGGAATACTGATACTCTATTGTCTTTGTCTCCTCCTCCCACGACTTCCACCTTCTCATCTGCAATACTCAAGAAAACAAGTATAAAAATCTTTTGCAAACACTCTTTCTTGATTCTCGCCTAAGAAACTGCGGAAATCACAAGAAATGTTACCTTGATCTTTCCGAAAGCATAAGTAACAATGCAGTATATAACATGAACAACCGCGAGCACGAAGATGAATATATGCAGCTGGTGGATTCCATAAGCAGATACAAAAGCCACTTTCCCCTGAGTAAATCCATCAATCGCAAGATCGGTTTAACAAGCAGAGAATGATTTTTATATATATAAAAGGGAGATTATTAGTTACCTTATTGGCGCATTTGTCATAACCTTTGGTGGCTAAACTTCTTCTATGGATATAAGAGTCAGCTAACTCAAGAAGAAGTCTTCGACCGGGTTTATCTCCATCTCCATCTTCTTTCTTTCCGGTGTCTTTCTTGGCGTATTTTTCAGCTTCTGCAGCGGCACTGCAAGGGTGCATTGTATCTGCAACATGCTGGGGGATGCAGATTTTTGAGATTGGTGTTTGTCCAACTGTGAGCAGTAGTGATATGAATCCCAACAGCATAAGCTCTAAAATGAAGTTTAAGTATAAAAAAATCAGGAGCTTGTTAATGGATCAAGTTAAGCAGAAAAAAAGATAAGAAGCTTGTTAATAATGAATGGATCAAGTTAAGTAGACAAAGATAGTTTACCTGCTTTGACCTTTTCAAGAGCTTCAAAAAGAGCATGCTTATGCTTCTTTTTAAACCACTGTTTAGGTATAAAAAAAAGGAAATTAATGAGCAAAGATTTTCGTTATTCACAGATTTAGTAATGATAGTGATAGGAGAAGAACTAAACAAATGAACACGAAACAAGGGAATCTTGAAACAGAGCAAGAACACGAAACAGGGGAATCTTGAAATAAGGACAAATCTAAGAGAGACTTACGGTTCCAATTTTGTGAATCGAATGTTCGAGGACAATCGAAATAAAGAGTAAGACGAAGCAAACAACAGCTACTGCCCACGTAGAGGTCTCCTCTAAAGTCCGCTCGTTTACTTCATTTGCCATTAGAGCTTAATCCTAAGAAAAACCCCAAATAAGACTCTTCTCTTTCCAGACCAGAGATCTTGTCTTTTTATATATAATGATAAAAATAGAAACACACGGAGAGAGAGAGAGACGGTCAGAGTTTCGTGTTCATCTTCTCTTTATATTGAATTAGTAGGCTACGCAATTTTGAAAATCACAGTTAGGTCATATCATAATATATATAGAGCAGACGAAAGAGGGAAGAAGAAGATAAGACCCGCAATGAGAGACTGTAAACAAAAGATGGCCTATTCGAGAAAGCTTCAACGTTTTTGACTTTTCAATTATTGTTCCTCATGTGACGACGACGACGACGACTCTCAATAATTCTTTTGGTCTACTTTATTTTGATTTCTTTATTGGGTTAATCATGTTTTATTTCGATTTTAAATCTATAATTAATCATAAACATTTTGGTTCAACTGGTTTGGTTTTCGGTATAAACTTTTCAGAAAAAAATAATAATGTAAGAACTGATAAGCAAATTTGAATTCATTAGTCGTGTAGTTTTGTTCGAGTATTTTTTTGTTTTGTATTATAATCTGTTTACTTTGGTTTTATAAAGCTAAAAAGGAATATCAAATACTTGAGATTATAAAAATAAGAATAACATTACTATAATGGGATCACTCGTTGGAAAGTTCGTCATCTTTACTAGACTCATTACAATTTTTTGTCATTTGTGTTATTTCAACATATTACAATTTAATATCACTTAAAATTAACATTAGCAAAATCAATAAAATTAATAAGACATATTTACAAAAGATATAATATATATACATTTATATATTAATCATACATATTGTTACGAAAATTATACAGGAAGATTCTATTTTTTTTTTTCAATTTAACTAAATTTATAAATATAATATCTAAAATATTTATTAGACTTATATAATATCAATCAATATACGAGTCAAAATAATTTCAATACGAAATCGATGGTTCAAATAAAATGAAAAGTATATTACTTGTTTCGTAATACACAAACAAATTTCAGATTTCGGCTAATAATACAGTAAATTTAAATAATCATTTTATATGCACATAGTACGGATAAACTACCTAAGTTATATTTAAATAATATAATACTCAGTTAATATAAATCATATATTATTTGAATGCAAATAAAATATAGATATTAGATACCTTTCGAGATTTATAACCATGCTCCTTTTTTTTGTATACCAAATGTAGTTTTTCTATATCAATTAGGTATACAATAAATTTCAACCATAATTGCTACTTGAAATTTGAAAATGATGCTTTTTTTTGTTACAATTTTGAAAATGATGCTTTCCACCAATAGATGACCGGTAAGTAAAAATGACTGATAAGTTGAAATAATATAAGTCGACAAAACATTATTTTGAAAGCTACATTTGATGATGTGATTGTTCTTTTATCTACAAAAAAAAATCAGTATCTAAGTTTACCATTTACGTGGGTTAATGTATTTTCTTGTTAATATTCTAGATTTTAGTAAATTTTCTTAATCAAATATATAAAAGTTTTATCATCCATCTACTATCTCCAATGTTTAGTTGGTGGGTGATTGATTTTCCTACAGCCGTAAATTTATAATTGTAATTTATTACATTTAGATGTAAGTATGTAACTAAAATTGTAAATATATTATTGTAGCCAAAATTTTAACTATTAAACTAATTACATAAATTAGTTTTTATTTTGCTCTGTTATGAAACTATAAAAAGAAATAAAATTTTAAAATATGAACAGAATAAAATATTAAATTATGACTATTTCATATATGTAAAAATATTATTGTCAGATAAAAGCGTTTGAGATTTATTTATAAGTTGTACTTACAAAATATTAGAAACAGCCTGTAGTACAGTTGAACAAATGCATGGAGCAATGATTAATTAATAGTAGATTGTTAGTTATGTTCAGTGGAAAATGTTGTATTTCGCTGACTTTTCCAATAGCCCATCGTCCATCGAATGTTTATTCTTATTAATCAATATTCTTTTCAGATCTCTCTAGTAATAACATCAGTAAAATAATGAGTGTGTTGCCTACTTGGCACGTGATTAAAGAAGTGCTGACAGAAAAAAACAAGATTAAACATCTAATAAGGACTGCAAGTAGAAATATAATATCAGAATAGTTATTGGCAGAAAATACGAAAGAATCAATATACACAAACACAATTATAATTTTTATTCTTCGTCAATATACGTTTAGAATTTATACTAGACAAGATCTAGCTATGTTTATGAATTTTAATTATATTGATTCTATATGTACATAAATTATGGAGTGTGGATTATAAGATTGTGAAAACTCAAAATTTCAATAACATTTAACATGTGTTCATATTTGTGGTTGACACATTGCAACTTAAGTTCAAAGAGTCAACAAATAGCAATGCATGCTTAAGCACATATGTATCTATATAGATATGTAAATACATGGTTAATTAACAAACCAAGTTGCAAATTGCAACTAGTCACTGAGAGTTTAAAATGTAATAATTTAATCAACGAACGCTTAAGATAGACATGTAATTGTATAGTCCTTAATTAAATGAATCAAACAAAAAAACATTTATTGCATATGTAGTTGAATTGTTGTTGATGAGGCGTAATGTGTTTTTTTTTTTTTTTTTTTTTATGAGGCGTAATGTTTAATCAAGTAAGCAACAAGATCGTATGAGAATGTGAAGACGTGTTTGTCACATTTGAATATGATTTATCAATGAATCTAAGACGACATAAATGACTAGATGGCGGAAATGTGAGGCTGAATAAACGAGATGTTGATTTTAATTTTATTATATATTTACGTTTCATGCATCTTAATTTCCATATAATCCATAAAAAAATATCTTATATTATATGCTATTTTCTCATTTAACGTTTTGACCAATGCGGCTAGAGACAAATATTTATATCCTTCTCCACGTTTTGACATCATCTTTTCTATCGTCACAAGAAAGACATCCTCTTTTCTATCGTTGTAACATGTTACGTTTTAGATTGTTTAAGACTTTGTTTCTTCACTTGCCTAATAGTTTACTCTTAGTATGTGAGTTTCTCTTTTAGTCTTATACGAGTTACTTTTACACGTATTTAAAATCTTTTTTTGTCAAAATTTCTATATTAAATTTCCATGTTGATGACGTAAAACAATCATTTAGTGGCAGAGGAAGCTTTGGTGAAGGGTGAAACTCCCAGACCCGAGTTCGATTCTCCCTGGAAACAAAAACACATTTGTTTGGGAAGTCTGTCAGTTGGGCCTTGGCCCAATTGGTTTACCTGGTAGTCAGAAATGCAGGCGGCCTGACTACCCCTGGCATTAGTCGGAAGGCATTCCAAACTCGGATCAGGCAGTGTGGTGGCCCAATTCTATCTGGATCAGGAGAAGTCCACTCTGTAGCATCTTGGTGCGTTCCTACCGAGGCCGACCGGATCAGCCGATAGGATTTATCAACAAAAAAAAAAAAAAAAAAAAAAAAAGAAAATCACGTTTCAGCTAACTAGATAAGGACCTTCTTATTTATTTGTTTAGAAGACCCTCAACTTTCTCACGACTTTCCAAAATATCATTGATATCATGTCAACCTTCATTAATAATAGAGTCACTAACCATGTGTATGGTCCAGTTCAAGATTCTGAAATGCGATTCAATCGTTACCACAACTTAAGATTGAAACCTTTGACAAAAAGAAAAAAAAAAAAAAAAACTTAAGATTGAAACCGGACATTAGACCCCATGCCGGTCCGATCGTGTTTAGAATCGCCTTTTTTCTGGTTTGACATCAATTAATTTGGTTTTAGGTTTGACCAAAACATTTTAACCGAAATAATCAGAAATTCGAAGATAACCGAAACGAACCGACGTAAGAAACCGGATCACCCAATTCCAGATTTTGAAACTCAAAACCCCCAAAATCCAAACTCATCATAAACCCTAAAACATTATCTCATCTTCTCTACGGATTCAATCCTCTTATCATCGATAGAAATGATCGTCACTGGGTACGAATTCTTCTAGAATCTTCAAGCTTTCCTTACCAGTTTCCGATAAAAAATGGACCCAATTGCTTCGGTGTTGGAGAAAGTGAAGAGCTTTACGAAATCGAGCCACGATTTAGTCTCCCGCCATTTCGGCTTCCATGAGAATCCTTCTCGCCAGAATCCGGTATCTTCATCAATCCCCTTCACCCGTCAGTTCTTAAAATCAACCTCTTGTTTGAAATGTATGTATCACCAGCAGTGTTGAATTTGAGTTGGTTTGGGAATTATGTTGCAGATTGATATCTTGAAGCGATTACAAAGAGAAGCATTCTCGGATTTGATGAAACTTAGAGATAGACAAGAGAAAGTGGAGCGGATTATTTCCTCTCATAAATTATCAAAATCAGGTCCGTTTCAAGAGACTAGCACTCATGTGAGAGGTGAGGTTGATGTGCTTGGAGCTGTATTGCTGATGGGAAACACTGACGAGGAAAGTTTCAATGGACTCGATAAAGAAGGAGTGAGACCTGGATTACTCTCAAGGTTTGTGTTTGAAACGAGTCTTAGGGAGACAGATAGGCTTGTGGCTGAGCTTGTTGCTGGATACAGAGGGGAAGGAAATCACAGTGATTTTTCAGGGAGAGAGTTGTCTCTAGCCAAAGTCTTCTACAAGGCAGATATTAATGATTGGTTCTCTGCTGTTGCTATTCCTGTTGGTGCGCATTTCAGAGACGTTGGTTCTGATATAGTGTCTTCTTACCAGGTACTCACCAATTGTTGCAGATTTTGTTTCTATATTTGTTGTGTGTTTAGCTTTTAAATTCCAGTTTCACGTTGATCTATGTGATAGTTTGGCTTGAGGTATATCAACCTTGGTGGTTTTCTAGTTAGAAACTCTAAGCCATACTATTTCTATGGTTTCTTTCTTAACAATTTTTCTCATACATTATCGTTATTGATGAAGCTACAGATACATTTACCTCTGTCTTGCAGGGAATGAGTCTTACAGAAGTTTCTGAACTTGGACCACCTCTTTTAAACCAACATAATGGTAGCGCCATAGGGTTAACATTCAGAAAGTCGAACATCACAGCTTCACTGGCCCAATCCATGTCAAACGTTGAAGTTGAACAGGGTTTGATTGCACCGAATTGTTGTTTCAGAACATTTGGGCAAGTAACCTACCACATTCTCAGAAGTTTAAAGCTATCTCTATTGGGCTGTCACCAAGTTTTAACACCATCTAGCAACCTCCATTCTGTTGGAGCCATTACAGTTCCAGTAAGTTTCCTAAGGCGCCATACTGCTACGGAGCCTGAACCATCAGCACCGCCTCTGGAGATGAGTAGAAGTATGAATCATGTGTTGTCTAGTTCCATTGCTTTGAAGTTAGACTCTCTAATGGACGAGTCTACAAAACTTGGGGGATGGATTGAAATTCAGAACTCAAGAGAAAAGCAAGTAAAATGGTCAGTATCTATTACAGACAACCCAGAGGATGAAGTGGGCTGGGGCATGAGCGTTGGGGGAGTTGTTGATGGTTCAAGAAATCATGATCAGTTTCAGGTGGAATCGTATCTGAAATTCAACATAGGCGATCGGTTTAGCTTAAGTCCAGGTCTTGTTTATCACACAAACAGTAACGGAAGAATCATAGGTCTTATGCTACAGTCTCACTGGTCGCTGTGATCTCAAAGTTTACTCATTACATGTACATTGATGGTTCTAATTACCACTGACTGCATTTTTGAGATTTTTGTGTCTAATGCAATTTATGTCTGAAAATATAAAATGCAGCTGCCATTTTTTGTGGCTGGAAGATCAAAGAGTCTGATTGTTAATTGTCTATCGTCTCTTATAATATTTTTTGTTGGCTTGTTAGTAATTGATATCTATGTTGTTAGTACACCAATTTGCTTCTTTTATTGTAATGGTAACAAATGCCGTAATGCTTATTATGCTTAGAGAGAAGTAAAATAACTGAAGATTGATCTATGATTAGTATGTCTTGATTGCAACTTAACATAAGTTGTGGCATTTTTAAGTTTATTTGAAAGAATTCTTCTTAAACAAGATGTGACTGTACAACAGGTTGATTGATGTTGAGAGCTATGTTGTGACCTCTGAGTCTCATGAACATACAAAATACTCTAGGCTTTTCATCTGTCGAAGTCAATGACCTTTTTCTCAGGTCTCATTTGATACAACGATGTCCTATGAAGAACGCAATGGCAAAAAGGTACTTTGTTTTCCTTTTCCCTTTTATTTTTCTGCTCATAGATATGGACGTTTAGGCATTTCATCAATTCCAAAACCATTAGGTGCCCACAAAAACATTTGCGACCTAATCCAATTTGTAATATCATGACTTAAACAATTCAACTCAAATCCTCAAACTTTAACGACGGCAAAACACCAAGTGGTCTGCGAAACACGCGTTCCTTTGTATAACCAAGAATGGGAATAGAAAAGTCAAAAGAGTATTATTTGTTTATTAATCTGCAAACAAACAAAGTGTACTCGAAATGTAAAAAAAAATGACATTGAAATCGCACTAAAGGCAACTAGTCCTCTCACTTTCAATCGTTTCCTCTGCATTTAAAGAAAAGTCAAGATTGGTGGTTTATTCTCTTACTGCTAATTGGTGGGATATTCAATGAATCCACCTAATAACATTATTACACCAGAAACAAATCTTTGTTGAAAGATAAAACTTACATCATTTTCTTAGTCAAGTCTTCTCATAGAGACAACAAATAGACTACTACTTTACTAGTTTACCTCTCTCTAGTAAGAAAAACAAAGCAAAACTGGAATCATTCTGTTTCACAGAGTTATGGTGGTTTCAGTGAACATACGTCGTCGTTTTGTTCTTCTTCTTCTACTTGCATTCACTTGCTTGTTGTCTCTGAGACTCTGTTTTGCTGAGGACAGAATCACGTTCTCAACTCCGATCAAAGACTCAGAAACCCTTCTCTGCAAAAGTGGTATTTTCAGGTTTGGTTTCTTCACTCCTGTTAATTCCACTACTCGGTTACGTTATGTTGGGATTTGGTACGAAAAGATTCCAATCCAAACTGTGGTTTGGGTTGCTAACAAAGACGCTCCTATCAACGACACTTCCGGTGTTATCTCGATCTATAGCGATGGAAATCTCGCGGTTACTGATGGTCGTAAGCGCCTTGTATGGTCGACAAATGTCTCAATACCAGTAGCTCCAAATGCTACTTGGGTTCAGCTAATGGATTCTGGGAATCTTATGTTACAAGATAACAGAAACAATGGTGAGATTCTGTGGGAGAGTTTTAAGCATCCTTATGATTCTTTCATGCCAAGAATGACTCTTGGGACCGACGGTAGAACTGGTGGGAATCTAAAGCTTACTTCTTGGACAAGTCATGATGATCCTTCAACAGGAAACTACACTGCTGGTATTGCTCCTTTCACGTTTCCTGAGCTTCTTATCTGGAAGAACGATGTTCCAACATGGCGTAGCGGACCGTGGAACGGTCAGGTTTTCATCGGTTTACCGAATATGGATTCACTTCTGTTTCTTGATGGGTTTAATCTTAATAGTGATAATCAAGGGACGATTTCAATGTCTTATGCTAATGATTCGTTCATGTATCACTTTAATTTGGATCCTGAAGGAATTATTTATCAGAAAGATTGGAGTACTTCTATGAGAACTTGGAGGATAGGTGTAAAGTTTCCTTACACAGACTGTGATGCATACGGTAGATGTGGTCGATACGGGAGTTGCCATGCCGGGGAAAATCCGCCTTGTAAATGCGTTAAAGGATTTGTACCAAAGAATAACACAGAGTGGAATGGTGGGAATTGGAGTAATGGATGTGTGAGAAAAGTTCCATTGCAGTGTGAAAGACAGAGAAATGTAAGTAATGGTGGTGGTGGTGGAAAAGGTGATGGGTTTTTGAAACTGCAGAAGATGAAAGTGCCAATCTCTGCGGAACGGTCTCAAGCTAATGAACAAGTTTGTCCTAAAGTCTGTTTAGATAACTGTTCTTGCACAGCTTATGCTTATGATAGAGGAATCGGATGCATGCTTTGGAGTGGTGATTTAGTTGATATGCAATCATTTTTGGGAAGTGGCATTGATCTTTTTATTCGAGTTGCGCATTCAGAACTCAGTGAGTGAAATATCTCTAGTAGTTCTCAATTGTTTTATTCTCCATTATGTTTTCTTCACTGACTTAAGTTTTCTCACCAAATCTTGTAGAAACACATAGCAATCTAGCAATTATGATCGCAGCACCTGTGATAGGCTTTGCGTTAATTGCTGCGGTCTGCGTTCTTTTAGCATGCCGAAAATACAAAAAGCGTCCAGGTTTGAGTTTTGTTTACTCATTGAATGTTAGCTTCTGATTGTTTCATTTATCATAATTTGTTTGCTTCATTGATCATTGCCTTAGCAGCACCAGAGAAAAATAGAAGTGCAGAGCTTATGTTTAAGAGAATGGAAGCACTTACAAGTGATAATGAGTCTGCTTCTAACCAAATAAAGCTCAAGGAGCTTCCACTCTTTGAGTTTCAAGTGTTAGCTACAGCAACCGATAGCTTCTCTCTCAGAAACAAGCTCGGTCAAGGCGGATTTGGTCCTGTTTACAAGGTAAATCATTATACAAGAATATTTCTGGAAGGAGATATGTGTACAAATGATCTCAGACTAAGTGATTGGTAATCTTGTTCTTTAGGGAAAATTACCAGAAGGACAAGAAATTGCAGTGAAGAGGCTCTCAAGGAAATCAGGACAAGGACTAGAGGAACTTATGAATGAAGTGGTTGTGATATCGAAGTTGCAACATCGGAATCTAGTGAAGTTACTTGGATGTTGCATTGAAGGTGAAGAAAGAATGTTAGTCTATGAATATATGCCAAAGAAAAGCTTGGATGCATATCTATTTGGTAAACTTATCACCTCTGACTCTGTTTTTACCTCTGTTTCTAACCTCTGCTTTTAACTCTGTTTATACCATATTGGCTCGGGATAATCGAAGAGAAGGCTAATGTTTTTGCTAACTTTTCTCAGATCCATTGAAGCAAAATATTCTTGATTGGAAGACTCGGTTCAACATAATGGAAGGAATATGCAGAGGTCTTTTGTACCTTCACAGAGATTCAAGACTAAAGATCATACACAGAGATTTAAAAGCCAGCAACATTTTGTTAGATGAGAATCTAAACCCGAAGATATCTGATTTCGGACTTGCAAGAATTTTCCGTGCGAATGAAGATGAAGCTAACACAAGAAGGGTTGTTGGAACATAGTAAGTATCCATTCCCAAATACACAATTAACATTACGAAAATCGGTTTTATTCAAATATTGTTTTTGCAGCGGCTATATGTCACCGGAATATGCAATGGAAGGTTTCTTTTCAGAAAAATCAGATGTTTTCAGCTTGGGGGTTATATTTCTAGAGATCATAAGTGGGAGAAGAAACTCTAGTTCTCACAAGGAAGAGAATAATCTGAACCTTTTGGCTTATGTAAGTATACTAATTAAAGCAGTGTTTAGTAATTTATGGTTAAGCTTTAAAACTTACCTTAAAAACTTGGTTTTTACAGGCGTGGAAGCTGTGGAACGACGGTGAGGCTGCTTCTCTAGCAGATCCAGCCGTCTTTGAAAAGTGTTTCGAGAAAGAGATAGAGAAATGTGTTCATATTGGACTGTTATGTGTGCAAGAAGTTGCAAACGATAGACCAAATGTTTCAAACGTGATATGGATGCTAACTACCGAGAACATGAACCTCGCTGATCCGAAGCAGCCTGCGTTTATAGTAAGAAGAGGAGCTTCTGAGGCTGAATCTTCAGACCAGAGTAGTCAAAAGGTATCTGTCAATGATGTGAGCCTCACAGCTGTAACAGGACGTTAAGCTCACCACCAAACCAATCTCAGTCTGTTTATATACATATAATATGTAATATATACGTTTTGAGAAACTCATGGCATATGTTTACAAATTTTGTTATTCTGCGTTTGTCCAATGGTTAGATTAATGAATAAGAGATGTATTTCAGAGAAGTTATTTTCACATTCAATGAGCTTTGTTGAAACTTGACCTATTCTTAGATATGATCAGATTTGTAGATTTAACTAACCTGGATGAAGAAACTGAACCTGAAGGAAGAGGAGAAAAACAAAAACGACCACCCTTGTTCTTGAGAACTGAGAAGCCACAATAGTTTTTTTCTTGGGAGAAAGAATTAAAACACAATTATTGGTTTTGTGTTTTGGGTTGCTTTGCTAAATAGAAACAAACGTGGAAAGTGGATAAGAATATTAGATCAATTTTGACTTTTCATGGATTCATTAACTACATAACAACCTTGAATTTTCTGCACAAAATTATTCTGTAGCAGCCAAGAAATTTCCTTTCTGTGGTTTCTTTTTTAGCAATGGTTTTATCATTAGTTAATTAGTTTTTTTCTTTCTTTTGCAATCAGTACTTAATCAATATTGTCAAAAAAAATTCATTGTAAAATATTTGGAAGTTATTTTAACGACCTTGAATGTCAGTGAAGGTAACATCATTAACAGAAATACCGGTTTTTCCCTTGAGACAAGCACCATTTTCGCCGCCTCTCCTCCTCGCGGAAGTAAACGCAGGATGCTTCGGATTCGGAAGATTAGTGGCGTTATGACCCAACATGATAACAACAGAGGACATGTCGACTCTGTCCGAAGCGTTTTCTTGCACACAGAGCAACCCAATGTGTATGCACTTCATCACTTCGCTCTCATCATAACTCTCTTGGTCCATTAACTTGTCTATGATCTGTGTTGCTTCACCGTTTTCCCATAGATCCCAAATCTACAAGACGAAGAAACATACATTTTACTTATGTTCTGTTTTGTTCCTCTGTTTATGTGTAAAAAATGCAGTTTTTTACTTACATGTCCGACTAAGTTAGATGATTCCTCGTGGAAAGCACTGTTTTTCTTTCCGGTTATGATCTCTAACATCAATACTCCAAAGCTGTAGACGTCGGATTTAATGGAGAACTGGCCCTCCATTGCATACTCCGGTGCCATATATCCACTGCACAATGAGATTGAAACAACTTTAAGGTTGAAAGATTTTGGACAGTTTTGTGGTGATTAAGAAAGACTAACTCACAATGTTCCCACGACCCGACTTGTGCATCCTTCGATTTGGTTTCCCCCGAAGATTCTAGCCATGCCGAAATCTGAAATCTTAGGGATCATTTCACTGTCAAGAAGTATATTGCTGGCCTTGAGATCTCTGTGGATGATTCTCAGTCTTGAATCTTGATGAAGATATAAGATTCCACGAGCAATCCCGCGAATTATCTCCATTCGTTTTGGCCAATCCAACTCCGTTCTATGCTTTTCATCTAGCAGGAAGATAATAGGAAAGAAACAAGAAAGCAAATTCAAAGTTGAATCTTCATGAATGAAAGGGACAATTTAAATCTGTGTTGGATATGTTGGAACGTACGGAAAATGATATAATCTAGGCTCTTGTTTGGTAAATACTCATAAATCAACATCTTCTCTTCTAATTCAACGCAACACCCTAAGATCCTCACGAGATTTCGATGCTGCAACTTTGATATCAACTTGACCTCGTTCTTGAACTCTTCCATTCCTTGGCCCGAGTTTTTCGACAACCTCTTCACCGCTATCTCCATACCATTTTGTAACACGCCCTGAAAATATAGAAATAAAGGAAACATTCCTTATTACTTATTGAACTTGATGAAGATGGGGTTTGCCTGTTCCTTACCTTATAAACGGGTCCGAAACCACCTGCTCCAAGCTTGTTTTGGGAAGAGAAGTTATTCGTTGCTGCAGCGATCGTGTTAAGATCAAAGAAAGGTAACTCCCGGTTTCTCGCCTTGTCTTGCTCAAATCTGAATGATTCTTCAAAATCGAAAGGGACTGGGGCGAAGTTTGCCGAAGAGCTTCTATGCCTGTTTGACTCTGTGGTTGAACATGTTTTCAGTGGTTAGTTGTGAGCTAAGAAAGCATCATATGAGCTTAAGAGATTCATCATCAGATATTTACTTACTTCGTCGCTCCCTTATGACACAGAACAAAATGACAGTTAGTAACATTACTGCTGCAACCAAACTGATAAGAATCAGAAGGACTCTCCTCTTCCCTGATAAGCCCTTTCTGTTCCACAGCGCTGAAACAAGCAAGCACATCGATATTTAAGTATTGTGAAACAGAATGGTTGTTTTATTAAAAATACAAGAAGAATAGGATTATATAGCGAAACCCATTTATATATGTACCTAACTCTTCCTTGTCTACACGTATGTAGAAATCTTGTCCGGAGCTCAAGTATGTCCTCGCATCCAACATACCACTGTGCCATGTCAAGCATCCTATTGCTCCTCTTTTACTCTCGTGGTAAGCACTTGCATAAGCAACACAAGAGCAGTTCCTCAAGCACCTCTGTTTGCACTCCTTCAATGTTATGTTCATATCCACACTTGCATCTGACGTGTCAGGAATCTTCATGCGCTTTAACTTCACAAACCCGTCTTTCTCACTGCATATTGAAGCTCTTTTTTTCTTTGTGCACCCGCCAGAAGAGTCCCTCAAGAACCAATGCCGGGGAAACTTGGGCTCAAAACCAGGTAGGCATGTGCACTCAAACGTTTTTGAGCTAGGGGGATCACAGTAACCGTTAGGTCCACAATGAGCGTAGTTATCGCACTGCTCTTTAGGAACTGACCAGAAATCATTCCATCTCTTGTCCCTCGCAATCCATGTGAACCGGTGCATGGTTCCAGTCTCGTTCACCATGGTTCTTGTTATGACTGAAGCATCTGTCACACCGTAAGTGAAGGATACTTCGTCCTCATTATTCACAAACGAGTTATTGAAGATATACCCTATTGGCATTTCAGGCACACCGCTCCACCTATGCCCGGTCCACGACCCCATACGCCACCACGGGACTCGACCTTTGTACAGAATCAACTGCGGAAACCCTCTACGTTCCATCCGCAATGTTAAGTCTCCAGAACCAGGGTCCCCATGAGATTTCCATGATGTCAGAAAGCGATCCAAACCGTCTTTTCGTGTGAAACCCATCCTCATAAACGGAAGAAAAGTGTCTGTAGGATGATCAAAGCTCTCCCAGAAACTTCTCCCTGTGACTGGCTCAAGCAGAGCAAGGTTGCCTAAATCAGAGAGTCTAGCAACTAAAGTTGTTTCCAAGATACTATCTGAAACATTAGTTGACCAGATAGGCTCTGTTCCATTGTCAGATGCATACACACAGAGATTGCCTCTGTTACTGAACTTTATCAGACCAGAGGTGTCATTAAGAGGATGGTCTCTGTTTGCAACCCATACAATAGTCTGTTGAGTGATTTGAGCATACCAAATCCCGACATACCGGAGCTTCGAATCCCCAAGACTGAAGAATCCAAATGCGAATCTCTTCCCTACAGAGAGTATGACATCACCATCTCTCAAGGACTGTCTTCTCATGATCGTATCAACGGAGATGCAAGATTGAAAGAGGGAGAAAAAGAAGATAATGAAGACAATCTTCATATTTGTGTTTGTTTCCTGAGCAAGGAGTTAGTGAGAATGTATAAATGCTGTGTAAGTATTGAAAACCAAGTGGATCAGCCATTAACTGTGAGTCACGCCCCAGTTCCGGATATTTCTCAAAGGCTGGACTTTCAAAAAGATGTAAGAACTGATTCATGTGACTTAAAAGTGTGAAACTAACTAAAAGAACAACAATAATCATTAATTACGTACCAAAATTGGAGAGTTTTGTTGCTATTGAGAAACTCTTATGATTACATATATACATTCTGTGTATGTGAAATGATTGGATTAAAGAGCAGGAAATGTATTCCAAACAAGTATGCATGCTCTGTTTACATTACTACGTGTTCTATATTTATGTGACCTCATACAATAACATGACCAGATTCTGAGTTTTCAAGTTCTTATCCTATAGATTACCCTTACACAACAAATATATAGATGTACAATTTAATCAATTTATCATAAAAATTCTTTAGTAGTAGGTTTATCTCACTTACAGAGCTAACGTCCTGTTATTTTTGTGAGGCTCACATTGTTCATTGATGCTCTTGGGTCACTTTGCCCTGAGGATTCAACTTCTGAAGTGCCCCTTCTAGGTATAAATGCGGGTTGCTTCGGCTCTGGAAGGTTTGAGTTCTCGCTACTTAGCATCCAAATCACCGTTGCAACGCTCGGTCTATCATTTGCGTGATCTTGTACACACAAGAGTCCTATGTGCACACATCTGCGTATCTCATTTTCAAAACACTCTTCAAAGATTACCGGATCCACGAGAGCAATATCTTCCCCGTCGTTCCAGAGTTTCCATGCCTGGTAAAAATAGGGAGATAAAGTTTCAAGAATGGTTTAAAAGCTTTGCTGAAAGAAAGGTCGTGATTCTAAAATGAGACTTACATAAGCTGAAAGATTTGGATTCTGCTCATTATTGTAAAAGCTTGAGTTTCTTCTTCCACTCACAATCTCTAAGAGTATGACTCCTAAGCTGAAAACATCAGATTTCTCTGAGAACAACCCTCCCATTGCGTATTCAGGTGCCATATAACCGCTGTGATGTTATGTTTTTGTCAGTTACATAATCGACAAACATCGAAAATAGTTCAGAAAAAGCTGTGTAAGAGTTAGTAGGGTGGCTGCTCACTATGTTCCAGCCACTCTTAGGGTGTTTGCTTCATCCTCATTCCCCTGGAAAATCCTAGCCAGCCCAAAATCGGAAATCTTCGGGTTTAGATTCTCATCTAACAAGATATTGCTTGCTTTTAGATCTCTGTGTATGATCTTCAGCCTTGAATCTCTGTGAAGGTACATAAGACCTCTGCAAATTCCATCGATTATGGTAAACCGTGTCTTCCAGTCAAGAACTCTCTGCTTCACCGGGTCTGGAAAACACATCAACAAGGTGCACAAACAAGACTATCATTACGTTATGTTCTTGTGCCAACTTAAGACTGTAACAGAGTTAAACCAAATGATAAGTTTACTACCAAATAGATATGCGTCTAAACAATTCTCTGGCATGAACTCATAGACCAAAATCCTCTCTTCTCCTTCAATGCAGAAACCAAGCAATCTCACGAGATTCCGGTGTTGCAACTTAGAGATCACGACCACTTCATTCACAAACTCCTCTAGTCCTTGTCCCGATGTTCGCGAAAGCCTCTTCACAGCGATCTCCTGCCCTTCTTGTAACTCCCCCTGTAAATAAAAGCAGAGCCACTTAACACTCCATTGTCACTTTGAAATTCCTTCTACCAATGAAACAAAGAATTGTTTAAAACCTTGTAAACAGCACCAAATCCTCCTTGTCCGAGTTTTTTTGTGATAGAAAAATTGTCAGTCGCCACTGCTAACACTTGGAACTCGAACAGTGGTAGCTCTTTAAGCTTGTATTGATTCACAAGGATTGCACCAACGTCACTACTACATAAAGCTTCCATTCTCTCATTCTGTAGCCTTGTGATTCTGTTCTTCTCTGTTAAAAAAAGCAATGCAAAAAAAGTTAATTATCTAATTACATAGAGAGATATCTCTTACATGGTTGAAATGTAACACTAACCTCTATGCTTAGCAATCTTCCACAGTGCTAAGACAACAGTCACTGCGAACAAAAAAGCGCCTACTAGCAAAGTTACTGTGATCACAATTGATCGATTGGTCGGAGTTTCTACAAAAGATTTGGTGAAAAATCTATTATGATCTAGTAAACTGATGTTAGATGGAAAACTGAAGGTTGATACTATACTTACTGAACTCTGAATCTGCGAGACGAATGTAAAAAACCGCACCGGTGCCCGAAAACTCCTGCATATCCATCAAGTTTCCGCTCCAAAGAAGACAGCCAATCCCTCTGTCGAATGAGTAAGCCGTACAAGAACAGTTCTTCAGACAGCTCCCAGGACAGTCTTGTTCATTTGATCCAGATCGTTGTGGATTGTGGGGCACTTTCATCTTTTGCACTCTCACAAATCTATCACTTTTTCTACTTCCATCGTTGTTGTCTCGTCTTTCGCACTGCAATGGCGCCTTTCTTACGCATCCCTGAGTCCAGTTTCCGTTCTTCCACTCCGCGTAACTCTGTGGCTTGAACCCTCTAATGCACATGCAAGGCGGAGTTGACCCGTAGTTGAATTTGCAACTAGCGAATTGGCCACATGTGGCGTATGTATCACACTTTGTCGATGGGACCTTTAACCAGGTCTTCCATTCTTGCATAGCCAAGTTCCAATCTCTCTGAAACACGCTTCCTTCGGAGTCCAAGAGAAAATGATACAGCAATGTATTTCCAGCATAGGACATGGAGACAGATCCTCGATTGTCACTACTAAGGGTTAACTCGAAAAGATTGATACGGTAATCCATATTTGGTAACCCAATGAAGTATTGACCATTCCACGGACCGCTACGCCACATCAGAAGATCATCTTTCCAGACAACAAGTTCTGGAAATGGCAGAGGAATCAAACCTGCAGAGTATCGTCCAGGCGATGGATCAGACGGGCTTTTCCAAGATCTTAGCTTAAGGCTCCTCCCTGTTTTCGCGTCAGTAGCAAGTCTCATTGTTGGCAAATAAATGTTTTGAGGATGCTCAAAGCTATCCCAAAGAATCTCATCCCCAGTGTTAGTAGTTCCTAGCAGCACAAGGTTCCCTGTATTCAGCAACCGAGCATAGGTGGTGTTAGCAGTCACCGGCACCGAGACATTGGTGGACCAGTGAACCTGTCCGCGACCATCCATAACCACAAGATTCCCTTCCTTGGATATGACAACCATTCCGGAAGAGTCATTGATCGGGCTGTTCCTGTTTGCTACCCAAACCACAGTTTGAACAGGAATGTTATCGAACCATATCCCCGCATAACGTCCTGTGGAGTTAACCGGGCTGAAGAAACCAAACCTGAAGGTACTGTGGTTGGAGACGACAGTCTCAGAGTCCCTGTACTCGCTAGAAAACGTGATTGTATCAGTTGCCAAACAAAGCCTCAAGGAAAAGCAAGTCAATGTAAGAAGAAGAATAAACAAACAATCCATCTTCTCAGGAAGTCTGAGAGAAACGCAGAGCTATATGGCTTGTATTAATCCAAAGACTTGAAATAACTTTATGTTATCTCAATGTTTGGTGGTTACATTTAATTGCCACTAGCAGAGGCACCACACTTGACTTTTCTGCTCATAAATTATTGGAGTGTGATGGGCCCTTACGAGTTACGAGCATGTGTGACATGCAAGGAGTCACTATCAGAGCCAACTTCACATTTTGCAAAGGTGGAATCGAAATTGGAAGCCGTTTTGAAGCCATGTCGAGACCTGTTGCGCAACAACAGACAACAGGAGCTCACGAAATCGACAAATGCAAACAAGGATTTAGCAGGTAAATGTCTCTAACTCTTCAAAGTTGGGAATAGATAGTGAACGTTGATCACAGGAAGAGAGTTCGCTGCTTGAGAATAGGGACAATGTGGTGAAAAAGTTAGTGATGCCTATATTTGAAACCCATCAGAGGTGCTTTCCATGGGGCAAACTAAACTGCAGAGAGACAAAAGAGATTGTATAAACAGTGAAAACTTTGGAACCATTATCAGTACCAAAGATAAAAACAAAGACACATCGGTACCATTGATCTTATGAACTTCCACAGTTCAAGACAAAACTCAGAAACAGGACAAGACAAATGATGGTTCTGAAAGATGAAAGCATAGCCATTTCAGGGTAAAGTGTAATTAATGTTCATTACTGAGACAAAAATTGGTCAACACATACACAAGCTGAACGGTGTAAGACACACACAGCTGTTTTGAGAAACTCCTGTGGTTACATATCTATCATTCTGTGTATGTTCAATGCTTTGGATTAAAGAGCAGGAAATGTATTTCAGAAAAGTTTGCTCACTTCCTTTGATACAGTTTTGGGATTTAAAACACTTTTGATTCCAAAACTGAAAATTTACCTACTCTCAGATTATCTTCCTCACCGACAATAAATTTGATAAAATTAGTGAAGAAACTGAAGGAGAAGGAGAAAAACAAAAACGCACATGTTCTCTATTTATGTGCCCTCATACAATTATTGAAGTGATGAGAGAAACATTTGAAGAACTGTATTTACTCTCATCACTTATAAACAACATAGATACATGTATATCTCTAATAACAATAACCTCACCAGTCCTATAGATTACTCTTAGATACAAATATACAACTTAATTAGTATATCAAATTTTTCTTTAGTATTAATTTATCTCAACTTACAGAGTTAACGTCCTGTGATTTCTGTGAAGCTCGCGTTGTTGATGGATGCTCTTTGGTCACTTTGTGATTCAGCGTCTGGAGAGCCCCTTCTAGCTATAAATGCGGGTTGCTTTGGCTCGGGAAGGTTTGAGTTTTCACTGTTAAGCATCCAAATCACGGTTGACACGCTCGGTCTATCATTTGCATGATCTTGTACACACAACAGTCCTATGTGCACGCATCTGCGTATTTCATTTTCAAAACACTCGTCAAGGTTGACTGGATCCACAAGAGCGATAAGTTCCCCATCGTTCCATAGTTTCCATGCCTAGTAAAAACAGAGAGGTAAAGTTTGAAGAATGTTTCAATAATTTTACAAGCTTTTGTAGAAGAAATGTCATGGTTTCTGATGAAGTGGACTTACATAAGCTGAAAGATTTAGATTCTGCTCATCATTGTAGAAGCTTGAGTTTCTTCTCCCACTCACAATCTCTAAGAGTATGACTCCTAAGCTGAAAACATCAGATTTCTCTGAGAATAACCCTCCCAGTGCGTATTCGGGTGCCATATAACCGCTGTGAGATTATGCTTTTGTCAGTTATTGTATATAATCAATAAACATCTAATAAAGTTCAGCGAAAATGCGTTGTATAGTTAGTTAGGGTAGCTACTCACTATGTTCCAACCACTCTTAGGGTGCTTGCTTCATCTTCATTCCCCCGGAAAATTCTGGCGAGCCCAAAATCAGATATCTTCGGGTTTAGATTTTCATCTAACAAGATATTGCTGGCCTTTAGATCTCTATGTATGATCCTCAGTCTTGAATCTCTGTGAAGGTACATCAGACCTCTGCAAATCCCATCGATTATTTTAAACCGCGTCTTCCAGTCAAGAAGTCTTTGCTTCACCGGGTCTGGTTTACACAGCAAGGGGTACACAACGACAGCATTAGCCAACAAGGAAATTACGATGGAACAGAGTTAAGCCAATGTTAAGCTACTACCAAATAGATATGCATCCAAAGAATTTCCTGGCATAAACTCATAGACCAGCATCCTTTCTTCTCCTTCAATGCAGAATCCAAGCAATCTGACGAGGTTCCGGTGTTGCAACTTAGAGATCACGACCACCTCATTCACAAACTCTTCGAGTCCTTGTCCAGACGTTCGTGAGAGCCTCTTCACAGCGATCTCTTGCCCTTCTCGTAATTTCCCCTGAAAACGAAAGTGAACCAATCCACATAACTCCAAGATCAGCTTGTAACCACTCGTACCAATGAAGCAAAGAATTGTTTACAAACCTTGTAAACGGAACCAAAGCCTCCTTCCCCGAGCTTGTTTGTGATAGCGAAATTTTCAGTTGCTGCAGCTAACATTTGATACTCGAACAATGGTAGCTCTTTAAGCTTGTTTTGATTCACACGTATTGCTCCAGACTCGTTATTATTTAAAGCTTCCATCCTTTCAAACAGTACCCTTGTGTTTCTGTTTTTCTCTGTTGAATTAATTGAAAAGCAATGCAAAAATAAGTTAAACCTTTTTCCAATCTCAAATATATATAGAGACATGATTAAATATAACTCTGACCTCTATGCTTTGCCAACTTTCGCAGTGCTAAGAGAACAATCACAGCGACAAAATATGTGAACCCTACCAACGTGATTGCGATCACAAGTGATCGATTGCTTGAGGATTCTATGAAAGATTTGGTGAGAAATCTATCTGAGTTATTATAGTTACACTTTTATGGAAATGGGGAAACTGTTACTTACTGAGCTCTGAACCTGCCAGCCGGATGTAAAGAGGAACACCAGAGCCCACATACTCCTGCATATCGATCAAGTTTCCACTCCAAAGAAGACAACCCATTCCTTGGCCATAAAAGTAAGCCGTACAAGAACAGTTTTTCAGACAGCTCCCAGGACATTCTTGTTCGCTGACTTCAGATCGCTGTGGATTGTTGGGCACTTTCATCTTTTTCAATCTCAAAAACCCATCACCCTCTCTACTTCCATTACTGTCTCGTTTCTCACACTGCAACGGCCTCTTTCTTACGCATCCCTGAGTCCAGTTTCCTCTGTTCCACTCTGCATAACTCCGCGGTTCAAACCCTCTAATGCACTTGCAAGGTGGATCTAACCGGGATTGGCAACTGGCGAATTGGCCACATTTACCATATATATCACAATTTGATGGAAATAGTATCCCGGTCCTCCATTCTTGCTTAACTTCGCTCCAGTATTTCTCCACTGCATACCCGTCGGAGTCCAAGAAAAAATGATACAGCGAGTCATGATTAGTATATGACATGGAGACGGATCCTCGGTTGTCATTAGCTAGGGTAAACTCGTAAAGACTGACACCGAAATCCAATTCTGGTAGTCCAATAAAGTATTGACCATTCCACGGGCCGCTACGCCACACCATAAGATCATCTTTCCAGATGGCAAGCTCCGGAAATGGTAGAGAAATCATACCAGCAGAGTAGCGTCCAGGCGAAGGATCAGAACGGTTATTCCACGATCTAAGCTTAAGGCTCCTTCCCGTTCTTGCATCAGTAGAAAGTATCATTGTTGGCATGAATGCATTTTGAGGATGCTCGAAACTCTCCCACAGAATCTTATCCCCACTGTTTGAAATTCCTTGCAGTACGAGGTTCCCTGTATTCAGAAGCCTTGCATATGTGGTGTTAGCAGCTACTGGTTGTGAGACATTCGTGGACCAGTGAACATGTCCGCGACCGTCCTTAATCACGAGATTCCCGTCTTTGGCTATCACAATCACTCCAGAAGAGTCATTGATCGGGCTGTCTCTGTTTGCTACCCAAACTATGGAAGCCGCTGCAGAAATTTTATTGAACCATATCCCTACGTAGCGACTCGTGGAGTTAACTGGACTGAAAAAACCAAACCTGAAAGTGCTGCGATCGGAGACGAGCGTTTCCGAGTCCTTGAGCTCGGTAGAGAACGAGACAACATCCCCAGCCAAACATAATCTCAAAGAGAAGAAAGACAATGTAACAATAAGAAGGAAACGACCCATGTGTTATCAGGAAATTTCGTAGCTTATTTTTATCTGATAGAAACATCGAGCTTCATGTATTTGTATTTATATATATGAACATTACTGGAGTGTTAGAGAAGTTATGAATATTATTTGGAACCGTCAACGACGTTTTTATATACAAGACCATTGAAATTCTTTTCACTGCTTTTTCAAAGACAAACAAAACACATTGAATCCACTCATCCCAAATTCCACAGAGTTTAAAACAAAAACCAAGAAACAAGACCATACTTACAACGAAGATCTAGAAGACCCCAAAAACAAAACAATTAAGCACGCTCAAGAACACAAACCAAGGGCATAGGAACGCTTTGTTTTCCTTCTATGTCTCCTTAGGGAGGTCTCCTTCTGCAACATGGAAGATGGCGCAAGATCAGTGATCACAGATACCACATCATTGATTGATCCAGACATCACTAACAGCAAATCTCTTGCATATCAATAGATGCATCTGTAGGTTATTGGTCATTAACATCAAGAGATTACAGAATCCAACTAAAGCAATGATATGCGCAAATAATCAAAACATACAAACCTCAATCATCAGGAATAACACAGCATCTTAGTGAATCTTCCTTTGTGTCTCATCTATAGCTATTTGACCTTTAATACAACTAAAGCAATGATATGCGCAAATAATCAAACATACACATCTCAATCATCACAGCATCTTAGTGAATCTTCCTAGCATTCAATCATACTAGCTGAGAAAGATGACCCCAAACAAATTTCCTTATACAAAACTTAAGAATGAAGATAGGATAAAGGTCAAATCTTAATGTGAATACAGTGTTACTGATGCCTATATATGTCACCTTCTTCAATGACGACACATTTCTATACTCTAAAGCCAACGAGAAACGTATTCCTAAGTAAATTGAAATTGACCTGCATTCAAAGTCAACCTTGCTGCTGCTACTGCTTATCCGAAGCATCATGGTACTCATCTTTGTCTCCCTCTTCCTCAGCCACCTCAGGCACTGTATGAAGTTTATCACTTTCCACCAGATTCTCCCCACCACTTTCGCCGGATTTCTCATCTTCTCCATCCTTATCATCAGGAAATCTAACAACAACCACCGGACAAGCACAATGATGAACTGAGTAATCACTGACACTCCCTAACCTCCCTTTGCTGCTCCTCTTCGTAGCACCAAATCCTCTGCTACCCATAATCAAAGTGCTTAGCCCTAACCTCTCCACCTCCAAACAAAGCCTCTCCTTCATATCGTGATCCTTGACGATATGGATCTTAAACGGAATATCCGCCTCAACCAAAGGCTGAGCAACGTCACTCGCTTTCTTATTAGTGAAAATGTCGAAATCGTCCTCAAGCTTCCTCTGAGACTCTTCGTTCTCCGGATCCCACTGCGGCGACAAGTCAATGGCGCCCCAATCAGCACCGTAAAGTACACTCGTCGGTTGAACATGCAGGAGAACGACGGCGTCACCTGATCGGAGATAGTTCTGAACAGCCCATTGAACTGCGTACGCACTCTCGTCGCTAAGATCGACAGCGATCCCGATCTTACGTTGAGCTCCAGCAGTAGGTGTGCCGATCGGGAATCTGGGAGACGACGGCTGAACGGTGACAACCGTCGGTGATTTGCGGTCGGATCTAGGAGATTTTCCCGGAGAAGTCATATTTCTCAGGCGATGAAAGAGTCAAATGAATGAGACGGTGGAGAAAAGAACAAAGAGACGAAATGGAGTTAGTACGGTACGGTGTAGAGAGAGATTAACAGCGACACTTCTATGTCTTTTGTTAAGAGCCGTTCGATGGATGGGTTTAAGATCTAACGGCTGTAAAAGTGCTCGTAGATCTCTATTAAATAATATCGGAAACACCTGAGAATTGGGTCAAAAATTCCCCAATTTCTTTTGGGTTACTATTTACTATTTTTTTTCTGTATGTAGTTTTATAACTATTTAAATCGATTGTTGATAAAAAAATTTTTTATATAAATATTTAAATCGATTGCATTAATATCTTTTAAAAAGTAATTTATGATTGTTTGCTTAAATTTAGTCTAAGTTTTATAAATTACTTAAACATAGTAATTTATAAGTGTACAAATGTGTTATTTTATCAATAATTTTTTAGTTTTTATACTTGTATTTACTTTCTAACACATAAAAATTATTTGATCTATGGAGGATGTCAAAAATTTTGTTTCGAAATTCTAATGAACATAAAATTCTTAAAAACTATTCCTTGTTCCATGACTAGTATAATTTCTTAGATAAAAAAAAATTACTAATAATAATAATTTCTTAGATCTTGTATTACATTTTCTTGGATTTTTAAAACTAAATTAGTTGAACTAGACTTATTACAATAGTTGATGCATTGTAATAACAAAATACTAGAAGGGAAGATGGAAAACCACATGAAAATTGAAAAACTTTTATTATAATTTCTTACCAAAGATTATTTTTAAAATGTTTACAAACAAACTGAAACTCTTCACATGAAAATATAAGAGTTATGATATGCCTCTCATATTATCTCTTTCACCTATTGTATAAACACACACATAAATATATTTTGCTTATATTTTACATTTGTTTTGCTCATTTTTTTCAATTGCTTTATATTAGAAAAAAACAATAAGATGTTATGCAAACACAAACTAATGCTAGATCGAGGAATTTTGATAAACCGATCCTAACAATCATCAATTCCATCTAGTTTTATCCGGTTAATAAAAGAGAAAAATGACTTACCAAGTGTTGCGGAGTATAAAGTCTTGACACCATCCACAAAATTCAAATCGCAGCTAAGGACTGTCGAGTCTCTACCGTCGCCAATGATGGTTAAGTCTTTTTTCTTCTTCTTGATACGTATAAGTTCTTTGTATACCCTTTTTTGACGTAGATCACAAATCGCTTCGCATTATTCTCTGGAGCTGCTGCAATCGCTTCATTCACCGTGGTGAAGTTACTGCTGCCATCCTTGGCAACAATCAAGTCCGCTTGGTAAATTAGAGGACGTTGGTAAATTCTATAAGATGTATATATTGAAAGTTCTAATTTATATATATTCAAAATAAAACTTTTTTGTTCAATAAGCTTAAATCGTAACACAAACAAAGTAAATATTTTTCTAATAATTAACATGATCGGGGGTGGAGATCAAATTTGCTGGATCCACCCTAGCCCCAACACGATTGTGAGACGAAGGCTATTACGAGAAAATTTCTAATTGAGTAAAGAAAAATTTAGATTATGTAAAGGGGCCTTTTACAAAAGGTAACCTACATTTTGGATGAATTTTGTAAAATAAATTTCGTTCTCAAATTTTTGTTGTTCTCCATTTTACTCTTTCTGTTATTAAATTTTTTGTGTTTATTTCATCGATAATGTTTGATTTTTTTTTTTTTGATAGATCCCCCAATCTAGAGCTTTTATAGAAAACCACAATGCCCATTTTGCTCAAAAGAAGCAAGAGAAGGATGAAGAAGAAGAGAAGCTAACATTGCAAAAGGCGAGAGAGCTCGATGAGTTTGATCAGCAAAATCATGGGAAGCCAACGATTCAACTCCATCTCAATATCTTTTTATTTCGTTACCAAATCTAACAAAACGTCTTAAAACGGAAAACAGTATTAATGGAGGTAGTGCGCCTATATAACTCATACTAATTGCTAAATTAACAACTTACCTATAAATTAAGATGCAATTTAAACAATATAGTCAGCCTTAAATTAGCCAAATCCTATTTCTTTAGAAACGTTATTAATTCGGTATTTTGATTCAAACTTCTTACCATATTTACATGTGACAATTAAAAATAAAACTTTGCTTTTTGTGTCACATTATCAAAAATTATAAAATCTAAATTTAAGAATGATTGTATAATTGAGCATATTGGATAAGAATAAACATCAATCACTCTCTCCACTAGACCAAACATCTTACGTGGCAACAGCTGTACCGTTAATAATGACAGTTTTTAGCTGTGTTTATGAATAATTAATTACCCGCCAAATCACTAACGCTTTAAAAAAAACAACTTTAAGAAAATAAATAAATAAAAAGAGTATCAAAAGGCGTTCACCAAAAAAGGTACAAATCCTTTGGGAGAAGATATCAAAGAGAAAACCCCTAAATCTTTCTTTTTTCATCAATGGCGGATTTGGATAAACTCGAGAGTGGAGGAGGTGGAGGAGCTGTCGTAATCGGTGACATTAGAGCCGACGACGGCGGCGGAGCGGTGGAAGAGAGGGAGAGGTTAACGGAACTTGAAGGGATTTCTGTGCTGGATTTCGATTTGCTTTGCTCGACTGTTGCGCTTCAGACTCAGGGGAAATGGAGGAAACTTGAAAGCTCGGAAGGAGAAGATGCGACGGATGATGATTATGGCGGTGGCGTTTTACGACTTTGGGAAGGCGATGTTATGGATTGCTTTGAAGATCGTCATCTCTGTATCGAATCTGCTTGGTATTGGTGTTTTCTCTTCTCTTCTCATTCTTTAATTCGAAAAGCATTCTTTTTTTTAGTTTTCTCAGAAATTGGAATTTCCAGAGGAGTTCTTCATCTTAATTTGTGATGACATTGTATGATTAACTCATTGATACAAGTCAAATTAAGGTCAAATGTCTCAGAATATGATAGAGGGAAACATCTATATTCTGATTATAATTTAGTGTAATTAGAGTAATTGAGTTCTATATCATTCCTTAAGAAGTGATTTAAAAGCAAGAGACTTTTTTGTATAATAGTGTTTTTTTTTATCTCGTTTCAGCTGTCCATGCTACAGATTCGGGAAAAACATGACAAGGGCTGGTTTTGGTTCTTGCTTTCTTCAGGTATAGCATCCTATAAAAAACCCTTCAGCATTTTTGATAATATAGTTGATCTCTGATCCTTTTGAATTGCAATTATTGAAAGATCCTGACTTCTCCTCCTCTTGACCAATTTTGTGTGTGTCAGGGTGCTGTTCATATGATTCTTATTGCCGGTTTCTTATTCAACGTTGCTGCTTTTTCTGTAACTAAGAGGCACTGCTTTCTCTATCTGGCTATTGCTTTCGTTCTTTTGATTGGATCCTACTTGGGTTTCTTCCGTATGCAGATAAGAAGGAAGTTTAACATTAGAGTAAGCACATTCCTTCTCTTTGTTTGTTTGTTTTCTATGGAGTGTGTTACGAATGTTAATTGTCTTCTTTTCTGCATCATGACCTTTCAATGCTCTTACTTTTGACAGGGTACTGATAGTTTCTTGGACGATTGCATCCACCATCTAGTTTGTCCATTCTGTACATTAACTCAGGTGTGTATTATTCACAGATCATTCTCTTGAAAACAAGTTGTATCCATTATGTCCTTTTGGTTCAATTTGCTTGTGATGTGATGCAGGAATCGAAAACTCTGGAGATGAACAATGTTCATGACGGTATCTGGCATGGTCGAGGAGACACTCTATGCATAGGCGGCTATCCCGAAGGAAAAGCTTTTCTCGAGTTGCATTCGCCTCCAGTTATTGTATCAACAATGTCATCATCTCAACCCTAACAACCCACAACAGAGTTCCTTTATAGAAACCGCAGCCAAGGTCTGCGCTTCCATAGCAATCTGCATTGAAATCAACATCGGCATATGGCGATTGATTTGCTCAACGGTGTAAACAGATTCATGTCAAAAGAAAACTTTCAATGTTTGTTTTCGAAACTGTGGTATATAGCAAACATGGAATTTTGAAGAAAAAGTCCTGTAAGGTTTTAAAAAGGAGAAAGGCTGAGAGGCCATTTGTATGCTAATAGTGAATCAGTCCAAGTTATGTATATACAGCCACCTAAATGTATGATAATGCATTTGATGATCACATACAAACGTTGTGATTTACTAGACAAATAAGATTTGGGTCATTCCATAACCCATCTCCATCTTGTGGAGTTTTTAAGTATTGAAATACAAGAGATCATGCTTGTTGATCGACCAGTAGAAATCATAAACTGCAAAGTAAAAATGAATAGAACAGAAACAAAGTATTTTGTGTGGCATTTTGGTCTTGTTCGGTTCTGTTCCCTTGACAAAATCAAACAAGAAAAGCCAAAAGGGAAAAAAGAAGGCAATTAGATATACAGAGACATTCATGGATGTAAACACTTTATTCATATCCTCTGGGCCATTCTCAGGCAGTCTTTTTCATTGTTTTGTTCACTGTTCTTTGGTTCAGAGAATAAACAGGCGGTTTATATCGGAAACCAACCACGTAAATACAATCTATGTAGTTAGAATGAACCAAAATCCATGACAATAAAAAGCAAAAGACAAAAGAATGAAAAATAAACAAGAGGATCACAAGAACATGTACTTTCTTTCTATGTTCTCTCATCTAAGATGTGTAAATTGTTGACTCCTATGATGATAACAAACAAAATTTCAGAAAGATGGGACCTTTCTTCTCCTACGGCGCCATCAGACCATCCACCGTGTAAGAAAGAGACTTAGCCCAGTCGGTTTTCAACACCATTGTTTGCAACGTGTGCATCACATCATATCCTGGGTCAAGTTTCCGCTGCCAACCCTATAATCAAACCGATTACTTAGATCGAAAGCAAACTTAATCTCTCTGGAGTTATAAACAGTAATTGGATCAAACGAGGCTATAGATACCATGTTTTAAGCTACAAACAGTTTCACCGGCAACATCTTTAAGCTCTGTTTCTATAATAAGCTTAGTTTTCGGTTCCATGCTCTTTAGGGATGTATTTCAAAACCTTCCATCAAACTTAGCATGATCTAAAATCTATACTAAAATTTGAAAGTGGGGACGATTTTGGCTCACCTCGAGAACTAATGTTGTCACCATCACAGTGCACACATTCCCATCAATATTAACTCTATGACGTCTTACTTTCTCAAGTAATTCGTGCATACAATCTGCTGGATGTACTAAATCTCCCTCAGGGGTTCCCCAGAATTTGAATGCCTCCTCTACTTCCTGTCAGAGTATAAAGTATTAGCCATCACAAAATAAAGAATTTTGAGAGATATCTTCAATCTATTTGACAACTCAAACTGTTTTTCCGAGGTACAAAGAACCTTGGAGCAAAGATATTATTACCTCGATAAAAGCCTCTGGATTGGGACAATTCTGCTTTCTTGATAATTTAAGTGTTCGTTCAGCAGCAGTCCGGCCATCTCTACGTGCAACCGCCTTGAAAAAATCAAGTAAGTTCTCTCGGTCGTTCTTTGAGAGTTCCGCAGTCATTCCCACATCAAGGAAAACAATGTGAGGCTTCTTCGTTTTGAAAAGGCCTCCACCCGAAGCCTTTTTCCGGACAAGGATATTTCCCGGATGCATGTCAGCGTGAATAAAGTTATCAACCTGAAGTAACAATTCACTTGAGATTAAGAGCATTGATGAAGCGTATATCAGTTATAAGTGATTATAAAAGATATAAAGAGGTTAATACCAAGAGCATCTTCAAGAGGGCATGTGTCCCGATATGAGCCAATCTAGTCTTAATCCATTCATGTCCTTCCATTCCATCAACATAACGTGCCACGCTTTCTCCATGCTCATATGTCTCCACCAAAACAGCAGGATGTACAAGCGGATACACAGGTTTAGGGAAAGAGACATCCTTCCATCTACGGAAGTTATATATGAACCGACTCAAATGTGAAGCTTCCCTCGCGAGATCAACTTGAGACAACATGAAGACACCAAACTGTTGGACACTCTCGTCTAATCTCAACCATTTCAAAGCTGGAATTAATGTAGATATCTTTGCCACCAAATTAATTATCACAAAATCTCTCCTAATCGATTCACCAACACCCGGATGTCTAACTTTAACAGCAACCAACGAAGACTTGGACTTTTGTCCTGGATACTGAAACCTTAAAGAAGCTCTATGTACTTGAGCAATACTCCCAGATGCCACTGGCACCTCTTCAAACTCCTCAAATATCTCAGAAAGTTTACGACCAAACGCCTTCTCAATAGTTTTCTTAGTGTAGGCAAAGCTATGCTCAGGAGCATTACTGTGAAGCTTTGAGAGCTGTAAACACAAATCCTTGGGGAATAGATCTGGTCGTGTGGCTGCCCATTGACCCCATTTGATAAAAGCAGGACCTGCTCTTTCCAGAGTTCGATGGACCATCTGAAGCCAAATTTTCCTAAAACGAGGCCCACATGATTCCACAACCAGCCCCATCAGAATACTAGGAGTAAACAAACAAGCTATATAAAAAGCCCTCCCAATCAAAATAAAACCCTCTATAACCGAAAACAATAACGAAGACAGAAAGATAGGACCATTCTTCGCCCTTGTATAAAGGGATTTATCTGAAGCATAGTGATTAATCGTCGAACCAGGAGCTCTTTGAGCCCAAGCTACTTGTCCACAAGTGAGAGCAACGATCCCAGGTATTAACAAGTGTGAACGGGTAAGAGACAAGCTGAACGCCTGAGCAATAGTACTTATACGCTCAGAATACTTATAATGAAGCCTTTTCCAAGCAACTTGGGCATGATGACTAACTACATTTCTTGCAGGTGCAGTAGAATAACTTCGCGACAGATGCTTACTCAAAAAACTTCCTTTAAGATCTCTAAAGGCCAATATACAATACCCATTACTCAGAACCCTACCAGATGAAGAGTAAGTTCTGAATTGAGGCGACCTTAGAGCAGCTGTAAAAGCAGTTCTATAGCTTCCCCATTGGGACACTCTCTCTTTCTGGTTCGAAATAAGAGATTTCGTTTGTTTTCCAACAATCCTAGAGATCAGAAATCTGCAATAGCAAGAAATAATGAGCTAAGAGAGCCTAAAGAAGGATCCGATCAACATTAAGACGTATGAACCATAGAAACTCGTAAAAATCGAAACTTTACACATAAATTCAGCTAAAAGCTTACAAAAAGAATCATAAATGAGTCTCCGAGGAAATTGGAAACAAAAGTCCGATCAGAAACGATGACAGACCCAATAAAACACGAAACTTGTTAAGCCCGTTTGATTAAACAAACCTTGACATAGCGACGAAGATGGTGAGAAACCACGGCAAGAAAATGCGAAAACACGGCTTGTTGGGTATGGATGGATCTCTAAAACGTTAAAATTGAGGAGCATTTTCTCATTGACTTCAGCTTTTGGGGACTAGTCGGTCACCGTTTACCGTCCGGCGTTAATTGGGTTCGAAGCTTTCTTCCCGGAGAAGACCTAAAGCCGACACGGAGGGGGAGAGAGATCAGGTCAGGTCAGTGATTTCGTTCGGAGAAAGAAAGAGAGAGAGACAGGCCCAGAAAAAGGAAATTGATATGTCTCTCGTGGGCTTAACGCTAAAATGTTTTGATTTAGTCGACGTGTGACATTGTCAAACCAAGGAATGATGTGAACACAAAAGCCTTAAGGTCGGTCTAAAAGGCAACTTGTCGTCACATTAAATTTTTCATTCCTAAGTTTTAATTTTGTCTCCCGAAGGAAGGATTAACTTGTCTAAAATTGAAATTGATTTGTATAAGTTTATAATTTATTAGAAGAGCCATATTTTCTTACTTAAAGTATAAGATTTTTTTATTTTGTCTCCCTACGTATTATTAACTTGTCTAATTTTGATTTTGATTGGTCCATACCTTTTTTTATTTTATACTTGAAGAGAGAAAAAAACGAATATACGAACATTGTTAAACACTTAAACCACATTAACCTGTCTCGATCTGTCACGGTCGACATAACCTCTTTCTTCTTCCAATATAACTGGTTTCGTTTCACCGGATTTGGGCTCTCCGGCGACGGAGAATAGCTCCATCTCCCGAAGGTCAGCTTCCTTTTTTCTCTTTCTTCTTTGTCTCTCGATGATTGATCTAGGTGTTGTATGGAACTCTGGCCGCCGGCAAAATATAGGTTAACTAAACATTTGGTCTGTTCTCGGTTTTTGTTAATAGCAACGAGACGTATTATAGGAAATTGAATTGAGATTTAAGGGTTACGAAAATTGGAATCTGGAAAGTTTTTTTTTTGGTTATGTATGGTTTTTAGGATCTGTAATGAAGATTTGGCTTGTGAGGTTATTAAATGCAGCCAAAGGAATTCTATCACCAAAGGTTTATACTTTGATGATATAATACAGAAAAAAAGTTTGGGACTTTGTACTCGTGTTAGAGAAGATCAAAAGTTTGTGTTGTACTATTAAACTGAGTAATTGGCCTGTCTTGATTACTTTGCTACTGAATTGTGTTTTCATTAGAATATCTGCTATAACTTGTATTCTTACTGTTGATACACGAGCTTACATGTTTCAAGGTTTAGACTTTAGACAGCTTAAATGTGTGAACTAAACTGTTGTGCATTTAGCTTCTTCAACAAACTGTTGTAACTCACTGTTAAACCAAAACTAGATTCGTTTTCTGTCTAAATGTGTAAGTCCATGGATTGTTTAATGAACCCTGCAAATTTGATACAGAAAACAGTAGACGTGATAGCTGAGAAACAAGAGAAGTGACAAGGGTGATTGAAAACTTGAAGGACTCAGATGGGAAGCAGCAACAAAAGCGGAGAACAAGGAAAGCAAATGGCAGAACTGAGCAAAAGTCTTAAAGAAGGTGAGAGGATTCTGGAGCCCACACGTAGACCTGATGGTACTCTCCGGAAACCCATCCGGATTCGAGCTGGATATGTTCCACAAGATGAAGTTGTCAAATATCAGTCCAAAGGTTCTCTGGTATGGTGTCCGTATTCCTTCAACTCTGTATCCTGTTCTTGAACTCATTGTTGCTCGTGGAAATGAATCGTTTAAATTTGATTTATCTCAGTAGTCAGTACTTGTTGTGGATAGTGTGCTTTCATTATTTTTACCACCCTTGTGCCTTTCTTAGAGTCCTTAAGACAAATTGTTCCCAAATTTTTGCTCTTCTATCTTGGTTTGAAGAATAACATTTTTCATTTCTAATTTGCATTTAACTTGTAATAGATGAAGAAGGAGATGGCCTCACAAGGGCCTCCAGGTTATGAACCTGATCCAGCTCCGAAACCAAAGACTAAATCTGCTAAGAGGAACGAACGTAAAAAAGAGAAGAGATTACAGGTATGTGTTTTCAACTCAATTCATATGCTACTAGCTTGGTCTTCGGTTATTGGAACATGCTTTTAAATTATCACCTTTGCAGTCTACTGCAGAAAAGGGTAACAGCTCTGAGGATGGATCAGCTAGTAATGGATCCCAATCGGTGAATGTATTGGCTTCTGAAATGGAGGCTTTGGACGTTTCTTCAAATAATGATGTATGTGGGGAAGCACCCAATCTAGTAACTACAGGAGAAGACGTAGAGAAAAGAATCCGCGCACTTAAGAAAAAAGTAAGATTTCCAAATGGTTTTCAATCAATTTTCTTAAATTTACAGCAAATTTTTTTTTTTTGAGGTTGATGCAGAAATCTGCAGTCTAGCGGTTGTGTAATTGCTTCATTCCGTTAACATTTGCAGATCCGACTTACAGAAGCTCAACAGCAGAAGACTGCTTCCCGAGACCTAAACCCGGAGCAGTTAGAGAAATTTTCTAAGTTGGAAGAGTGGAGGCAAGAACTCAAGGCTTTGGAGGATAAGGAGGCTTAACTTGCTGCAGCATCGACATGAATGGTCTAACTTTTAGACAGGCTGTAGTATCTCTCATGAAATTTCTGGAACCAATCCAAATTTGTATCAAGAAAAGAAAGCTGTTGTTACTTCTTAGGTTTTGTCAGATCTGATTAATGAACTTGGCGCAATGCCTGAATCCTCATGGGAATTGATGTCACATTGTGTTTATTTGGTCCTAATCTAAAGAATATGATTCCAAACAGATGATATAACTGTAAAGTTGTTTTAGGAAATATCACTCGATCAATCACTCACTTCTATCTGCATACATGTAGCAAACATCACTCTATCAAGGTGGACTGAAACGGCGTAGAGTTCGATCCTAAAGCTTTGGTGAGTTCAGGAAGATTTCTACGTATATGTAGACACAACGACATAGGTACATATACATACACATGTAGGCATATCTATGATTCTGCTTACATAATTTGAACTATTTTCTGTCTTATGCTCTAAAAGAACATCTCTACCATTAAAGTACATCTCAATACAGACCTTAAAATGTTAACCATTTGTATGCTTCCTGTTTCAGATTTATTTCATAAACAAGCTTCATCTGTAAAGAGGAAACACCATGGTGTTATGCTTGATTATGGATACCGTTTCTGCATTTTCCTAATTGGAGGTTGCAGTCATTATCAACTTTATAGTCACTTGCTATGATATGGTAAGTGTCTCTAGGTGGAATAGTTAATATATATCTAGGAGTAGTGGTTAAAATGTCTCACAGAGTCAATGATTATAAATCTTTCTGCATTATGCTTATTGGAGGTTGCTTTTACTGATTTTAATTACCAGTCATTATCAACTTTATTTTCACCTGCTATGGGATGGTAACTGTTTCTAGGTGCAATACTTGGTCTTAAAGTGACTATTGTGTATAAAAGAGGTCTTTGTATATCATAATTTGCTTGTCATTTAATAGATAAGTACCTATTTATTATTGTAGGCAAATTGTGGTGGCGTGGACCAACTTCCTGCAGAGTGAAAGAGGAATGATTGAATGGACAGGGAAGAAAGGTTTCACACTGTTGGTAACCTTATTAGTTCGTGTCATGTTCTAAGTCACATGAATCAGTTTTTTTACAACTTTTGAAAGTTCAACCTTTGAGAAATATCCGGAACAGGTTGTGACTGATTTCGATGTCAGTAGTTAATGTTGTTAGTTGAGGTAAGCCCCACTTGGCTTTTAACAAGAAACATCATTTATATGTTTCATCAAACTTCGATCAGAAACAAAACAAAGAATGAAGTTCTTCTTTATCTTTTTCATTTTCTTATTTTCCCTCTTGATTCAATCTTGTTACTCTGACAACACAATCTTGAGAAGACAGTCTTTGAAAGATGGTGATGTTATATTCTCTGAAGGAAGAAGATTTGCTTTTGGATTCTTCAGCTTGGGGAATTCAAAGCTCAGGTATGTTGGGATTTGGTATGCTCAAGTCTCTGAGCAGACTGTTGTATGGGTTGCAAATAGAGACCATCCTATTAATGACACATCTGGTCTCATAAAGTTCAGTACCAGAGGGAATCTTTGTGTGTATGCATCTGGAAATGGAACAGAGCCTATTTGGTCTACTGATGTTATTGATATGATCCAAGAACCAGCTTTAGTTGCGACGCTAACTGATTTAGGCAACCTTGTTCTGCTTGATCCTGTCACTGGGAAAAGTTTTTGGGAGAGCTTTAATCATCCTACAAACACTTTGCTTCCCTTTATGAAGTTTGGATTCACTCGTCAAGACGGTGTGGATAGTATTATGACATCTTGGAGATCTCCTGGTGACCCGGGTTCTGGAAACATTACATTCCGGATAGAACGTAGAGGGTTTCCGCAGATGATGATGTACAAGGGTCTGACTCTGTGGTGGCGTACTGGCTCATGGACAGGGCAAAGATGGAGTGGTGTGCCTGAAATGACAAACAAGTTTATCTTCAATATCTCCTTTGTGAGTAATCCAGATGAAGTATCGATCACTTACGGAGTGTTGGATGCTTCGGTTACAACACGAATGGTGCTAAACGAGACGGGAACTCTGCAACGGTTCAGATGGAACGGGAGAGATAAGAAATGGATCGGGTTCTGGTCAGCTCCCGAAGATAAGTGTGACATCTACAACCACTGTGGCTTTAACGGTTACTGTGATCCCACCAGTACAGACAAGTTTGAGTGCTCTTGCTTACCGGGGTACGAGCCTAAGACACCCCGAGATTGGTTCTTGAGGGATGCTTCGGACGGGTGCACGAGGATAAAAGCAGCTTCGATATGTAATGGGAAAGAAGGGTTTGCAAAGTTGAAGCGAGTGAAGATTCCCAATACATCAGCTGTTAATGTAGATATGAACATAACATTGAAGGAATGCGAACAGAAGTGCTTGAAGAACTGCTCTTGTGTCGCTTATGCGAGTGCTCACCATGAGAGCGAAAACGGAGCAAAAGGGTGCTTGACATGGCACGGCAATATGCTGGATACAAGGACATACTTGAGCTCGGGACAAGATTTCTACCTACGCGTAGATAAGTCAGAGTTAGGTACTAATATACATATACTCTGCAACTTGTTCTGTTTCATTGCAACAAAGGAGATAGAAGAGATGCGTCAATGCAGAGGAATTCCAAGTAATTTTGATTTGTTTGCTTGTTTCAGCACGGTGGAATGGAAATGGCTCATCAGGGAAGATGAGACTTTTTTTAATTCTCATCAGTTTGCTTGCAGTCGTCATGTTACTTATGATCAGTTTGTTCTGTTTCATAAGGAAACGAAGACGTAAGAAATTCTCTGATGATGATTGTATGTTTGCTTGCTTAGATCACAGCTAACAAATTGAAAACTTGCACAAGTGCAGAGTTTAAAAGGCTGAGAAGAGCTCCATCAAGCTTCGCTCCGAGCTCTTTTGATCTTGAAGACTCATTCATACTTGAAGAGCTTGAGGACAAATCGAGAACCCGGGAGTTGCCTCTCTTTGAGCTTAGCACGATTGCTGCAGCAACGAATAACTTCGCTTTTCAAAACAAGCTTGGAGCAGGTGGTTTTGGACCGGTTTATAAGGTATGGAAGAAGCAAAAACCATCTTCACATATGCCTAAAATATATATGTGCAAAATCTTTATCAATGCTTCTCCAACAAGAGCAATCTTTAGATTCAGTAAGTAATAGGTAATGTTTCCTTTGTTACTATTCAGGGAGTGTTACAAAATGGTATGGAGATAGCAGTGAAGAGGTTGTCAAAAAGCTCGGGGCAAGGAATGGAAGAGTTCAAGAACGAGGTCAAGTTGATATCGAAGTTGCAGCATCGAAATCTCGTGAGGATCTTAGGATGTTGTGTTGAATTTGAAGAGAAGATGCTGGTATACGAGTATTTACCTAACAAGAGCCTAGACTATTTCATATTCAGTACGTTTCCCTCTACAGATTCAAGTTTTCCCATTCAGGACGATCAGTGACTTTGAATTTGATTTCCTGTTTTCTTTTTCTCCTTTTTGTTCTCTTAGATGAGGAGCATAGAATTGAGTTGGATTGGCCAAAACGAATGGGGATAATCCGCGGGATTGCTCGTGGAATCTTATATCTTCATCAAGATTCAAGGCTGAGGATCATCCACAGAGACCTCAAGGCCAGCAATGTACTTCTTGACAATGAAATGATACCGAAGATTGCGGATTTCGGCCTGGCTAGAATCTTCGGGGGCAACCAAATCGAAGGAAGCACAAATCGAGTCGTCGGAACATAGTGAGTTAGTCTATATCAATCCCCACAAAACTCTCCTATTTCATTTTTTCAGTCTTTAAGGTCGTTTCAATCTCACTGTCACAGCGGATACATGTCACCAGAGTATGCAATGGACGGCCAGTTCTCTATTAAATCCGATGTCTACAGCTTTGGAGTATTGATCTTAGAGATCATAACCGGAAAGAAAAACAGTGCTTTCTATGAGGAATCTTTGAATCTAGTCAAACATGTAAGTAAAAACTTCTTCCTTTTTTTCACATAACTTGGGGCTGGAAAACAAAAACAGAGGAACAAAACAGAACATATAAGCAAATGTTTGTTTCTTCGTCTTGTAGATTTGGGATCGATGGGAAAAAGGTGAAGCTATGGAGATCATAGACAAATTAATGAGTGAAGATACTTATGATGTGAGCGAAGTGATGAAGTGCTTACACATTGGATTGCTTTGCGTGCAAGAAAACGCTTCAGACAGACCAGACATGTCATCTGTTGTGTTCATGTTAGGTCATAACGCCATTGATCTTCCATCTCCGAAGCATCCTGCGTTTACAGCGGGAAGGAGGAGAAAAGTCAAAACTGGCGGCAGCTCAGATAATTGGCCCAGTGGAGAAACCGGCAGTACTATTAACGACGTTACCCTCACCGATGTTCAAGGTCGCTAAGAAGTGTTTTTCTCTTCTTTATAAACTAAGAAGACTATAGGTATCAATTTATAGCAATACTTGTTATATAGAAAAATATTTGTATAAAATGTATGCAACATTATTTTTATAAAGTTACAAAATACCTAATGAAAAGAAAAGTTAGCCTCATTATACAGGGGATTACATAATTAATTAGCTTCATTTCTTCTCTACATGACCCGGCGACCAAAATATAGACTAGATCTCTTACTTCACAAGTCTCTGCCACGTTCAAAAACACATTTGACTCTGATCTTAAATTACACTTTGTGCTTTTGTTCCTTTTGACTTATTCTTTCACCTGAAATCCACAAAAAGGAAGACCAAAACTTAGATACAGATGCTGAAAATAAAAAACGAAGAGGAATGACACTTAATCACTTGGCTCAAGTTTTATCAATCACTAACCAACCATGTTATAATAATTGCATTTGTGTTGTTAACAGAGTCAAATCGAATCAGAGAAAAGTGTTCTGCCTAGGAACTACACAAGTGATTGGGTTCAAGATTTTTCAAGTTAAAACTAAACATCATCATCAACCATAAATCCATAAGGGACAATGATCTCAAACAAATCTTTGAGTCAACTTAGAAAGAGCTCATCATAGTTTTGTGTTTCTTAACTTACCAAGGAGCCGACAAAATTGTCTCAAACTCAAACTCCACACCTTCAAGCTCTACATCAAGATCTTTTACGCATGACTCCATCTGACATATCTTTTTGTAGGCTGCATCTTTCTGTTCTGTTGCTGCTTCCTTTTGTTTTTTTAGAGCGGCTTCTTGCCTATGCAGCTCAAGAATCTTTCGTTCTATCTTATCAAACTCTTGTTTAGCCTTTCGATTACTGCTAGATTCATCCGTCATCTCTTTGTCAAAACCTTTTAGTTCCTCCAATATATCTAGTTGTCTATCTTTGAGTGCCAACAGCTTGTCGATCCGTGATAAAGCCGTTGTAACACTGAAACCATATTTCTCTAGCTCCGAAAATGAATCTTTGAGGCTATGTAGTTGGCTTACGGGAACATCGGTTTCAAGATCTTTAAATTTCTCCAGTAACCCAGAATAAATCACCATCAGACCTAATGCATACCCTTCACGGAAATCTTCTTTACTCTTTAATAATGGGCTGAAATGAGGACTTTGTGGTACTCTTTTGAAGACCTCGGTTGATTCATATATCTTCCAACACGGTGACTTCTTCGCGAAAGGCAAAACCATTTCTGTATCCTTTGCTTGGGTTTCCTCAACATTAGAACCAACATTCTTCACCACATTGGGGGTCCGATCTGAGGATAACACTGGACAGATCAACATATACCCAAAACAATAAGAATAAAGTACTTTGTTTAGTGTATCTACCAGTAATAGTTATTACTTATCATGGATCTCAACCTTTTGACCATTGCAAGAAGATCCTAAATTCCAAAAGGTCCAATGAGAGTTGAAACATACCAGTCTTATTGAGGTCTGAATTGTGTTCTAGTTGTCCTCTCTTCCTCTTTCGAGTGTAAACTTTGCTGTAATGCTTCTCAGGAATCTGTGCATAAAAGTATTAAAACAAAAGGAGAGCCATCTCAAAGATAAATAAGTAATCATGAAGATTATGTTAAAACAATACCTTCTCTCGAGTTGGCTCATTTCTCGAGCCAATTTGATTCTTCATTGGCTCAGGGGATATCTTTCCCTGGGTTTTGTTCATTGTTGCAGTCATGCCCAGGGTTATATGTGAACCAGATTCCTTTTCTGACAAAACATAGACCATTTAAGACCAATTTCATGGTAAAAAAAACAAACAAGGGTTGTGAGAGAATCCACTGGCGGGATTATGACCAGAGTATAACCATTTACTACATCGTTAGCCATCTCATTTCCCGGCAATTCCTTTGTCTGCACATTTCTAGTGTCCAAAGCCACTGGCTTGTTTCCTTTGCCGTCTAAAGAAATTTCTTTTTGACCTTTTGGCTGAAAATAGAGATAACATAAATACACTTGAATTAAGCCTCAAAGATGTCCCACTAAATAAACCAAACCAACACAATGTTGAATGAAACCAGTGATAAAATTACCTTTGTTCTTTTATGCCAAACTCCATCCTCCCACTCCATTGGAGGCCTAAGATCTAAGTGACTGAATTGTGACGCCTCCTTTGTTGTCCCAAAACTTACCATGTACCGTCCCTCAAAGACAATTCCCCTCACCACACCTTCACGCCATTCAAAACCACTAAATGCCTCTACATGATCCAACAATTCATAATTTCCAACAGAAAATGAAGGCTGCATAGGCCTTAGTCTTATGGATTCAACGATTATGATATTTGATTCCCCGCTGCAGCTATAGGAATTATTCCAGTACTTGACAATAAACCTCTTCTCATTCTCCAACTCCTTAATGACAATTGCCGGAAGCCAAGCAAAATCAAATCTCAATTCCACCATTGTCCCGGAACTAAAAACAACAGACTTGACCAATTCCTTCAAAGACAACAAACATATGACAACGGATAAAGTTAAAAACTTTGACATGCAAAGGAGAAACGATTCAAAACAAAACTAATCATACCTTATTAACAGGTCGGATCCATTTGAAGCCGGTCCAATCAAAATGAACCCTCAATATCTTTCTCTCAAGCTGTATAATGTCTGGTGGGCAATCGAAGTAAACCAAAAACTTCTCATCCTCCATTGTTTTTACTACCACACCAGTCCACCACCCATATTTAAGATAAGCGTCGACCATCAAGCCTTCTTCAAAAACAACGCCGTCGTTCACATCCTCCGATGGGACAGGTCGAATTAAGCTCTGATCAACGAATTCCGTTAAAGGAGCCGAACGGTCTCCATTCAGCAGCGTCAAGTAACGAACTTTAAGCTTCTTGTGTCCTGATTTCGTTGGATTATCTTCAAGAATCGCTCTGTAATAAGACCCTTTTAACTCTTCCTCTTCAAAAAAGACTTCGACTCTGTCGTCTTTTCTAATGAATAGCATTTGCTCCATCTCAAAACCCCTAAATTGAAAACTAAAAAGGCTCCTTCTTTTCTCTACTAAACCTAATTTGAAACGAAGCCAGTTCTCTTCTACTGAAACCCGAAAACCATATATATGAAGGAGAAATTTACTTCTCTTTTTGCAAGCCAAAAGACAGTGCTAGTGTCTAGCGGAGAAGACGATACACCTTCCCACCTTGGGAAAAGTGTCCAATTTAGTTTTCGTTTTTTTGGCGCTTGAAATTATGAAAAAAAAAAAACTGATTTTAAGAATTATCAGGCCCAAACTATCTAATGGGCCTAACCAAAACGCTGTCGTTTAATCACGGAGCAGGTAAATAAAAATATCTTATCTTCTCCAAAACTCTAGTGAAAGTCTAAGCGAACAACACTCTCTCTTCGATTTCTGCAGTTTCAATGGCTTCCTTCACAACATCTTCGTCTTCCTCGCTTCTCCCTAAAACACTTCTCCCGGTAAGCCACCTGAATCGTTTCTCTACACTCTCCGGTATCCGCGTTGGCGACACATGGACTCCTCTGCTTCGGAGCATCTCCACCGCTGGGTCTCGGCGTCGAGTGGCGATTGTCAAAGCTGCGACGGTGGATTCTGATTACTCGTCGAAACGGAGTAGTAGTAATGAGCAGAGAGAGACGATTATGCTTCCTGGATGTGATTACAATCATTGGCTTATTGTAATGGAGTTTCCTAAAGATCCAGCTCCAACTAGAGAGCAGATGATTGATACTTACCTTAACACTCTTGCTACTGTTCTTGGAAGGTTCGTTTTCGCTTTGTTATTGATTCTCTTCGTTGTTGAATTAGTTAGCTAATAGGTGATATATATTGGTGTTGTTGATGAACTTGTCATGAATCCTTTGATTGAAATCAATGTTGCGCATAGGAAGATTTGGGTTTTTGTGAGATTAGGGTTTTCACTTGGTTTGTGATGATAATGTAAGGTAAGGGTTTAGTGAGCTGAGTAAAGCTGAAAGCTTTAAAATTACTCTGAAGGTGACCTAGTTTCCAGAATTTGTTCTTAACTTTATCTTAGGATTCGTTATGAATATATAGCAGTGTAGTCGTTAGCTAATTTTTTTCATCTCTTGATATGTGTAAACATATTGAACATTGCTGTCTGATTTGATGTCTAAAACACTCTGCTCTTTAGCCTAATTATGAATGAAAATAGGGGGATGAATAGAAGCATCTATTTGCATATTATCTTCAAGCTATGTATGAATTTTAGATGTTTTGTATGTTTCTCTTTGTTAAAAGTTGATGTGGACAGTGTAAACAAGTAAAAGGAGTTTAGTGTACAATTTTGAAGAGCATTAGATTGGCACTCCTGACTAGAAATTTCTGGATAAAGCAAGGAACGAGTTTGTGTTACACAACTAATGACTAAAACTTTAGTTTATTTGTTACTACTCTCTATTCTAGACTTTAATTTATTTGTTGCTACTCTCTATTTTAGAGAACTTCGAATCCTTTTCACTGTCCTGCTGCTGTTAAAGCCAATTAGTGTCTTGTGTCCTTGTATGTGCTTAGTGAGTGTACTTGTGTCTATTTTCCAGCATGGAAGAGGCAAAGAAGAACATGTATGCATTCAGTACCACCACGTATACTGGATTCCAATGCACCATCGACGAAGAAACATCTGAGAAGTTCAAGGGTTAGTTAGTGAGCAAGAAGAGCTTAGTTTATATGCTTGTACTCGTCGAAAACCTTCAATATCGTTCTGTCTTTCATTTTTTCACAGGTTTGCCTGGAGTACTCTGGGTCTTGCCTGACTCCTACATAGATGTCAAGAACAAAGACTATGGAGGTAACCCTATCAAAGCCTGATTTTAAATTTTGTAGGGTCTCTCTTAGTATCTATGTCCTGATCATTGGATGGTCCTTTTTTTGGTTTAGGCGACAAGTACATCAATGGAGAGATTATCCCGTGCACATACCCAACATACCAACCAAAGCAGCGCAATAACACGAAGTATCAAAGTAAGAGGTACGAAAGAAAAAGAGATGGTCCTCCACCTCCTGAACAGAGGAAACCAAGACAAGAACCCGCCGCTTCTGATTCCTCTTAAACGATAATAAGATAATGGAGTGTTTGCAAGTTTTGATCTTTTGGTTAGTCCCTTAGCTTATTGAAGTCGGGTGTAAAATCGTCTAGTACCCAAATGATGATTACTATCATCACCACACCTTCTTGAACAATATTTATTGTTATGTAGGATGAACTTCAACTTGAACCATTTGTTTATTTAGGATATGTTTGGCTTTGGTTTGGTTTGGTTTGATTTCTTTGTCAACCACTACTTTATGCCACGTTTTCTCAACACCAATTTCAGACAAGACAAAGCAATTGCGTCTGTTGATACTTTTTTTGTAGGGTCACACTCGTCACCAACTCACCATCTACATCAGTCGTCCCTACCTTATCAACACATCACATGGAAATAATACACTACTCTCTCTCGGACTTAGAACCAAACATTTCAAATTAGTTTAATCTACAATACACTGCTCCAGCCGAATCTTTTTCTCTCATCAACCGCAGAGAAAGACTTTCAAGATCATCCTTCAAGCTCTCTCAAATGGCCAATTTCTATGAGAATTACCAGATTCCTTACGATTACAATCAGGTTAATAATCTCTACGATCAAAATCATTATCATTACAACCAACAGCAGCAGCTTGGTTTCGAACCAATGAGTTATAATTATTATAACTGGAATCAATCTGAATCTGAATCTGAATCTGTTGCTTACTCTGGTTATGATGATCCAATGAGTTATAATTGTTATAACTGGAATGGATCTGAGTCTGAGACAACCTCTGCATCTGTTGCTTACTCTGTTTCTACCATGTCTGAGCCTAAACACTTGTTCTATGATCCGAATCTCTATACAACGTACGAATCTCCTCCTCAGTTTAGTATCTATCGCTCTGTAGCCTCTGCTCTTGACTTCAACGAGCCGGAATTCGATGATTATGATCCGACGCCGTACGGTGGTGGCTACGACGTTGTTGCAACCTATGGAAAACCTTTTCCTCCATCGGTGGAAACTTGTTACCCTTCTTCAACCCCTCCTAACGCTAAAGCTCCCTCTCCTCCTGAGATTATCGCTCCTGTTCCTCTTGGAATTTATGATGGTGGTCAAAAGAATGTTATCAAGAAACGTGTGTCTTTCGCTGAACCGGTAGAAGAAGCCAAACCAATGGAAACCATTAAAGAAGAAGAACAAGAACAAGACGAAGAAGATGAAGAAGAAAGTGAGGAAGACGATGATGATGATGTTGATGAAGAAGAGGATGAGGAAGCTAAAGAAGAAGAAAGAGATCACATTTCAAGCTATGGAAATGAGAAATTTGCAGCTGTAGATAAAGGAGAAGTGAAAGCTTTGTATGTTCCGTCTGGTTACGGCTTAGAAGCAACGGATCTCTGTGAGGTTATATTTGGAGGTTACTTTCCTTGTGTGTTACGTAACAAAAGACGTCAGGAAGATGAACAAGATCGTGCAGCTGCTGTTTCTTGCTGGGAAAGCAACGATTCTGATCCGTGGAAGACGACTTCCGATTACCTTTTCGGGGATTCATACCCGTACGGTAACGAGAATTGGAGCGAAAGAAGTAAGTTCGAGATCTCCTCTTATGGTTACCGGATGTATTAACTACCCTAGTTATCATCAGATGTGTCAATGTGAGGTAAGAACAACATTCTTTTGATTATGAACCTGATTTATTAGTATATCTTATACAAGAGATAAGATTTACTGTTGTATAATGAGGAGGGATTACTTAATAATAAAACTTTGCACGCAAAATTTATCTTCAAACTTTCTTTTTGTAACATTCTCTTCTTTTTAAAAAAAAAAATCCAACGTCAGTAATGTTTTTTTTTTAATTCGTTTGTCTAAAATTTAAAATCTTTAAATACCACACTCGATATGATAATTCATTACTATTGTAGGATCCATCGTAATTATTTTTGGTCTATATACTGATATACATTTCTTTGTGAAAAAGACCAAATAAATGAAATAATGTGCTATGGTATATCTATCAATGTGAGTAGAAGTCAACTATGAAGATGAAAAAGCTGAAGTTAAAGAACACTCTAAAAACAAAGAACACCATGTGGTTGTATCAACGGTTTCTTGAGTATCACTAAAGAAAAATGTTACCAAGAATATTATATTTTGTGTTTTTTGGAAACTCTTTTGAGATGTTAACCAATAAATTAAGTAAATACATTTTCGGAAATTATTTTTGTGGATGTAAGTTGTTTACTTTTTTTGGGTAGGAATATATGTAAGTTGTTTACTTGAGCATGTAACTGTTTTGAAGCAAAGAAAAAAAAAAAATGGTAAGCATGGAATTTTCAAAACTATACTAATTATAGACAATATGTAAACACGGAAAACAAAACCAAAAAACGTATATACACGTGATAATATAATAAGACACAATGACATGTTACTTTTTTTTTTTTTTTTTTTAATGAGCAAATATTGATCTGGAGGCTTAATTAACTCTCTTTTTGAGACGTCTTACTTTTTTTATATTCTTATCCCTTTCCATTTCAGTTATATATAGTATAATCGGATCAATTCACCATATATAAAAACCCTTCATCAAATAGAAAATCACCATTTATAAAAGTATAATAACTATTGAGCTTTGGTTCTAACTTTTTTTATCGAATAATCTTTTTGGTTCACATTAAATATAGTTTTTTTTTAATTGGTACATTTTAAGTGACGTTTTAAAGTTTTTATGCAAAAAAAATATATATATATATTTGATTTTTTAAACATTTATATACTGCAATATGCTTTTTTCTTGGTTGAATTAGTTTTAATTAAATAAATTTTTATATAAAACGATAAATTAAATGAAATTTATATTATTTTTTAATTTATGTACCAAAACTTTAAATATTATTTAAAATGAAACAAATAGAATATATTATATACCAATCTTGTGAATTTATTCTAGAACAAGTCAGAACCACTAACTCAATTGTTATTATATTTGGTGAATTGATCTAATTAGTAGAAGGAATATATCTGTCTGCACTACGGGAGAGAAAATGCCCCCTCCATTATTTTCTAATGAGCTATACGAAAATACGAGAATATGAACGCACAAGCAATTTCACGAAGACTAACGAGCCATGCTCACCAAAACAAAACAAAAATCAGTCCAATTACAATTGAAGGTAAAGAACCCAAACTTGAACCTATCCAGACGGACATGCAAGTGTATAATTAAGTGTTACTCCCTCCGTTTTCGAATAGTTGTCGTTTTAGAGCATTTTTTTGTTTTAAATTAGTTGTCGTTTTAAGGTAATAATGTAACTTATGCCAATAACTACCCAAATTACCCTCATTTAATTAAACACAAATTATTTGTAAATAATTATTTGTCATTTTTATAAGGTTAATATAGTCATTGTATACCTTTTCTTAATTTGTCCAAATACAGTTAAAACGACAACTTTTAAAAAACAGAGGGAGTATTAGATTACACTAAGTATAGATTTAGATATATACCGACACTATTTTACTTCATTTGCATGACTTCATTTTCCTACTAGACTGATCAGTTCCCATATCTCTCAAGTCTCGACTCTCTTTTATCAAAATTATTACGATAATTTATAAGGTGCACCGTGCACGGCAGATAACACGTGTGATAGCCAATGTATCGGTGTCTCATATAACGTATAAAATGGAAAGCTAATTAATGAAAAAAGCTAATTTAATTATCGGCGTCTCATGAAACATGTGATAATGGCAATGTATCGGTGTATCATTTCTACAATACAATGGCACAAAAAAAAAAAAAAAAAAAAAACAGTAAAGGTAATCGTAATTGTATATCGCAACATTGACCGGAAAAAAAAAAGATTTTTACTGCAGCAGCGACGAATTGTTAAACTTATCCTACTTTTGTAATAGTGCTTTGTTCCCATCTTCACAAACGCTTATACTCTATATATAAGAAAATTTTTTATTAAAAAAACCAAAAATAAAATAAAATTAAGCTAGTTATGTGGGTGGTAACATTTAAATTGTTTAAATATTTTAACTTTTTAGATAATATTTTTTTTTTACTTTTCCACACATAATGCGGAACAAGATTCTAATATTATTTAAATTGAACTAGACACCACTAAGTTTTTTTCTTTTTTTGGTAGAAAGACCACTAATACAAAAATTCTTCAACTCTGGGTTTTTTTCTATTAGAATGAGAGAGAACCCATACACACACCTTCTTATAAATATGGGAAGGTTGCCAAACTCAAAGCACATTGGGTCTTAACTCTGTCTATTACACACACACACACACACACATAGAAAGAAAGAGAGGACTAGAGAGAGATAGGTGAGGATATGGGAGGAGTGAAAGTAGTCTCAAAATGGCCACCGTTTATAGTTATGGTGACATCACAAGTAGCGATGGGTTCGGTGAATGCACTTGTGAAGAAAGCTCTCGATGTTGGTGTGAACCATATGATCGTTGGTGCTTATCGAATGGCTATTTCCTCTTTCATTCTGGCTCCTATTGCCTATTTTTTGGAAAGGTTTATTGATATTTTGGTGAAAATTTTCAAAAGATTATTTTCATATTTATATACCACTTATCAACACTTACTATAAGAATAAAGTACGTCTTGAGGCCAATAAAATTGAAGATTGTGAGAATTCTCTATTTTAAACATGTAAATAAACACCCCTATATGTTACTAATATATGAAGTTTATTGACTTTTTTTTCCCTAAAATTTATGTCTTATTGTTAACAGGAAAATAATACCGCAAATAACGTTTAGGCTAATGGTCGATCATTTCATCAGTGGTTTGCTCGGGTTTGTCTTTTCAAAACTAATTTCTCAATTTATTGTGTTCTTTCGTCATTTTCAATTTCTCTTTATACTATACGTTGATTTTTTTTCCACATAGGAAAGATTTTCTTTCAAGTAGCATAAAAATCATCATAAGCTAAATTATTTTTAATTTGAGTTTAGTTTTGGGTTTTAATTTGCAGGGCAAGTTTGATGCAATTTTTCTATTTGCTGGGTCTGTCGTATACGTCAGCAACTGTTGCGTGTGCTTTGATAAGCTTGATGCCTGCAATCACTTTCGCTTTCGCTCTTATTTTCAGGTAATGATGGAACCATCTAACTTCATTATCATTAATAAGTATATACTATTACTATGTAATGGGTCCATGTAGGATTATAATTAGTTTTGTTATGTATAAATGCATATAATTCCTTCTTTTTTTCACCAAGCATATCACTTTTATACCAATACTCAAAAGCACCTTACTCATAAATTATCTCAAAATTATCATCTAAACAATTACATTACTTTGCAGGACTGAAAAGATAAAAAGTCTAAAGACCCAAGCAGGAATGATAAAAGTGATGGGAACTCTCATATGTATAGGTGGAGCTTTGTTCTTAACATTTTACAAAGGCCCTCATATATCAAACTCTCACTCTCACCGAGAGGCTCTTCCTCACAACAACAGCAATCACAACACCAAGAATTGGCTTCTTGGATGTCTCTACTTAACCATAGGAATCGTGTTGCTGTCTCTATGGATCTTGTTTCAAGGGACTTTAAACATCAAGTACCCTTGCAAATTCTCAAGCACTTGTCTCATGTCAATTTTCGCAGCTTTGCAATGTGCTCTATTGAGTCTTTACAAGAGTAGAGATCTTAAACATTGGATCATCGATGATGGATTTGTAATCGGTGTCATCATATATGCTGTAAGTTTTAATATTATATTTTCATAAATCTAAATTTTAGTCAATTATAAAGTTAGTACACAAAATGTAACTAGTAATGCTTTTCTTAGTCTTTGTTTTACAAAAATTTGAAAATTTTGTCTACAACTTGGATAAATTACTCTTAATTACCATATATACTACGTATATTATAGGGAGTGGTAGGACAAGCAATGTCGACTGTAGCAGCGACATGGGGAATAAAGAGATTAGGAGCTGTTTTCGCATCAGCAATTATGCCAGTTTCTCTAATTTCGGCTACTCTATTCGATTTCCTAATCTTACACACTCCTTTATACCTCGGAAGGTACTCTCTACGATCATCTCTTTAAATTCGTTTCTAGATAGCTTTATATATGTAAATGTATGTAGGTTCATGCTCATAACACTAATCACATGTTTTTTTTTCCTAACTTTTGCTATACAGTGTGATTGGATCAGTAGTAACAATAATAGGTCTTTACGTGTTCTTGTGGGGTAAGAACAAAGAAATGGAAGCATAACTACATTGTCTTCTCGGATGAATAACGAATAACGAAGACAATGTAGTTATTGTTATAATACATCATATTGGACTTATAACCGGGCCCAATAAGCCCATCAGGGTTATTCATTATGTACTCTAAAACCCTAGGTTTATATGCCTATATATATGTATCATTATTCATGGAATGAGAAGAGACAACAATAAGTTTCACAACACGTTATCAGCACGAGTTTGCTCTTAACAACCCTAACCCTAAAAATCGCAAAACACTGTTCACGCCGACACTGTTCATCAGTACTGTTCATCGGTACTGTTCATCGACAGCGTGAGTTACCGAGGTCTTAAGCTCCCGGTTCAATCCGTTCAACCCCAATTGGTGAAAGGTAAAAACAAAACCTTAAAAGCTTAAAGATCAAAAATCGAACTTGAACCTAATGCAAAGCGAAATCTTAAAAACGGATAATGATTGATTAAGTGATTGCTTTTGCTTGTATGATTCGATTGCTTGACTCGTTTAAGTTGTTAGAAAAGTTATTGCTTAAACCTAACTCTCAAAATCGAAAACACTTAGCCATGGCTGAAACCTTAAAACCTAAATCAAATCAAATCCGAAATCCCTAAAATATAAATCGATTGATTGAGGTTGTTTAGGTTGTTTAGATTGATTATTTCTATGATTGATTGCATGCATAAATTGATAGAAATCAAAACCTAAAATCGCATGAACCCTAAAAACGTTTTGCGTTTGAAAACCGCAAAATTCAAATCGTTTTCCTCAAAGAGAAACGAAAACCCTAATTCGTGTATCCCCTAAACCGGAAATCATTCTTGGTTAACCCCTAAACCCGAATATCAATTCGGTTCATCGGTTAAACCGATTATCAAACCGGTTCCGAAAATAATAACCGGATCTCAATCTGGGTAAACCGGTTCAAACTGGTTATTCTAAACCGGAAATCAATTCGGCCCAACTTTAAACCAGAATCTAATATTCCGGTTCAACTTTAAACCACTAAACCGAACTTATGTTCTGTAAAACCAAACCGTATCCTTAAAATTTACGATTTCCGAGAAAGTTTCCTAAATTAGAAGGTTTCCCGAAATAGAAACTTTCCTCAAATAGAAACTTTCCTCATTTAGAAGGTTTCCTCAAATAGAAACTTTCCCCATTTAGAAGGTTTCCTCAAATAGAAACTTTCCTCATTTAGAAGGTTTCCTCAAATAGAAACTTTCCCCATTTAGAAGGTTTCCTCAAATAGAAACTTTTCTCATTTAGAAGGTTTCCTCAAATAGAAACTTTCCTCATTTAGAAGGTTTCCCCAAATAGAAACTTTCCTCATTTAGAAGGTTTCCTCAAATAGAAACTTTCCTCATTTAGAAGGTTTCCTCAAATAGAAACTTTCCTCATTTAGAAGGTTTCCTCAAATAGAAACTTTCCTCATTTAGAAGGTTTCCTCAAATAGAAACTTTCCTCATTTAGAAGGTTTCCCTCAAATAGAAACTTTCCTCATTTAGGAGGTTTCCTAAAATAGAAACTTTCCTCATTTAGAAAGTTTCCCAAATTAGAAACTTTCCTCATTTAGAAGGTTTCCCTCAAATAGAAACTTTCCTCATTTAGGAGGTTTCCTAAAATAGAAACTTTCCTCATTTAGAAAGTTTCCCAAATTAGAAACTTTTCTCAAATAACAAACCCCTAATGAAATCAATTTCATGTTTTCAGATGTCAAACATTCAAAAAGTCGAGTTCGAGGCCCTCAAGGTCTCCGGTGAAAACTATCTCGAATGGGCCATGGACACCAGGATTTTCCTCAACTCAAAGGGACTGGGTGAGTGTATCAAAGCGGATAACACCGCATCTGATAAAGACCGGTCCCAGGCGATATTTCATATCCGCCATCATTTGGCCGCAAGCCTCAAACAGCAATATCTCACTCTTGAGAACCCACTCGAACTTTGGGTGGCCCTGAAAAAAAAACGGTATGATCACCAGAAAACGGTGCTCTTGCCACAAGCCAAGTTTGACTGGAAGGAACTCCGGTTCCAAGATTACAAATTTGTGGATAACTACAACTCCGAACTCTTTCGGATAGTTTCAATCATGAAACTATGTGGTGAAGAGGTGTCTGATAATGATCTCCTCGAGAAAACATTATCCACCTTCCATACCCAAAATATTGTGCTTCAGCAACAATATCGTGCAATGAAACATACATTGTACGAAGATTTGTTATCCTGTTTGCTCTTGGCCGAGAAAAACAATGACCTGTTAATGAGGAACAGTGCCCAGAGGCCCCCGGGATCGGCTCCAGTACCAGATTCCCGCAAAGAATCCTACAATGTCCAGCGAGACAGATCCTCAGATCGTGGCCGTGGACATGGGAATGGACGTGGAAATGGACGTGGCAACCGACATAACCTCGGTTATGGTTCCGGTAAGGGCCGTGGTATCTCTAAACCAAACCGCCCTGCCCACCCAACCAATCAGCCTGCACCAGATGCGGAATGTTCAATCACTGGACAAAGAACTGTCGTACTCCCAAGTTTCATTACGATTTGTATCAGAAACATGGGAAAGCACCTGCTGAAGCTAACATGGCCCAGCAAGTTGATGCTGACGACACCACCACCGAGCCGACCGATCCCATAGACTACGAGATCTCAGATCTCCTCAATTGATCCTATCATCTGAACATGTGTTGTTATCAAACGGCACACATCTGGACATTCCAGATGCATTATACTCACCCAGCTCAAAAAGAAATCTTTTGAGTTTTAAAGATATCAGACTTAATGGTTTCCACATAGAAACCCAGGGTGAAAGGAACAAAGAATCCCTACTGATCACTAAGATCACACTTGGCCATAAACAAGTCCTCGAGACTATACCCACATTATCTACTGGCCTTTACTATGCTAAGGTCAGTATGATTAAGGCTAATAATGCTCTCAAAGCCCGATTCCAAGACTACACTATTTGGCACGACCGGCTTGGTCATCCCGGTACGACCATGATACGTAAATTAATCCAAAGTTCTCAAGGACACACCCTTCGAGAAAACCGAGTCTTCCCTCAGCACCTCATGTGCACAGCTTGCTCCCAAGGGAAGTTGATCACTCGGCCTTCACCAGTAAAAGTGTCCAAAGAGACATTACATTTTCTGGAAAGAATCCAAGGAGACATCTGTGGTCCCATTCACCCACCTTCTGGGACATTCCGGTACTTCATGGTACTAATAGACGCTTCGACCCGTTGGTCGTATGTCTGCCTATTGTCTTCTCGGAACCAAGCTTTTGCTAGGTTGTTGGCTCAAATCATCAGATTACGAGCCCTTTTTCCAGACTTCCCACTAAAGACTATACGTCTTGACAATGCTGGTGAATTCACTTCCCAAGCGTTTAATGATTACTGTATGGCCATGGGGGTAACCGTTGAACATCCTGTGGCACATGTCCATACTCAGAATGGACTTGCTGAATCATTCATTAAACGAATCCAATGGATTGCTCGACCATTACTCATGAGGTCGAAACTCCCGGTCTCAGCTTGGGGACATGCAGTATTACATGCTGCTGAATTAATACGCATCCGGCCATCTAGTGAGCATAGATATTCCCCATCCCAATTATTAACGGGTCATGAGCCAGACATCTCCCATCTCAAAACATTTGGGTGCTCAGTCTATGCACCCATTGCTCCACCACATAGAACCAAAATGGGACCTCAAAGGAGGATGGGAATATATGTTGGTTTTGATTCTCCCACCATCATCAAATATCTCGAGCCGACCACTGGAGACCTATTTAAGGCCAGATATGCGGATTGCCAATTTGATGAATCGGTATATCCAACATTGGGTGGAGAGAAACACAAGCTGGTCAAAAAGCTATCATGGAATCAAACATCCTTAAATTGGCAAGATCCTCGGACTCTAGAATGTGATTCAGAGATCCAAAAGATTATACACTATCAAAAGCTAGCTAATCAATTGCCAGATTCCTTTGCTGACCCGAACAAAGTAACCAAATCGTACATACCAGCTTGTAATGCACCAGTACGAATCACTGTTCCAACGGGACAAGTTCAAGTTGCTACAGAGTCTGCATCACGAAATAAACGTGGCAGACCTCTAGGTTCCAAAGACAAGAATCCACGGAAATCAAAGAAAGGTGCAATAGTTGAAACCGGGATTCCCAATATAACAGACATAGCGCGCGCTGAGACTCACTCTAATGAACCACCAGAAGAGGTTCGGGACGCCGAATCTCTAGGTTCTGACGAGATCGATAACGATGAGATCTCTATCAATTACAACATGTCTGGAACCCAATGGAACAGAAAAGAAGTCGACTTAAATGCACTCTTTGCATACAAAGTAGCACTTGATATTGCGAACACGCAAGAGGATCTAGAACCCACGTCTATCACAGAGTGCACTCATAGAACAGACTGGCTAAAATGGAAAGAAGCCATAAACGTGGAGTTAAAGAGTCTCAAACTCAGGAATGTGTTTGGTCTGATCATCCGGACACCATTCAATGTCAAACCAGTGGGCCATAAATGGGTCTTTGTGCGTAAAAGAAACGAACTCGGTGAAGTCGTTCGTTATAAAGCACGGCTTGTAGCACAAGGATTCTCACAGAGACCCGGAATCGATTATGAGGAGACTTATTCTCCGGTGGTGGATGCAACTACTTTTCGATTCCTCATAAGTCTGGCCATAAGAGAAAATCTAGATTTGCGGTTAATGGATGTTGTCACCGCATATCTCTATGGGCCCCTGGACAATGAAATATACATGAGATTACCAGATGGCATTGAGCTTAAAGATAAGCATGCATCTCGAGATCAATACTGCATCAGGCTGAACAAATCCTTGTATGGACTGAAACAAAGTGGACGTATGTGGTATAACCGGTTAAGTGAATATCTCATCAGAGAAGGCTACAAAAACGATCCCATCAGTCCATGCATTTTCATCAAGAAATACTCAAACAAAGGATTTGTAATCATAGCAGTTTACGTGGATGATCTAAACATCCTCGGAACATCTGGTAAAATCTCCCAAACAGTCGACTGCTTGAAAGCAGAATTCGAAATGAAAGACCTAGGTAAAACTAAATTCTGTTTGGGTTCACAACTTGAGTACGTCAAAGGAGGAATCCTTGTGCATCAAGCGGCTTATATTGAAAAAGTACTCAAGCGATTCAACATGGACCAGGCCCACCCATTGACCAGCCCAATGGTTGTTCGGAGCCTAGGATTGGACAGTGATCCACTCGGTCCCAAGAAGGACGATGAAGAAATTCTCGGTCCAGAAAAGCCATACCTCAGTGCTGTAGGAGCGTTAATGTACTTGGCTAGTCACACTAGACCAGACATTTGCTTTGCCGTGAACCTCCTAGCTCGCTTCAGCTCATGTCCAACTCAGAGGCACTGGAATGGTATCAAACACCTCCTAAGATACCTTCAAGGTACTAAAGACTTAGGACTGTTTTACACTAACCACAACAAGGATGGACTAGTTGGCTTTGCTGATGCCGGATATCAATCAGATCCGCACAATGCCAAGTCTCAAACTGGTTATGTGTTCACGCATGGAGGAACAGTTATCTCTTGGAGATCGATAAAGCAGACAATCACTACCACTTCATCAAACCATGCAGAACTTTTGGCCATTCACGAAGCCAGCAGAGAATGTGTTTGGCTACGATCCATGACTCAGCACATCCGATCAGATTGTGGTATGAAAGAAGATAAGGAGCCCACGGTTATGTTTGAAGACAACGCGGCTTGCATTGCTCAACTCAAGGAAGGTTATATCAAAGGAGATCGGACGAAGCACATCCTACCTAAATTCTTCTCAACCTCGGATTGGCAGAAGGATGGTACGATCAGCGTTCAACAGGTCCGATCAAGCGATAACTCCGCCGACCTTTTCACCAAATCATTGCCCGCTTCAACACTCCGGAAGCTCATCCAACAAATAGGAATGCGTAGACTTAGAGATCTACGGTGATGCTCTAATCAGGGGGAGTAATGCGTGTTGTACTCTTTTTCCTTCACCATGGTTTTTCCCACTGGGTTTTCCTGGTAAGGTTTTAATGAGGCAACATTCCCCAGCGTATTATCGAAATCCCGATTGACCATCAGGTCCGGTTACTCCGTCCAAGGGGGAGTGTTATAATACATCATATTGGACTTATAACCGGGCCCAATAAGCCCATCAGGGTTATTCATTATGTACTCTAAAACCCTAGGTTTATATGCCTATATATATGTATCATTATTCATGGAATGAGAAGAGACAACAATAAGTTTCACAACAGTTATGCTTATATTATGACGAGCCTCATATTATTGTTTCACAACAATTATATTATGACGAGCCTCATATTATTGTTTTAGTTTCAAAAACTCTGTTTCTTGGATTGTTTTTTTTGTGTTGCTTTTAAATGTGTTGTGATTTTGAGTTTGTAGCCTGCTGCTAAAACAGCCTGAAAGGATAATTTATGTGATATGGACTGTAAATTTTCGAAAAGTCCACAAGTGCTAACACTAAGAGAGGCACTATATGCAAAATGGAGGAAGCCATGCCATGAAAGAAGTTGATGCATTCAAAATGAGGTTGTAAATTCCTAATTAAAAACCTTGGTCTATAAAGTTAAGGCCACTTTGTATGAGTGTAATGCAGAGTAGTATATCATTCTACTTGGATTAATTCCCAGTTAAGAAGAGATACATAATGATTCCGAGGCTTATAACATGAAGAGGTATTCGACAAGAGATGAAAAGAGAAGGCAAAGAGTACATAAGAAAGCGCACACACACACCAAACTAATAGTTAAATCATTCACTTGCGACAGCGAGGGGACGAACAGCTCGAACTATCCCACGTTTCTTTAAAAGCTCAGTCTCCAAACGCAGGAGAGACACGTAAGCAGGCCAATTCTTGTTAGGTTGGTCCTTTCGGTCGCAGTCTGGGTCTACTTTCTTCAAGTAGGCGTGAGCATCATCTAAGCCTCTCGTCTTAGCAATGACATTCACAAAAAGTGCAAGCTCTGAGGTAGAAAAACTCATCTTCTTTTTATCCATCCACTCAAAAATCTTTTAAACAAAAAAAAAATTCATAAATCGTAACCAAAAAAATAAAAATAATGTTAGATATATATTGATAAGATGATAGACCTCGAGTGCATATTCACGTTTGCCTTCCTTGTCAAGTTGCTTTGCCCAGCTGACGAGATCTTCATGAGTGACGGAAACACCTTTCTTCTCTTCATCCTTCATTATGAAATCTAAAGTCTCACTGATAAGAGACCCCAGCTTCTTGAAAATACTACTTTTCGCACTCTCATGAGCAGCAGAAGGAGAAGAAGCTCTGTCTCCTGTCGTCAATGGAGGAGTCGCGTTCTCAGTAGAAGAAGAAAACGGCGCCGTTATTCTCATAGGCGTAGCAATCTTCATCTCTCTCTTCCAAAGATGAAAAGAACCTCCTGCAATTCGGCGCAAGTTCAACATTTTCCAAACCCTAATTTTGACAACCTAGCTAAATTCGTTAATACAAAAATACACACGACTTTTTGTTATTTGTTAAACCGGGGATATCTCCCTTAATTATATATATGTACAGTATATCAATGATTCCATTTACTTAAAACCTAATTCTGTAAAAAACCATGAAAAAACACATTTTCATAGAAAATCAATCCCAAACACATATACAAATACTAATGTATTTCATAACCAAACCAAATTAGGTAATGTACTCGCGCATGAAATTATACACAAAGAGATTATTCTTGTAACGATATGTAACTGTTATTTCCCTTGAAATTTGGTGTTTTCGACAAGAGATAAATTAATGAAGGCACAAACACACCAAACAAATAGTTAACCATTCAGTAAAACGCCATTGCCATAGTAACGAACAGCTAGCCTTCCAGATTTTTTTTCAAACTCACGGTTCAAAAGATGGAGAGTCACGTAAGCAGGCCAATTCTTGGAATGATGGTCCATCCGGTCGAAGTCTGGGTCTACTTTCTTGAAGTAGTCTTCAGCAGCATCTAAACCTTAAGTCGTAGGCTCGTAGCAATGATATCCACAAAAAACGCAAGCTCCGAGGGAGAAAAAAACATCTTCTTTTTATCTATCCACTCAAATTAAAGTTCTAACCAAAAAAAACAAAAAGAAAAATCCCACATGACATGATTTCAAATTCAGAGGCTTATTGTTATTTCATAGCAAAACGCCAAAACATGAAAGAGGTATTCGACAAGAGATGAAAAGAGAAGGCAAAGAGGAAAGCGCGCGCACACACACCAAACTAATAGTTAATCATTCACTTGCGAGGGCGAGGGGGAGTGTTACGAACAGCTGGAACTATCCCGCGTTTCGCTAAAAGCTCAGTCTCCAAAAGCAGGAGAGACACGAAAGCAGGCCAATTCTCGGTAGGATTGTGCATTCGGTCGCAGTCTGGGTCTACTTTCTTCAAGTAGGCGTGAGCAGTAGGTAAGCCTATAGTCTTAGCAATGATATCCACAAAAAGTGCAAGCTCTGAGGTAGAAAAACTCATCTTCTTTCTATACATCCACATAAAGATCTAACCAAAACAAAAAAAAACTTTCATAAATCGTAACACAATGATCTCAAACAAAAAAAGAAAGCGATTGAGGAGATAGACCTGGAGGGCATCTAGACGTTTGCCTTCCATGAGAAGCTGCTTTGCCGAGCTGACGAGATCCGCCTGGGTGACCGAAACACCCTTCTTCTCTTCCTCCCTGATGATGAAATCTAAGGTCTCACTGGTAAGAGACCGCAGCTTCTCGAAAATACTAGTCTTTGCATTCTCAGCATCACAAGACGAAGCAGAAGCTCCGTCTCCTGTCGTCAATGGAGGAGTCGCGTTCTCAGTAGAAGAAGAAGAAAACGGAGCCATTGTGCTCATAGGCGTAGAAATCTTCATCTCTCTCTTCCAGAGATGAAGAGAACCTGATACCATTCGGCGCAAGTTCAACATTTTCCAAACCCTAATTTTGATAACCCTATTCTAATATAAAAAACAATCAAGTCTCCTTTTATTCTTTGTTAAAATCAGGATATGATCTCTCTTATATTATTAGTAGGTTACACAATTACATACATCTTTGTAGATTTGTTTTACCAATGAATGAGTCTCTAAATTCATATCCAATAAACATTTTTCTTATTGGGGCTTTCAAAAAGAAAACACCACTAGTACATAGTATAAATAAATAAAACCAAAGCAATATTGGAATAGACCATAGTTAAGTTGGATATATTTCTCTAGTAAATGATAAAGAAAAAAAAAGTTAACAAACAATGAAATGTCTTTAAAACGTGTTGGTGTGTGTGTATTGCGCTTTTATTATCCTGTTTGGGAATTTACCAGGGGAGAGGTACCAAAATCTATATTAAAAGGTTACAACATTTAGATCAAGCTACTTCCTCCTAAGTCCTAATCATCCGTTTTAAGAGCCCGACTGGTTTTAGTGTGTTTAAAGTTTCTTAATTCCTAGTATAACTAGAATCTTTCTGCAGCAGACTTTAGAGTTTTGAGAAGTAGAGCTAACCACAGAGTCGGTTTGTTTAAATTAGAATCTTTTTATGTAGCAATACTTGAACCAGTTTTAATTACCGTCAGATGATGATCTTGTTGGTAATAATGGAGAAACGGAAGAATAATTAGACGAATGAAACTCTAAAAAAAAGTTGGTATCATTCAGCTCCATACACAAATTTTTCTTTTAAGCTCCCAAAATCGAACTATGTATAACAGAACCGAATCAGACCGGACACAACTTTAGAACCGGAAGGCAAGTGAGGAGGGGTTTGACTTTGGTCAATCAGATTTTAAATAATACGACATCGTTTGGTTTGGAAAAGCCTCGTCGCACAAATACGTCGTCGTTTGGGGTAAGCCCTCCTTAACCCAGTTTTAGCCCAAAGTTGTTCTTCACCGTCTTTTTAAAGAAGCACGAAACAATAAACCCTAAAATCGCTAGCTGAGAGAGAGACCAAGTACAGATTTGAGTTTGCTCAAGATGATCATCCCTGTTCGTTGCTTCACTTGTGGAAAGGTTTGTTTTTTCCTGCGCTGTGGTCTTATTTAGGATTTACTCCGTCTTTATAGGGTTTTTAGTTACTCTAAATTTAGCTAAAAAGAGATCTTTACTCTCTGAATTTGACACGAATGTTTTTAATTGGATGGATACAAGCTCGGTCGATAAAAGTATTGAGCTTTCACTTTGTGATTGGTTTAGGTGATTGGAAACAAATGGGATCAGTATCTTGATCTTCTCCAGCTCGACTACACTGAAGGGTAAGCTTACATGTTTCTCTCTTCTTGCTTCTCTAATCATCATACTTTTGTGTGGAAAAAGAGAGTAATTTCTTTGAGTTTTAGAGAAATTAGCCCAGATTTCGTATTGGTTCTGTCGTTTACTTTAGCAAGACAATAAGTGAAGTTTCAGATTAGCTAACACATTTCTCTGATTGATAACAGAAGCTATAAAAGAGATTTGTTGATGAATGAGTTAGCTTGTTATAATCTCCTGTTTATGTATTATTGTGTCATTAGGAAGAGACTGTGTCCTGCCTAATATATAATCTCTTTGTGCCTATCTAGATTTGCTATCCAATAGATACTTGTTAGAAGTAGAAAGTAAAACTTAATGGTTTTTGATTAGACGTGTGCCCATCCACATGATTCTTATTGGACTAATCATACTTTGTGTGAAAATAGACTACTTTGTTTGAACATTAGAGAATGGTTTATAATACGTCAAGTATGGGATTAGTTAACACCGTTTCGCTATTCGAGAAGCAAATCGATCAAGGGTTAATGGTTTATAGGCTTAAGCTAATGATCTGCTGTTTATATGTTATTGGAAGAGACTATTTTGCCTATCTTGTTTAGTTTGTAGATTCGCTATCTCGCCTGTTATATGTATGAATGAAGACTTGATGACTTGTGATTCTCTTTTCATCTGTAGAAGGGTCTAGAAATCCGTGTTGGTTTTGCATTTCTTGTGATTTATCTTCATCAAGCAAGTTTTGTTTGAGAGCACATTCTTTGTTTAGGCTCTTATTGTTGTTTAAGCTCCTCTATGTGTATGAAATTAACAATATCCTTGTGGTTTTTGCAGGGACGCACTTGATGCGCTCCAGCTAGTCAGATACTGCTGCAGGCGTATGCTCATGACTCATGTTGATCTGATTGAGAAGCTTCTCAACTACAACAGTACACTCTCCTCCAAACTCTATAATATGTTGTGTTTCTTCTGAGCTGTTGTCTTTTTCGATTTATTTACTGGTACACACATACTTTTCCTTGCAGCTCTGGAGAAATCAGACAACAGTTAGAAGAGGATGCAAATCTGCTGAAAGTGTTTTCCTCTTTAGAGGCTTATATATTAGTATGTATGGAAACATTTGGTGTATGTGGTGCAGAACCTTTAAATTCCATCTAAAATCATATATGTATGTCAGTTACTCTCTCGTGTGATTCAATCTCATGATTTTCCCTTCACCAAAAAAATCTCATGATTTTCTGACCTTAAAGATTTGTCCTTTTGAGAAATTCATGTTTCATTAGTATTGAGCTGGTTTTTGTGGCCATATCTAAAAACCTTTGAGAAAAGAGTTCAAAGTCACGTTTACTTCACAGTGTGCTCATGTTTGTGCAAGAATTTCGAATATTCCCAAGAAAGGTTTTCAAAAATGTATAACCAAAAAAGAATGAAGAACACAATGTAACCATATTTGGCTTATGTAATCCGACCCCATTCTTAAGGGAACATATCACATTCAAATCTCCCATAACGATCCCAACCCACATAAGATACGTTGAGAAATTAAGATCGAATTAGTCGGAACTAAAACCAATTCGAGAGAACAAACGAATAATGATTAATGACTCAGTAGCCATTAATCTGTCTTTGTGGTCGAGTGATATGGGCCCTTAGTGGGCTTTGAGAGTTTAGGTTTTGAATTAAATCATGAGAGATGAGGTTTTCACTTAAATCCATTACTTTCCTTTTGCCCGGAGACGATACTTTTAAACTTTTTTTTTTTTTGGTAAAAAATTAAATTTTATACTGTTTTTTATTTTTGACAGAATTACAAAGACTACAAGAAACATATCAAAACCATTATACATAAAATAAATACAACATAACTACATTTAAGTCTTGTCTACTCGACCATTTTATTTTTTGCCGTCGTTGCCTGAACCCTAAACGTTTTTTCTCCCTCAGCAACCGGTTTCTTACAATGAGCAACAATTCTTCAAAGGAATCACTCCTCCTTACACGTTTGCACATATTGGTGAAATAGTTGGACCATGTGTTGTTGACCTCTTTGTTGAAAAATATTTCTTTGAAGATGATGCATCTATCTCTAGAGGATCCGGAATTTTGATCAATGAGCACACGTAAGGACTGTGTGCTCATATAGTTATCAACATACGCCCTAAGAAGACAGCATAAAAAGAGTTAGAAAAACAAGTAACAATTTTTAATCGTCAATCTTTGTGATTCTTAGGTACAAAAACTTTATACTTTTATTATCACGTACAATTAACTCTTCATCGTGGGAGAATGTTAACATGTGTAGTTTCACAAACGCAAGGAATATGAAATATGATTTAGCTACGGTCACGATCAACTTAGCTGATGTTGTAAAGTCATTTTATTCCTTGGCAAAACATGGTATATCACATCAAGTTCGTCAAGGAGATTTGTTTGCACACTCGGTTCGAGCACTTTAACAACCGGAGTATGCAGGTAGTTTTGAATACTCTGATAATTTTATATTATTTTATTCGTTTATGACATTCTAATATTTTTTATTTAGTAATGTAAATCGCAAGGATTCGTTTTGACAATTTCTTCAAATTGATTGTGCAAATACCACTTGTAATTATATACACAAAAATAACGTAAGAAAATATGAATCATTGCACAATCATATTTCATATTCCTTTGCGTTTGGGAAACTACACATGTTACCTTTCTCCCACGACGAAGAGTTAATTGTACGTGATAATAAAAGTATAGAGTTTTTGTACCTAATAATCACAAAGATTGACGATTAAGAATTGTTACTTGTTTTTCTGACTCTTTGTATATGTATGTCAGTTACTTTCTCGTGTGCTTCAATCTCATGATTTTCTGACCTTAAAGATTTGCCTTTTTGAGAAATTCATGTTCCTTAGTATTATTGAGGTGATTTTCATGGCCATATCTAAAATCCTTTGAGAAAAGAGTAAAAAGTCAAGACACTGTACAACAGTGTCCGACTGTATAGTGTGTGTTTATGCTTGTGCAAGTATTTTCAAATATTCCCACGAACGGTTAAAAAAAAAAATGTATAACCAAAGAAGAATGAAGAACACAATGTAACCATATTTGGCTTATGTAATCCGACCCGTTCTTAAGGGAACATATCACATTCAAATCTCCCATAACGATCCCAAACCACATAAGATGTGTTCGAGAAATTAAGATCCAATTAGTCGGAACTAAAACCAATTCAAGAGAACAAACGAACAATGACTCAGTAGCCATTAATCTGTCTTGGTGTTGTTGTCGATCCTACCAACCGAGAGAAGGGTTGCTGCTGCGTTTGGTTGTTGCGGCTTTTGTTAAAACTGTTGCTGCTTCCAATTCCGGATTTAGGGTCAGAGAAAGGAGAATAGGCTTGAGCTAGCTCAAGAGCAGAAGCTGTTTTCCCGTGACGAATCCCTGTTCCATCTGGTGATTCCGGTTTCTGGGGAACTGGTTTTCGCCATGTCTCTGGTGATGGATGTCTTGTCTTCTCCTGAGTCTGCTGTTGCTGTCTTGAGCTCTTGTTTTCGTTTTCACGCCAGTTTCTCCTCTGAGTTTCGGATCTGGCAACGTCGCTTACATTTCGCCCGTCCTTTTGGTCGAATTTCCTCGTTCTCAAGTCACGGGGAGAACTCACTGGCCTTTGAATTGCATGCTCTGGAGCTCTTTCAATCGGTTTGAGGACCATCCTTTTGATATGAAAGAAAAAAACAAAAACAGAACTTTAAATTAGATAGTTGATCTCAATGGAATTGTAGCGTTGGATCGCAGAAATTATACACAGAACGTGAGCGGGTAGAGGAAACCCGTTCTACCTGTCTATCGGTTGCTCCAATATGTGATGCTCGGTCTCATCAATGCCTCTCTCCTTCAACACCTATCCAGGAAATCAAATGATGATGAACAAATGGGCAAGAGAGAGTTATACAACAAGATGAAACAAACTGCACTCACCAGCTCTCGTGGTCTGGCACCACCAAAAACCGCACTTCTGCACCATGAACCAGAAAATGTAAGCGTGTTTGACACAATATATCAATATATACTTATCACCATGGAAGCAGTCTATCGATATTCTAGAAAAGTGAATGACAGAAACAATAACTATGAACTAAATTCAATGTTCTAGCATATTCTACTACCTTGAACTTTGAGGAGTTTACACAAAGCCAATATCTGCATCTATTTCAATTTGAATCGAGCATAATCCTTTCAGTTTTTGCCACCACCCAGTACAAATTTTGAGAACAATTCTTCTATATCACTATACTTATGTCCCCAAGCTCCAAAATTATTATTACCGAGGGGACAAAAAATGTAAGAACCACATTCTTACCTTTCCTTTTCAGTTTTAACTTCTGGCTGCTCAAGCAACTGTGCCACGGGCTTCAGATTCAACTTGGGGCGCTCAGCCGGTTGGTTAGGAATCTCATCTGCAGACAAACCAGATTTTGAATTGTTCACACTTTTCTGTGTCGCATAACCACTTTCACGTTGAATAAGGACTGAAGCACCATTTTCCTGCGGATATAAAGCTAAGGCATCAGAAAACACAGTTGACCAAAAAAGAAACCTGAAAACTAAAGTGGCAGTTCACAAACTTGTAACTAATACCAGTTTTCCATCATTCACAGGTTTCTCCACGCTTTCAAGAGGTATTGACCGAGGCAGCAGGTTCAGCTTAGGTCGTTCCACAACTTCAGAAGGGGCAGTTGGCTGCACCAAATGTCCAGCAGGCCTAACGTCAGAATAATTTGGATGAGGTTTATTGTTGGTGTTTGCTGCAATTTTCGCTGCCTTAACATCCACATAAGTTGGACCAGGGGTTTTCTCAAACTCACGGGAGAATTTTTTCCCACCCTGGATCCCATCTTCAGCAATCAGTGCCCGTTCTACATGTGTTCCATGTGGCTCATCCCCTTGATCAAGCACATGGCTATTAGTCTTATAAACTCTGCTCTCTGTCTCTGAATGCTTAACAACATCAAATCCCATCTGAGGAGGAACCCAAAGCTTGGACTGCAATATTCCTGAAGACACTTGGTCAGGCGCATTTGTATGGACCAAATTAGAAACAGCTGGTTTTTTAGTCCATGGAGACTGTCCAGGCTCATTGTTAGCAACTGATACCTCTTTCCTCCCATTCCAAACATTAGAGTGAGTTCCTGACACCGAGTTCTCAACAATACCAGTCCCAGAATGAGTCAAAGGACCAGCCGCCCAACCACTATGTCTCCCAGCTAAAACCGAGTCTGCTTTCACCTCCAAACGGTTATTCGCAAACCGAAAAACATCATCACTGACAACTCTACGAGGAGCCGAGTGACCATCCAGAGGCTTCCGTTCATCCTCATTGAAATTACGTCCGATATTCACGTTGGGAGGAAGAAACATTGATTTATCATCGAGATTTCCAATAGCATGAGACGAACTCGGCCTTGTCCTCTGATCTGGCCTGCCGATTGAAGTTCCCCAAGGCGCTCTATCAAAAACAGGTCGATCCGGAATAACCTTCGGAGTCCTACAAAGGAAAAAATCGATCAGAAAAGACAAAGGATAAACAACAACAGACCTAAACAATCAGAAATCGAAAATTTCTATGTAGATCTAATAATAGCCCTAGGAATAAACGAGATTTTTCCACCGGATAACATCACTCGAATCTCACAAAAGCAAAACAAGGATTCGATTGATCTCCGATAAGCATACAAACTAAGAGGCGATCCAAAGGGAGCGAATCAATGGAGACTTACACTCCAGGAGCGGAAGGGAGAGGGAGATCAGATGGTATAGAGCCGCCATGGAAGTCCTTAAGCGTCATGGCAGCCGCTTTCTTCTTTGACATCGTTGCACAACTTTTGATCTCTCGTATCGTTTTTTGTCCTCTCTTCTCCGATTAAGATTGAGTTTCTCGCCGGCGAAGACGAAGAGGTGGTAAGAGATCACCTCCCTCGCTCTCCTCTCTCGCTCTCCTCTCTCGCTTATGGTTCGTCTTCTTCAGATTCTCTCCTTGTTCCTCTCTCTCTCGGATTTATTAATATCGAAAACCTTTGCTTCCTCAATGGACGGAAAAAATGTTTTTTTGCCCCTTAAAAAGACCTAAAATACGAAACTATCCCTATTGAAATCAACTATTTACGATTGATTACGTGGCAGTCTGATGCGCACGTGGATTTTTACACTTGTTGATTCGGCTGATGATGTTGGTATATACACCAAAAAATTAAAAGATTACACAGTTTTTTTTTTTTTTTTTTTTTTTTTAAAAAAGATTACACAGTTTATAGGTAATATAGAGTAAATGGAGTGTGTTGCTAGGATTAGCCAAAAGTATTACAGAAAAATATTTTGATTAGTTTTGGTTTTTAAGCGAGTCGAATTTCTTAATTGGAACAATAATACAGAGTGGTGGATATAGTCTCCATTCAAAACAATACATAGATTACTACCTGGCTAAGTAGCATTGAAACGGGTACCGGAACTAGAAACGGGGCCGGGAAACGACAAAGTAAAAATTCATAGATATGGGTGCGGAGTGGATAAAGTATATTCTATAGTCTGAGGTGGAATATAGAAAGGAACCGGGTTCGCATCAGGTGAGGAAGGAATGACCGAGAAATTGTCAAAAGGCTTGGCGATATCCATGAATCCATACTCGTCGTAAGCCTGGATATAGACGTGGTTACGGTCTAGGGAAGGAACGGAAATGTAGCTACTAGTTGCAGAGACACAGAAAGATTCAGATTTTGAGAGGAAAATGCAGAGATCTCCAATGTCTCGAGTGTAAACAGCGTTTTACAATCTTTTTCACCCTTTGAGTACAGAGGCTAGGCATAGACTTGTCTACCAAGTTTTCCATCTTCCAATTCTGGGGAAAGCCCAGCATTTTTAACCTATTACAGCCCCACCAAATTTTGCAAGCAAAAAAGAAGAGAAAACTATTCAAAAAAACTAAAGAATAAATTTTGCATATACGAGCTTGTTTCAAGGCTTGAAGATTATCACAAAGCAAGGTAACAAAGCTTTATTACTCAATAGATAAAGCTCTTCAATTCTAGAATTTGGTCCCACTTTCAAAGCCAATGAATCAAACTCAGAAAACCCTAAAGGATCTTCAAACTTCTGCATAGGTTTATGAACCCTACCTGCAATAACTCTACATAGCACAACAGCTTTCAATGAACCTCTGTTTCTTCCTTGATCAGTTTTTTCGATAGAATCAAGAGCTGCAGAGCTAGATGATGCTGTGATAACCCCTTTGATCCCATCTGGTCTTGTTTTAGGACTGAATCCATGTCTTAGAATATGACAAACTCCACATTGATCTGAGAAACAGAGGTTTGAAGAGCTGTTACTCAAACCGAGTGTGCAACAAAGATTTGTTCCGTGGAACCCAAGAAACTCGTTCCCATCAGCCATACAGCGAGAGTGTTTCTTGGCAAGCTTGTTCGCTCTTATTTTCACAAGTTCTCTGTAATCTTCAAACTCTGCAACAACTCTTTGCAAGTTCTGGATTTTCAAAATCGCCGAAATGTTGTTTGTTTTGCCAAGCTTGTGAGGATAGCCTGTATTGCAGATCAGCTCCACAGTTGTTCTTGAGAAATCTCCTGCTAAGAGTCTAATGACTGCAAAAAAGAAAAAAAGAAAAAAAGAAAAAAAATCAAACTCTCCTCAAAACATTGACTAAAGTCGATGAAAAAACTATCTAATTCTAGTCTTACCAGAGTGGTTAGAGAGGTAATGCGCCTCAAACGCGTCAAGATCTCTGACTCTCTCATGACATTTTCGACAAGTAAGAACTCCGTAACCGCAGATGTCAGAGCCAACAACATCAAATCTCTCTGAACAACGACTGGGAAGTAAATCAGAAGAAGACGCTCCTCTGATCAAACCTTCGAATCTGTCTGAATAACCGGTATTCCCCTCAAATTTCACTGTGTTTATAAACCTGGAGCTCTCCAGAGACCGTGAGCTGCAACAGCTTGGATTCTGCATAGCTCCTTCATCTCCATTAGTTCCAAAAACATCTCTCAGATTTGACATTGATCTTGAGGATCCAGATGGATTCTTCTGAATTTGGTTCTTGTCTCGATCACAAGCGACAGTTGACTTCTGTGCACTGCAGCAGCTAAGAGACTTCTTGAGATAAAGCCAAACTCCACGCATGTTTGTTCAAGATCCGTCTTTGGATTCACTGGGAGAGATGTGAATTATAAAGAGATTCTATGGAGATTTGGCTTTGGTTCAGACACGGCTCTGTTTCTGTCTCTTCCTGCTTCACCATTTCCACACAAACTGTTTCCAAAATGACACTGAAGATTTCCATAAACGTATGATCTCATATCACACCATGAAAGAACAAACTAAAAAAACGTTTTTAGAAATAAAAAAATTTACAACTAAATTTGACGTTTATAAAAAAACTGATCAAATCTTAACCATGTATGATTCTTTTCCAATTACAACCTGGAAAATTATAATAATAATTTAGCATATATGATTACAGAAAAAAAAAAGATATGGGAATAATAATTTTTCACCTCTCTTCACGTTCCAAAACAGAGTATAATGCCACATGCTACCTCTATTGAGCTTTGACATTTTTAAAGTGAAAAAGTCAAACATGTGATCAACCTCTTATTTCAATCTGAAACTTATATCTTATGTAAGAGATTTATTTCATTTACATTTAAATCTAGTTAACAAGAAACGCATCCAAAATTATTAAAAAGAGAACAAGAATGAAACTTTACTTACTTGGAAAGACCAAAACCGAATCTCTCTTCTTTTGTCTTGCAGTGAGAGGTAGGCTTAGGAAAGTAATCTGATGCTGTTTCTTTATTCTTTTCCTCTTCCTTAAACTTTCATAGAACAATTGAAATAAATACAGTAATCAAAATATAAATTATAAGGTTTTTATTATGAATCAAGGAAAAATGGAAAGTGAACTTGGGTTCTTGGTTTCTGTTGTGATCATATGTGCAGACATTACAGCTACAGTCCTCGGTATCGAAGCCGAGATTGCTCAAAGCAAGGTTCTGTTTTATAATAAGATGAAATGTAGTTTATTTTCATTACCAATAATCTTTTCTTGTATTTGATGTTTCTCCTTCAGGCACCTCTTCATCATCATCAACAACATTTAAGACATTCGGGTTCCGGATGTCGAAGAAACCCGAGCGCTGGAGCTTTTGCTGAGGGAGTAGCTGCAATGGTGCTTCTGTTTATTGTCCATGTCCTAGCTAATGTGCTTGGAGGCTGCACTTACATTCGCTCTAAGCAAGATTTCAACAGAGCAACTGCGAACAAGATACTTGCAGTGGCTTTCCTTGTTCTCTCCTGGTAATGGAAAGATGAAACCATTTTGGATTTCATTCAACACAGTTTTGAATTTTGTCAATTGTTTTTGTTTTTAACATACCTTTGTTTGTCTTAGGATCTTTTTTGTTGCCAGCTACTCAATGCTAATGATAGGAACATTGGCCAACTCGAGATCGAATCGATTCTGCAGCTTGCCACATCGTTGGTTTTTCCTTATTGGAGGCATATTTTGTCTAGGACATGGAGTGGTGACTTCAGCATATTATGTTTCAGCAATTGCTGCTAAAAAAGAAGACAAAGAGAATGCACAACAAGAAAATCCATCATACAGAATCCGTGCATAACACGTCTTCTTCACCAAGATACACAAAATGTTTCGTCTGTAAATAAACTTAAATTGCTTCACTTAGCTAAAAGCTTCCTTCCATTATATTGATAAATCCGCAACATTCCAAAATGAGCTCTTTCAAGAATCAATAGAAACTAAAATGAAAAAAGAAAGCCGAGTTCTAGGCATAAGAGACAGAACCAAAAACAAAAATCCATAGAAATATCTAGGCGTTTGATCGGGACACTTCAGTCATCTTTGTTACCACTTTATGAAGAAAACCACTCTTCTGCGATAAGAACTCGAATTCCCTGACCTGCAACGCTTTCCACTGCTCCTCGAATCTCTTCTTATCCTCTGAGGAAAGCAAACTCAATCCTTGTTGAGCAACAAGTTCATCCAGACCAAAACGCGCTATCGATCTAGCAAGAGAAGACTTCACAAGCGTATCCATTTCCAAAGCACCAACCAAAGATGCTTCTCCTTTATTAGTCACATCGTCTTCACAATCAAACTCATGCTTCACAGACTCAACTTTCTTCGACTTACTGCTCTTCTTCGACTTCCCATTAGATTTCATACCCGATTGAAGAACCATTCTAATACCTCCCCAAACTAACTTAGACAATTCAAAAGCCTTGCGATCATGAGGTTTGACAAACGTAGGTTGATCACCATCCTTGGCTTTACCAAGATTGTTCTCATACCTCTTCTTCAAAGTCCTAAGCTTTTCCATAAACTGAATCTTACTAACATCAAAGCTAATAGATTTTTTCACCAACTGATAAACCTTATTTGTATCATCATAAGGACTTACCCCAGTATCTTTTGTGTAATCAACAAGACCTTGTAAAACCGCAATCTCATCATCCTCCGTCCAAAGTCGCTGGAAAGAAGTTTTCTTAGCCCTCTTCACATCCGTAGACACTGCTGCTTCATCTGTCTCACGAGAACGCTTAGTCACAACCTGATCTTTCTTCTCAGGTTCGGAGTCTGTATCGGTTTCTTCATCGGATCCAGATTCAGGATCGGAAACTAGCTTCTCAGTTGGGGCGGCGAGGAGAAGTACTGTGTTCTTCAAAGCTGATGGATTTTTAGAAGAAACGTCATCTTCTTCCTCCGACGAAGAGTTTCGTGCGATATCTTCTTCACCTTCTCCCATTGAAGTCTCCAAATCATCTTCTTCGTCGCTTGATGAAGCCGCCGGCGGATCTTCTAACGGATTGAAACGTTTCCGAGTCATTGATTTAGGGTTTATGTGACTTTTGATGTGATTTAGAGGTTCAAGTTGAGATTTTGTATGACTTGACGACTTCTTTAGGTTCCTTTATATAGTGAACAAAGTGTCTCTCTGTTTTCCAATATTTTCATAATTCTTTTTCTTCTCATTTAATGACGTTTAGATTTCCGATTTCTTTCTTTAAAAAATGGGAAATTTTCTTAATTGGCCAATTTTATTTAGATATATTTTATACTTTTCACAAATTATAAAGAAATATTAGATCGCCAATTTTGTAATTTTTTAGACACGTGATTTCATAATAGTGTAAATTTAATATTTCAATATTGAAGGATTTTGTCTTTCTCCAGAATTTAAATTAATTCAATCCTCTATTATTCTGACTTGTAACATTGCATATAGTCATTAAAAAATGATTAACAAAAAAATATCTTTTTTTGCTTCTCTTTTAATATCTCTTTCTTGGTAACGTGTATTCTTAATATCTTAAATTTGAAATTAATGTTTCAAAAATCGTTCAAAGTTACTGGGCCACACTTTTATGTATGACTCATACATAGTTTTTTTTGTTCTCTCGGTCCCATCATGCAAGTAGATAAACACTGAATCACCGAATCATGTTATCTCTTTTACATAAGAAACAAAGAAGCTAAATTAAGAAAAGTAGATATTTTTTAAAAAAGCTCCAAGAGATGGCAAGAGTTGTTAAAATCGATTCTGCAGAGTCATGGAACTTTTATGTGAGTCAAGCCAAGAATCAGAATTGTCCTGTAAGTCTCTCTTCCTCTTATTACTTCCTTTTTTTCCAGGAGAAAATTTCATAGCCAAATGAAATCTGTTTTAGATCCAAGCTCATTAAAGAATCAAGGTTTTAGCATAAGAGTTATAAGGAGATTTTGGTTAAATTTGGACTATTGAGAATGAACCAATGAAATATTGAACGTTGAGGATTGTGAAATGAAATAATGAATGGCTCTGTCTTGTTTGTTTATATGAATTACCAAGAAAAGTTGTTCGTTGATGGTTTTTGCAGATTGTGGCTCATTTCACTGCATCATGGTGTATTCCTTCGGTGTTTATGAACTCGTTCTTCGAAGAGCTTGCGTTTAGCTATAAGGATGCTCTGTTTCTCATAGTTGATGTTGATGAAGTTAAGGTAAAACTACTTATATGTCTCTCTACTTTATGTGTCCCTTGTTCATGACTCGTTAAAGAGAAGTGTTTTACCATCAAGAATAAAAGAATTGAACAGTTACTAAGATGATTAATGGTTTTTTCTCTGTTTTTACTATGTTGGATTTTTCAGGAAGTGGCGAGTCAACTAGAGGTAAAGGCGATGCCAACTTTCTTGTTCTTGAAAGATGGTAATGCGATGGACAAAATCGTGGGCGCAAACCCTGATGAGATCAAGAAAAGGGTTGATGGTTTCGTTCAGTCCTCACGCGTTGTTAATATTGCTTAAGAGAGATATATAGATAAGATCAGAATACTAAATAAAGTTTGTGTGAAGTGTAATTAGTTTGTGACTTTGGTATATGGTTTGTGTGAAATTTCAAGTGTAAGTGTAAATTTTAATAAAAACAAGTTCTGTTTTACTTTCAGACAGAATCTGCAGACACTGAAAATCTCAGGTGTGACATTTAGTATACGATTTAGTCTAAAAGAGTTGGTTTGTGACACTTAAGTCGTTCACATAATGTTATGCTACGAAACTCTTTTATTGATATTACAGTATTAGAGATTGCTAGCTTGGCCTTGCCTAGCAAGTCCTGTAAGAGCCTCCCTTGGTAGTCAGCTACCGGAATCGAAGCAACAAAAGTGTTTGAGTTACCAAATCTCTTTGGAAGCAGTAGAGATTCACTATCTCCATCATCATTTATCTTCTTCATTCATAGGCAAAGAGATCTCATCAAAGCTTTTGATTTCCTTAAAGATATCTTGACATTTTTTTCCTTCCAAGCCAGCCATGATGCTTTGTTGCTATTGGCGGAACATTTTTTATTAATGATTTTTGGATTTAGGAACTAAGTTTAAAGTTTTCATAAATATTAACCGCATTATAGTAGATGTTACTACTTACTTGCTAGGTAGGTTGGGTTGAAAGTAAGGAACATGTAGAGAACTGGTTTTATTTAATGTTGGTTCTTAACAGGGAAATTTGAAACCCATGTAGCCACCAGAGACAAAATCTTTCCAAACATTAAGAGCTCCATGGGTCGTCATCAGTATAGTGCTAAGTGCCATGACGATACCAACTGCAAACACAATGATCGAAGCCCTCCCATACTTGGCTATAACCTTCTTAACCACCATTAGTCCGACCAGGGATGCCACGAAGCAGACCAGAGCAAATATAGCAGCGGTTCCAGCATGTTCCATGCCTAGTAATAGGTACTGGATTGCAGACATTGATGAAGAAAACAAAACCATGAAAGAACATGTAGCTGCAGTTACCTGTATAGAGAGCACACTTAACTTAAGAATCCAATTGCTTGTTTCGGTAAAACTTAGGCTCGGATCCTATAATTTTGGACTAAGCGCTAGAGAATGTACCTCGGGAGCAATACCGATTTGGAGAAGAAGAGGACTAATGAGCATTCCACCGCCAATACCGAAGAGGCCACCCAAAACTCCAGCCAACAGAGCCATTACAGGGAGCATCAACTTGTTTTGTCTTCCTCCAACTCCAATCTCCTGTGGATTATTATCAGTTTCAGATTCATAAAACCTGTCGACTTTGACCAACATAAGCTAACTTAATCAATAGCAAGTAGTATGTATTGGACCTTTTCAGAGTCTTGGTTACTATGTGATGTGTGGTTGCTTTGAACATTGTCACTGAAGTAAATCCAGAGAGTAAAGAAGATTGTGAGAGGTACTTGAAGCGTCGAGAGGAACCAGTAGAGACCTCCACATGGCTTGATCGATATGATTCCCTGTGCAAATCCAAAGTATATATGAGAACTATTACCAAGTGAAAATTCAATCATGCCATAAGGATCTTCAATAATTTAGGAGGAAAATAGGATCAATTTTTGTATGAGATGGAATTGAACATAACTTGTGTCACTAAAAATTTAATTCTTATTACTTGACCATTTGAATGCAGAACAAGTCAATCTCTTTTTTGGTCAATTAACAAAAAAAAAAAGATTATATTCTAAAATTTATATTCAATTGTTTTAAAGCTTAAACTTAAAGGCAGTCAAAAATTTTGCAATTCCTCATTCTTATTTTCTCATAAAACTTTTCGCAATGTATATCTACGTTCATGTACATGTTTGCCATTTTTCTTCATAACTACCTTTTTAAAGAAGTTACAATTTTTTTTAAATGGAGGGAAAGTGGAAACACATAAAGCTTGAGCATTGAGATAGTAAAATATTCAAGTTAATCGACCAAAAATCACAAATAAGCGTTAGATTCATACCTGCCCGTATTTGTTTCCACGAAAAAGATTAATGGCGAAGAACAATAACCAAATGATCACTAAAACTCCAAGCTTCATCCATGGAAACCTAATCATCCCTCCCTGTCCCACATCTTCTCTTTCGTCACTCAGAAGCGGCGATCTCGCTCCCTCGATCCCATCATCGTCTCTTCGACTTCTAATCTTTGCTCTTTCCGACTCCAAATTCCAATAAGAAACTCCCTTTTTACATGTCTTCATCGTTGACCAGGCGAGGAACACAGCAAAGAGAAACAACACAAGCCAATTTGGGAACATACGGTTACATATCACACCAATACTAACTCCAAGAAGCAGACATGGCTGAAGAGTAAGAGCTAAATCGAAGTCGATTAGGGTTTTGTCTCTTGATTTAGGGTTTCTCACGAAAAGATTGCATCCCACGTTAGCGATGGAGACGCCGGTTACCATGAACGCTGAGAAGCTTGACGCCGTTTTCATTTCGAGACCGGCGATTATTGTCATTATTGAGAGGAAGATTCCACCTCCGCCGATTCCTCCGGCGCTGGAGATTGAGGCGGCGAAGAAGGAGAGAACGGCGGCGATTATCGTTGGAATGGAGAATTCGATAGTTGACTTGTTCAGATTCGGAGGGAAATGGAGCCATTGGCTTGTTGTATTGAGGATTTGATTTTCGTCTGCAATGGCGGATGGGTTGAAGATGATGAAGATGGTGATTAGAGAGAGAAGTAGAGGGACTAAATTGATCATCATTTTCTTAATTTATGGGGCTATCTGTAACTTTTCAAAAGTTTTGGGGTTTTTTTTTGTTTGGAACGTTAGAATTTTTATGCTCATTATTGATTGGTTCATATATGAATCAATATGGGTTTAGTCAACTGCAATCCTAAAACACGATATTTATTACGGAATTAATAAGTAATGACAATTTGGTGAAAAAAAGCTAAAGATGACAATTGCAATTTTTATTTCTACGTAGATCTAGTGGTATTGTTTTATTGAAATATTTATTCAACGGAGCTCATTCCCGATATCCTCTGGATTTGTTGTTGTTTTAGGTACTTGTAAGAAGTGGTAACAGCACAATATATTTATTAGCTGAAAAACACATTATCTCACCAAGTTATATTTGTCTTTCTTTTACATATCACTTTTTGGAAAATAATTAAGAGAAAAGGATAAAAGTTTGAATATTTGCATGCTAGATTGGAAAGAAATATATGTGGGAGACAAGTTCTACAAGAAGTCTGTTTGCTTCTCGAAAGATGATGTTTAGGTAAAAATGTTTGTGTGACACATCATCTGATTTTATAGTATTATTGTTTTTGTATGATATATGAATTAATATATAGCTTTATATATGATATGGACCAAATTCTGTTGTTTAGTTTCTATGAAGAAGTTTAATTTATACCAAAAATTAAGTTTGATCTTTTTCTAAGCAAGTTTACGAACATATTTAATTTATTATTTATAGTGTACGAAAGCCCTATTTAATTTGCTTCTACCAGTATGTCACATCATTATATTTGATTTAAAATATACTCAAAAGTAAGGTAATCGTTTTCTAATAACTGTAATAAATTGAAATGTCAAACAAAAATGAGTTTTTTCTGATTAAAATGCGATATAAGTGTTCATCACTTGGTTATCAAAAGGTTGACTTTTAATTGTAATGCGATAATAGTGTTCATCACTTGGCACGTAAAAGGTTGACTTTCAATATCGGAATAAATAAACCCGGACATTATACACGTCCGTCCAACTTGGCATACGTACGAAACATGGATTATTTGTTACAAGATAGTGTTTATATAGAAGAAATATACATTTAAAGACGCTAAATCGCTAATCCGAGGCATATCTTCATGATGGTGATATAACCACTTCAGCTGATTTCATTGAAGAAATCAAAAGTTGTGGGTTTCTGCAGATGCTACTACTACAAAGATGGTCATATAATGGTAAATTCGACAAAAAAAAATCTGGATATATGATAAATATCACAAAAGCAAAGTTATGAAGAATAGCCAACTGAATAAATAATTAATTAAATAAATAAACAGATGATATAATCCATAACAAAATAAGGAATGCAAAAAAGAAGTAAAATTATTACATTAACCATTTCCACTTAATAGACTCAAAAATAAAATTGATTTTAAGCCCAAGGGCTAATGGAACACTCCCAAGGAAGAGTAGGGAACCTCTCACTATCTTTGCAATAATCGTATACGACGAGATTACGCTGCACCCACGCATAATCCATCTTCTGTGTCTTGGACAAATGCCACGCGTCGTACTGATCCCACCAATTCTCTGTTGTGGTGGAGACGCATGCAGGGAATGGATCCTTCCAACGGCAGCCTTCGACGGCGAAGTCCTTGTAAGAAGAGACGAACGGAGCTTTTTTCCAGTCGGTCTTCTCGAGACCGCCACGTGTTGCCCAGTCGTCAGCGTTCCAAATGCTAGAGAACAAGTACATCGGCTTCTGGTTTGGGAAGAAGTCGTTGTTTGGTACCTTATCACTGTTTTTGTACACTCGAATCGGTACTCTATCCACGAAGAACCTGGTTTGCATTAGATTAACCGGGTTATGCATTGCACCAATCGGTAAAATTAGCTTTGGTTGACCAATTCGGTTCGATTTGGTCTACTTTGAGTTCCTTAAAGTTTGGTTTAGGTAAGCTCGCTTCGGTCGGTTGGAACTTCTAACCAGATTGGAATTTTTGTGTCGGTCGAAATTTGAATCTGCACCATTTAAGTCTTCTAAACGCTAAACGTAAGAAAACCGGATTAAACCTAGTGATTTGTAGATTGAATGTTGGTTCTAACCGATCCTAAACCTAATCTTCCGGTTTCTACCCAACATTCCCGGTTCAATTAGTGGTGTATCTCTATATTTAGCCAACATCAAGAGAGGACTTACACGAGCTGGTGGTTATTCCAAAGAAGTGAGTAGGTGTGATAATCCTTGGTCGGATCGAACCAGAGGGAATGTCGCATCTCCCGATTCCCGGTTCCGTTCTTATACACATTGGTCTGAATAATGTAAGGCTGTCCGGTTCGGTTCCCTAGAAATTCAAAATCTATCTCGTCTCTCTCCGGTCCTGCCCCATTCTCCGAACACATCTGCTCATCAACCAAATTTGAAAATACTTATACAAAAAAATCATTGATTATTACAAAATTGAAAATTAATTAAGAACGACGGCTCACGTAGTAAGCGGTGACAACGCCGGCGGAGTCGCCACCTACGAGCTTTAGCTTCATACTGAACCATCCGAATCTATACATGTGCTTTGTCTGAAATCCACATCCTGTTTTATTTTTTTCATCCAATCAAAATATTTAAAATTTTCAATATAATAATCAAGAGACTAAGTCCAATCATTTAATTTTACAAGAAGTTAAAAAATGTCATGTAGATTTAAGTAGGAACAGAGTTTCAGTGTATTTTAAAAAGACTACAACGGCATTGATCCTAAACCGGAAGCAAACTGGATTTGAACGTACCGGTATCGTTGTCTAAAGAAAGATTCCAGATCTCTCCATCCTCGGAAGTCGTGAAGTGATTTTCAGACCACATAATGTTGAAATTATCTTCAAACGATTGTGTCGGTGATGCTGCGATAGAGGAACAAGACGCCATTAGAGCCGTCATGAACAAGAAAAGAGCCGCCATGGAAGAACAGCTTGTGATTATTCTCCTTTGCGTCTCCATTGGTTGTCTCTGCTTCGAATATTTCGAAGAGAGAGAGATAATGCAATTTACACTTGTTCCGCGAGTGAGAAGAGTATAGAGCTTTCTTGCTTTAATTATAAAGACCGGAAAAATTTACTGTTTTGACCTTTAATAATTATTTTAATTTTTGTAATTTATTATGGGTTTAGACTTTTGATACGGTTTATTTTTCTAAAGTTTTTCATGTAATGATGATTGTATATTGTATACTAACAAAGTTGTAAAAGAAGGCAAAAAAGGTAAATGGAAAAGTTAATTAAAGAAAACAAACAGTAAACTCAATTATTTATTTATGTTACTCTAAATTGTAAACTGTTTGGTAAATTGTAAACGCCGACCGGTTTATTCATCAAGTTGATGAGATTGGTCATTTAAACCAAATTGATGAGCTAGTAAGGGTATTTAGGGAATTATAGAAAATAACAGCAGAACATGGAGAATTGGATCGCCAGGCTGCCACCAAGTGGAAGTGGGATCCATAGCAATGTTCATGTAAAAGCAAAACAAAAACATTATTCAATTCTGGACTTTAATTCTTTGGTTAATCTTCAATTCTTCACTATATGTAAATCTTATATGGGGAATATGGTATCTAACAAAACACAAATAATAGGCAACATGCTTCGGACCATAATATTATATGTTCAACAAAAAAAGTTCACCTCTCATATTTTGTTAGCCCAAGACAAGGCACGTGAAACAAGCACGTTATGAAAGAAGGGAAATAATACACCTGGAGTTACTAAATTATTAGGTTGACAATGACAAAGATTAGTTTTATTGGACTGTCTCTTCCATTATCCGGTATTCTTTTCATTTTTACATTATTACTATTTTTTGTATGGATATGAATGTTTCAGATCTAAGATCGCAGACTGAAGTTGCATATAATATTAACTCGACCTTGTTACTTTAGACTATAAATCTAGAGACCATAAGAGATTTTGAGATTAAGATTATGATACATTAATAATACTAATGAAATGAATCCCACTTACCTACCTATGAAACTCCTTTATTTATTTATTTAATCCATCTGATAGTCTCTCTTTCTTTTTTTTTTTTGTCGGCGATAGTCTCTCTTTCTTTTATACTAAAAGTGGTTTCTCATATGTTTCTTATATATAATAATATCTCAACAATATCGGCATGTCGGTCCTAATAAGAGAAATTCAAGGCATAAATTTCACGATCACAGTTTTGTCATTGTTATTAACGTTTAGTATCAACTCTATAACAATAAGACAGTTTGGCCGAGTGGTCTAAGGCGCCAGATTTAGGCTCTGGTCCGAAAGGGCGTGGGTTCAAATCCCACAGCTGTCATCTTCTTTTCCTATTTTTCAATCTTAAAACCCTCTAGCTCATCAAGAAGGTCTATATTTTCTGTACCTATAAAAGCTCCTTGATTTTGAACAGTTCTTCACTTCTCCAGTAATTTCCGGCAATTCCAAATCTCTCTATATCTCCTTTCATCTTCGAATCCAATCAGAGAGAGAGAGATCGAAAATGATGATTCACTCAAATCTCTATCGTTCCTTCATCTTAATCGCGTTTTTATTTACCCTAACGAATCCAGAATCGGATTCAGATCTCATAAACGAGCTTGTTTCGCTCCGATCAGCCGCCGAATCAGGCGTGATTCCCCTCAACGACGACGACGTTTCCAAATTCATAACCTCCGTAGCCACTCCTAGACCTTACTCTCTCATCATCTTCTTCGACGCAGTTCATCTCCACGACAATAGCCAGCTCCGTCTTCCAGAATTCCGCCGCGAATTCGGACTCGTCTCCGCCACTTTCATCGCCAACAACAACAATGGAACTAACGGAACAAAGCTCTTCTTCTGTGTGATCGAATCAACTCACTCCGTGGCTTCGTTCCAGCGCTTCGCCGTCGAGAATCTACCGCACATTTCACTCGTTAGCCCTATGACGGAGAATTTAACAGAATCAGATCAAATGGACGGTGGAGATTTCACTGGATTAGCTGAATCAATGGCAGAGTTCGTCGAACGTTTAACCAAACTCACCGTTGGTACAATCCAAAGACCACCGCTCCTATCGAAGACACAAATCGGAATCATAGTAGCATTTCTCATAATCTCGACTCCGATTCTAATCAAGAAGATTCTAAAAGGAGAAACACTTCTCAATGACCGTAGAATCTGGTTAGTCAGCGCGGTTTTCGTCTACTTCTTTAGCGTCTCGGGGACAATGCATAACATCATTAGAGAAATGCCAATGTATATCAAAGATTATGAAGATTCAAGTAAGTTTGTTTTCTTTATCGAAGAATCAGAGATGCAGCTTGGAGCAGAAGGTTTCTTTGTAGGGTTTTTGTATACTGTTGTTGGATTGCTTTTGGCGTTTGTTACTAACGTAGTTGTACGAGTTAAGAAACTCGATGAGCAGAGGATGGCTATGCTTTTGTCTTTGTCTATATCGTTTTGGGCTGTGAGGAAAGTTGTTTACTTGGATAATTGGAAGACTGGATATGAAATTTACCCATATTGGCCATCAAGTTGGCGACATTGATTGATCTTCACGTAAGGTTAGTTTTTCAAGATTGTGGAACTGATTAGTTAGTGTTTTGCTTTCAATACTTGAACATATAGACAAGTTTATGGTTTAAAGATTCAATAGCAGTTTAGGATTCACGAATTCGTGTTGTTCTCTAGGATCGATTTACTATTTAGAGGAAATGATTGCTCTAGGTCTTATAATGCTTATGGTGTTGCTTCTGCATCCATTGAGAAAGAGTACTCTACCAAAGAATCATTGCTTTACTATGTGCGAAGGTTTGAAAAAGATTGTATGAAATACTTGACCCACAAGAAATCTTTTGAAAAGTAAATAGATTCTCTCATTGTTCTTTTTTTCCAACTTTGTTTGCAAATTAAGCATCTTTTTTCCCCATCCTAGAAGTTAATCCTTAAGAGAGAACTCATGTTTATATTCCTCTTTTGGTTTTGCTAAGAAATCAATTTTATTTTGGAAATTTTGACTATGGCAGAGACAAATAAAGGAATTGAAGAAGAAGTGGCAAGTGCTTTTGTGAATCACTACTACCATCTCTTTGACAATGATCGATCATCTCTTTCTTCACTCTACAATCCCACCTCGTTGCTCACTTTTGAAGGCCAAAAGATTTACGGCGTGGAAAACATCTCCAATAAGCTTAAACAACTTCCGTTCGATCAATGCCGTCATTTGATCAGCACCGTTGATTCTCAGCCGTCTTCAATAGCCGGTGGATGTGGCGGAATCCTAGTTTTTGTGAGCGGTAGCCTCCAATTACATGGGGAGGATCATCCTCTTAGGTTTAGCCAGGTCTATCTCTTATCTATTTGTGATGGATACAAGGTTTCATTTCGTTAAACGATATGCTTAATTAATGTTCATAAAACAAAATGCTGAATCTCAAGGTTTTTTTCTTGTGCTATAATAATCTTCAATTTTTAATGTTGTTACAAAATTATATGTATGAAACAATAAGCTATATAGTATGAGCCTGAATATATTTTTTTGTTGAATTTTTAGTTGACTAGAATAATAATGTTATCTATTAATTGCAGACGTTTCACTTGATTCCGGTTCTACAAGGAAGTTTCTTCGTCCAAAATGAGATGTTTCGGCTCAACTATGGTTGAACTTATTATAACTTTAGTGTTTGTAATCGATCTCTTATATATCAAAATCCAAATAATAATGCAGTCACATATTTAATGAAAATCATTTCATCTTGACTACTGAAATATATTAGTTTTTTTTTCTGGGTTTATTCTCATATACGTAAGCAAGTTTCAAAAGTTTATTAAAAAAACATTCCGTAATTGTAGATTGGTAAAATCCTTTTTTGCTAAGAAGGTAAATAAGATTGGTAAAATCCTTACTATAAGTGAAAGCAGAATAAGATTTTTTTGGCTCTCATATAATCTTGTCCTCTCGTAGTTGTTACTAAAAATAGGGATATAAAATCGGACAGATATGAGGCTACGACTATCTTTTGAATCTTGACCATCCCCTTTTACTCAAAACCATTTCCTTCTCTTCCACGAAACCAATTTTCTCTCTCTCTCCCTTTCCCTGATCAACTTCTCACGAACTAAAATATGAAGAGCCGGAGCAGAAACTTAGCCACCCTAAGTTTGATGATAATTACGTTATTGACATGGACGAAGATCGTGGAAGGACAAGAAGCACTACTAGGTAAGAAAGTATTGCCGCTATGCCACAGAGAATGTATGCCAATATGCATGAAAGTGACCGAAGCCACGCAAGAAATTTGCGAACCTGCATGCCAATCTGGTTGTCTCCAGCTTCAAGGTAGAGGCACCGGACTTTCAGCCTCCGATCAAGGAGTCGATATGGTCATCGCATAAAAAATTACTAAGATAGACACACCAAAATAGTTGCTTGATTTCTTTATATGAATATAGAGATGTAAAATCGGGTTTCATCTTTTTTTTTTAATGATTTATTCATCATCCACTCTCCACATTTTTTTTTTTTTTTTTTTTTAGTTTTAGAGAGAATACAACATCGTGGAACAATCGAAATATCGAATACTTTTTTTTTTTGGTTTTAAAAAATCGAATACTTCATGAGGACGAGAAGAAGGATCATAGAAAGCGCCACAAGAAGAGCCATTATTTGTTCTTCTCCCCTATCTTATGAATCGTTAAACAAAAATAAGATGATTTGACTTATTTAATAAAAATGTAGGGAAACTTACCAACAAACAGTAAAACAATACAAATCCGCAATGACAAAAGGAATAAAATTAAACATCGCGATTCGAGAGGGAGACCTTTTAGTTCTGATATTTTGTGACAAAACCATAACAAAAATGATTGCAAATTTTGTAGTCATATATAATAAGTGATCTAGCCAAAAAAAAAACTAATTGTTGTAAGCGAGTTATCTTGTTTTTTAATTGAACTAAAAAAATCAACGAACTCAAAAAAGTAATTTCATAGCTAATCAATTAATTAATATTTAATATATATCGACTAAATAAAACGATATATGTCCAAACTTGTCTTGCCATATTATTAAAATGAATTTTGTCCGACATGCTTATCCCCATACTTCTAGCAACTATACTAGATAATGAAGAGAATATGGACAGTAATTATGCATTGCTTAGACTAATAATCCCACAAGGTGCGTCGTCTGTAAATGCTGAATGCATCAATTATTGCTGGGAAGAGAAAAATGATAAAATTATTTTTTAAAATGACACTTAAAGTTCGTTGAAAAGTATATAGGATCTAACTATGAATTGTATTTTTCGGATTATTTTCTACAATTACTGATATATTGAAGCACCGTTTGTTTATATAAAAGCATCGCTTCTTTCTTCATTACAAGAAACCAACCTATTGGATCGACGATAAAACTATCAACTAAATTGAAAAGAGTGCATCTAGGACTTTTATTTTCTTTCTTACTTTAGTGGACTTATCCTTTTGGAAATTGAATAAATAGAAAATGACCCTAGTGGCTGGACAATCACAAAAGTCGAAGACCAGAAAATTTACTTAATTTACACTTGCAGATAAAAAGTAATATATTGTTAAACAATCACTAGAAGTCTAGAATAGTCAATAAAAGATATGACACACCAAATAAAATAAAATAATTCAGAACAACTATAGTTAAAATTGTAAATGAAACAAACATATAAACTGAATAAATACAGACCAAACAATTCACAATTATGTTTGAGTGGTTGAAAAAAAACATAAGAAATGATGTGTTACAAATATTATTTAACAAAAAAGAAAAATGTTATTAATATTTGAATTGTTCAATGGTTAAAGTAACATTTTATCATAAGACTATTAACTAATTTGAGAAGCGTGCATCTAGAATTTTTATTTTTCTTCTTACTTTAGTGGACTTATCCTTTTGGAAATTGAATATATGAAAATGAAAAATGACCCTAGTGGCTAGACAATCACAAAAGTCGAAGACAATAAAATTTACTTAATTCACACTTGCGGATAAAGAGTTATATATTGTTAAACAATCACTAAAACAAAAGTTAATAAAACAATTGTTATTCAATAATTCGAATGGTAAAAGCATATCACACTGTAGAAGTCAAATGGATCATCGAGAACAACAAAAAAATTATGAATAGAATAAACATAATAGACTGGTCAAACAATTCAAAATAAGGTTGAATGGTTGAAAAAAACATAATAAATGGTGTGTTACTAATATTCATTAACAAAACAATAAAATGTTACAAATATCTGAATCGTACAAATGCAACAAATGTTGTACTGTAGAACACAAATTAATGACAGAATATGTGCATGTTAAAATAACATAAAAAGTAAATAATTACATTACTTTCTTTATCTTCTAAATAGTAGCACCCATCATCATTTTAATAGAAAATTTTAATTTATAAATATATCTATAATTATATTTTTAAAACTTTTTTATAATCATCTGTGAATAATATATACTCCCTAGGTTTCTTATTAATCCAAATTCTAGATTTTTCACACATATTAAAAAATATATTAAAAATTAATTATAAATGCATTATAAATATAATATTTTTATGATTATAAATGTTGGGTCGGGATATTGCTTGTAGTGTCATGAATGAGGAATATTTTACATCCTATCTTGCGCTAGGAAGTCCGTCTTGGCTTCATGAACGGATTGAGAGAGAGCGAATAGCAGCAGGTTGAGAGGAATCGTTGACACACCATGCATGCTCTGTTCTCCCTCTGTTTTTTCTTTGGTTTGGCTCTGTTTTGCTATCGTTTTATTATAGCTCTGTTTTTTACATTGTATTAACCCTACCCTATTTTCGTAATCTATTGAAGACGTTAAAAGAAAAAAACCAATAGTTTACGAAAAATATGAAATCTACAAATCATCATTAATGGCTAATTAAAATGCATAAAAACCTAAAATTTTTACTTTTGTGCAACAAATTGTTTTTCTAAAAATTTGGATTATTAAAGAAACAGAAGGAGTATGTTTTTACGGGTGCTACCACTCACAGCTATTGTAGATCTCTTTATCTCTAACTCTCATTATAAACAAATAGAAAATGATAATAACATGCTTTAAATGTTATTTTATGTTTTCAGTAAATAAAAAATAAGAAAAAGGTATGATTAGATATCGAAACAGAGTAGACAGATATCATGATACCAGTTGTTATTTTTCATAACTGATTAATGATTTTACTTATTGTCTAATACCAATATTATTATTTTTGGCTAATTATTATGTAACAATATAGTTAGTTCAGTGTTCATACTTAACTGAAAGATAGTTGAATAAGATAATTGAGCTAAAGTTGTTGGTTGAACTCGATGTAGTGGTTATTGATTCGAAATCTATTTGTAATGAAATCATTTTATAAAGTTGGACCGTTTTGAAAGTCACGAATCAATGAAACAGTTAAACGAGGTGGTTTGAGAAGACGATTGGAGAAAGTGATTAGAAGTACAAAATTGGTTCTCTCGACGAAAAGGTTGTTATTAATAAAATGCAAACGATCATCCTAATCTTGAATTATGATGGATTTATTTTTTTGTGCACCAATTTATGATGGATTTATTTTTTAGAGAATATGAGCAGATAATAGTATCATTTTTGGACCGACATTAAAATAAAGATGTAATTTTTGGATTGAAACATGAATTGGTAAAATACGCACATGTGGTACTATCAGTCATCATCGTTGTCTGCGCGAATCTCTAACATTTAATTCATTTGTTTTGTCAATAGAAAACAAATAAAGCTAGAAATTGCGTTTTGTTTTCTGCGGCCTTTCCATCTACTCCAAGACCACATGTTTACCGTGCCTCTTTAACTTTATCGAACATTCTAAACATATAAATTTAGGAAATTATTAAAGTTAATCTGCTTTCATTTTTGTTTTAGTTATTTTAAATTACTATGATTATATTTAAAAAGCAGAGTAGGTAAGTATATAATATAATATACTATAGTGACTGATCCAGTTGTTATTTTTCATAATTGTTTAATGATTCTAGTACGTCTAACAATATTTTCTGTGTTAATTTTTTTGTTTATATCTATTAATTTTTATTGGCTAATTATTATGCAACAAATATAGCCAGTTCATACTTAAAAGTCAATACGGTTGAAATATAGTTTGACAAGATAGATGAGCTAAAGTCATTGGTTATGGTTAGGTTCAATATTTCAACGTAGTGTTTATATATTTCTTTCGAGTTCAATTTTTATGAGATCGGTGTCCTTTATTTGTTTTTTTTTTCAGTAAAGCATACATAATGTATATGCATCAAGGCACAATAATGAAGGAGCAAACACGAAAATCCTTCTTCCGTAGGTTCGTCACTAAAGTTTTGTTGTGGATTTGAACAGATTGATGGGGAAATTGTTTTTTTTTTTTTTCAATATGTCGATATTTGTAGTTACTTAGCCATGTTCATGAATATTATTGCAATTTCGATCTGATAACATTATTTATCAGTGTAAAATTTCACACATACATACATGTTCATACGAATTTTTTCTAGTAATTAAAAATTAATATAAATAGAATTATCGTCATAATATAAAGAATTGGACATGCTAATTTGATTACTAAAGTAGTATAGTGGAGGGCCTCCCTATATTTTAATTTCTACCATGAAATTCCAGTGCTAAACAAAACAAATATTCGAGCCCCACTGTTCGTTTTCTTTAAAAAATAAGATAATCATAGAGTTTATTTTAATTTATACAGTATTTGGTGCAGTGAGATGGAAAGCATGTGCAAAGAAAGGAAATCATGACACTTCATCATTTACTCCACTCACTAGCGTTTCTATAAAATGGCATGATTCGCGGTAGTGAAAGGCAAACACAAACAATTTTTTTACCACTAAAACCAAAGACCTATGTCTAATTCAAACCAACCACTTCTTTCCAAACCAAAGTCTTTTAAGCACAAGAATCTATGCCTTGTCCTCTCCTTTGTAGCCATTCTTGGCTCTGCAGCTTTCTTCGCAGCCCAACTAATCTCCATTAACACCACTAATAATGATTCCTCATTAACCCCAAGCCAGATTTGTCATGGAGCTCACGACCAGGACTCGTGCCAAGCTCTCTTGTCCGAATTCACGACGTTATCGCTTTCAAAGGTCAACCGCCTCGACCTATTGCACGTGTTCTTGAAGAACTCGGTGTGGCGGCTTGAGAGCACGATGACCATGGTGAGCGAGGCTAGGATCCGCTCGAACGGTGTGAGAGACAAGGCAGGTCTTGCTGACTGCGAGGAGATGATGGACGTATCAAAGGATCGGATGGTGAGTTCGATGGAGGAACTCCGGGGAGGAAACTACAATCTTGAGTCATACTCAAACGTTCACACTTGGCTGAGCAGTGTGCTTACAAACTACATGACATGTTTAGAAAGTATTAGCGATGTCTCCGTTAACTCTAAGCAAAGAGTCAAGCCACAAATCGAGGCCTTAGTTTCTAGGGCTAGAGTGGCTCTAGCCATCTTTGTCTCCGTCTTGCCTGCCAGAGACGATCTCAAGATGATCATTTCCAATCGCTTTCCGTCGTGGCTAACTGCTTTTGACAGAAAGCTTTTAGAATCTGCTCCTAAGGTAATCAAAAATCACATTCAAATCTTCCTAACTATTGCAATAAATATGGCCAGCGACATGTTTTGGATATATTTCTAGTACTTCATATAAGAAAGAAAAAGTTTCGGCAGTAAAATCTAAAACTTTGACCTCTATTAGACACTTAAGGTGACCGCGAACGTTGTGGTGGCAAAAGATGGCAGCGGAAAATTCAAAACAGTAAATGAGGCAGTGGCGGCAGCACCGGAGAACAGCAACACCAGATACGTTATATACGTAAAGAAAGGGGTTTACAAGGAAACTATTGACATAGGAAAGAAAAAGAAGAACTTAATGCTTGTTGGTGATGGCAAAGACGCAACGATCATAACCGGTAGTTTGAATGTCATTGACGGATCCACCACCTTCAGATCAGCCACTGTTGGTAATACAATATTTTTCTTTCATTTGTGTCTTTCAACATTATTGTAACCAAAGAATTTATAAGATTGCTTTGAAACATGTACAGCTGCCAATGGAGACGGGTTTATGGCACAAGACATATGGTTCCAAAACACTGCAGGGCCAGCAAAGCACCAGGCTGTGGCTCTCCGCGTGAGCGCTGATCAAACTGTTATAAATCGTTGCCGCATAGATGCGTACCAAGACACGCTCTACACGCACACCCTGCGACAATTCTACCGCGATAGCTACATAACTGGTACGGTAGATTTTATCTTCGGAAACTCTGCGGTGGTATTCCAGAACTGCGATATCGTGGCCCGAAATCCTGGAGCTGGGCAAAAGAACATGTTGACAGCTCAAGGACGGGAGGATCAGAACCAGAACACAGCATATTCGATCCAAAAATGTAAAATAACGGCTAGCTCAGATCTTGCTCCTGTAAAAGGATCTGTGAAAACGTTCCTTGGACGGCCGTGGAAGTTGTACTCAAGAACAGTGATCATGCAGTCTTTCATTGACAACCACATTGACCCGGCGGGTTGGTTTCCATGGGATGGTGAGTTTGCGCTCTCGACATTGTACTATGGAGAGTATGCGAATACCGGTCCTGGAGCGGATACGAGTAAGAGAGTGAAGTGGAAGGGATTTAAAGTTATTAAAGACTCAAAGGAGGCCGAACAATTTACTGTGGCGAAGCTTATTCAAGGAGGATTATGGTTGAAGCCCACTGGAGTTACTTTCCAAGAGTGGCTTTGATTTAATGTCTTATTCTTGTATCTTGTGTTGTGTTCTGTTACCTCTGTTTTAGTTTGATGTCTTTCTCTGTTTTGTATGGACTTAACCAATGACATGCTCTGTTTCGTGAAGTTATTAGGTTAATGTTTGATAATAAATTTCGAGATGTGCAATATAATATTTTGAATAATTTTAACACTATCAAATCTTTGCATTTTTTTGAAATACATAGTCATACTATCACTCATCACACAAATCCATATAATTTTTTTGGAATCTATGTACTAGATGAGTAAAGTTTTGAGACTATTTTCATGAATGTTATGAATTTTTTAATTTGATTACACTATTACAGTACCTATCAAATATATTATTTTATCAATATTAAACTATACACGTTGGTTATATAGGGGATCCTTGCATACTGATACTGCATTATGCATAAGATATAATTTTACTATAAGTAGAGCCAGTCGTGAATCGTAATATACACATTAGCTAAAAATAGATGACAAAAGAAAAAAATTGATGACAATGCCCATAAAATTGTTGAGACTTAATTATGGACATGTTGCGCCGGCCATTTTTTGGGATAATTTTCAGGCAAATTTTTTTGACGGAGGAATGACAGGTTATGAGAGTTGAAAGTTGAGAGTGAATTGCTTAAAAAGTAAAAACCATAAAAAGAACCCAAAAAAAATAAGGAACGATTGTTAACCAAAAAAAAAAGAGAAGAGTTTGTCCTATTGGAAATTGTGAAAAAACTCACTAGTGTATAACTCATACGTAAAATTCAAAACTTTGGGACCACAATATACTGTAACAGTAAAAGAAAGAAAAACATACCCATAAGGCCCTACTAAACCGCACACACACGAGTCGGGCAGACTTGGACTTGAGTTTGGATAAGTGGGCCTTCTATAGCTTATATTTTTGTTCACGTTTTAAATTTTGTGATCACTACAAGATTCGATTTGAATCAGTCAATGCAATAAACTCTGAAATATGTAACAGTTCACGAGATTCTTCTTAATGTCGTAATTAATAATGATTATTGCGGTAATCAAGTATGCGGTTTCTAACCGAGGCTATACAAGAACTCGTCTCATCTCATACAGAAACACAGCGAAAACTTTACTAGTCTTTTCTCATCCCATCAGCCAATTCTCTATCTCGTTTATTTTTATGCTTTCTGCTTCTATCCATTCTAAATGCATTGATGATTGTTCAAAAGTTATCTCCACTACATACATAAAGGAGAATATCGAAACACTTTAACATAAAGCTATTAAATTGCATAATCATTTCGTAGCCAACAATTTGATAAAATTAGATATTTATTTTATTGTGTTTAAAAAATAAGAACTTACTACCTAAATTCAACCTTAACAAAAAATATTAGAGTCCTTTGTATGCTCACAAATTTCACCATTTTTATTGGGATTGCTATATTACAAGCACGATTGATTTCATTTGTGGAAACACGGCAACAAGAATACCTATGAAGGGGACCATGCAGGTTGGGCTTCTTGGAAAAGAGAAATTGCATTATCTACTCTTCTACAACGAATATCAACAAAATGTTTAACTGGACAGGGTTTAGAGTTATTACTAATCCAAAAGAGGCTGCAAATTTCACTGCTGCCAAGCTTTTACATAGAAAATTGTGGCTGAAGGCTAGTGGAGTTCCCTATGTAGAAGGCCTATGATGCTAATTAACTATGTATTAGCTAGCATACTTAACTAAAAGATATTTTTTACCTATTCGTCTATTGTTCCTCTATATCTAAACTACCAAAAAGAAAAGTTCCTCTATAAATTTAGTTTTAAAAATTGATGGGATAATAAGAAGTTTAGATCCAAGACAAATGGTAACAAACTAACAACAGATATGCAATATTATCTCAAACCTGAGTTATTTTGATGGAAAAAAAAACTCAGTTCCGAATGAGATCTATAATTATCAAAGCTACCATATATGACTACAAAGGAAGGAGAAAATAGAATGAGTTGTCATAATGCTGTTAAACCAAATCAAAATCAAATCATTTTCTTACTAAAAATGGTCAAATTAAATATTTTTATAGTTGGGATTTTATTCACCTTAAAGAAAATTTCCAATTTTGATTCATATTGTAGGAAAAAAAACTATAAAACGATAAACTAAAGTCTACATTTGCTTATCTTTTGCTTAGAGTTAACTTATGTTTTGCTTAATTTTTTTTTATTATTTGCTTATATTTGGTCAACTTCAAAACCCCAATCTATTTATGGCATTTAGCGGAACTAATTTTTGTATTGGGTTTTTGATTTATTCTTTTGTTATCTATAAACTGAAATTTTCAATATATACCTATAAAAATTTGTCTACATATAATTTGATGTATATTTTCCATGCCTTCAATGTCTTTCATGCCTTCAATGTTTTCATTTGTGTGATTCCTTTTCTCACAGTTTTTGGTAGTGATAGTTTGTTAATTATGATCTCCGGTTGGTTGTGAGTTGTGACGGAGGATGAGGAAAAAATCACAACATCTTAATCATGGTTACGTGTTAAATCTATGAGTAGTGGTCGTATTTGTTTAGGGCTTTTTAAGTTCCGTGAATTGTATGCTTAGTTAGACTTCGTTTTCTTTAACATTTTTCAGTGTATGGTGTGCAAATTGCAAAACATCTCTTTAAGTAATTAAGTTTCCTTTCCATTTGATGTCATTAACCTTTGTAAAAAAATGAACGAAATAAAGATTCCTTAAATCCTTTAACAAAGGAAAACAAGATTCCTTAAAACAAACATGTATTGGAAAAATAATATAAAAATTGACTTAAATATTCGAATATTGGTTTTAGAAAGTGGTAATACTTCATAGTGGAGGAAAGGTGGTCATGGCCATCGAGAAACATGTAGACCAGGCCATGTGATGTAATTTGAAGATGCTAATTCGGTCATATTCAACATATTAACAATGAGGAGGGGATTTTTTTTTGGGTATGTATAGGTTGGATAGAGCATCTGAGGTGTTACGTTGAGTAGCGGGCATGAATTCGACGTAACGAAAAAAAAGGACAAGAAAATGTGAGATAGTGATTAGTCATATCAAGCCATGTAGATTTAGGAATTCTCTCCTCATAATTTAGTTCTTTTATTTTTTTGTTAAAATACGAAATTTAAATTAATACGACAAAGTTTTGACAACCTTCAAGGTAGCTCAATTAAAAAAGCAAAGCTATACTTCCCTTCTCGTACGAAGACTTGACATGGGTGGGACTCCTTCACGTCACGTATCATGTACCAGGCGCTTATTATTGTTAAAATAAGTAATTTTAAATTACTAGGACAACGTTATTTAGAAGCTCTTACATAGACTTATATATAGGGATGAGAGTTTACAAAGATCAGAAATGAAGAATAATCTATGGTTTCATGATTTAGAGTTCGAGGAAATAATGCTGCTTTTTATTTCTCTCATAAGCTCTTGTCACTAATACGTTTACAAAAGGATGGGGGACATCGAAGCAATTTCCTAACTTCAATGCCTGAATCAGAATTATCTGAGAAACTATTATTATGTTATTTTTTAAATAATGAATCTGGCTTTATACGTCAGCATAGTACAGAGCACAATTTAAAGGTGGCAAAAAGAAACAAGAAAAGTCTAAAACCTTATCTTCAAACACTATGAAAACTCATGAACATGCATTTACCAACCTCTTGTTTTTTGTTTCTCCCGAAAATATGATTGTTATTGATAGCACTTATCGTCCTTTATTTTTTCAAACGCACAAAGATCAAAGAAATTAACATTCGTAATTCAATCCGTGTGTGATGTAAAGAAAATATGTCAATCCTTGCTTATTTATTTTGGTGTCACGGTGGTCATGGTTTAAGGCAAGATAGTAGATTCATTACACAGCCTGTGTGCAAACACTATGCTTCTTTTTTTAGTCAGAACCAAAAACTATGTCTAAGCCACCTAATTAGCCACAAATTTTACCCGTAACAAATTTCGGAAAACTCCTAGTCAAAGAAGTTACTCACATCTATAATAAGTTAGAATCTTGGGTTAACGGAACATACGTTTAAGTCTCCCTCTCTCTATTTACATAAATAAATGAAAATTAATGATTTCAATGGACAAAACTAATTACATGTATTTATCTCGTTGATAATAAAGTTATATTTCTTAAAAATCATGAGGACTAGTGTACAAAACTACAAATGCAAATACCGTGTTAAACATGTATAAACTCCAATCATTTGAGTCAAATGATGCGTAGCAAAAAACAATCATACCTGTTTTTTTTTATATGTCAAGTAAATTATATTCGTTCAGGCTATAAAAAGAACTCATCAAAACAAATGTTTCCTTCAGAAAAATATCTCAGATATATATCTAACACTAGTGTTCTGGAAAAAAAAAAGAGAGAGAAACATGTCCAGTAATATCCAGGTACGAGGGCAGCCACTTCCTAGGGTTCCAGCAAGAAACCACCATATGACACTGACACACTTGCTTGTTTGCGGCGTTTCCACAAAACGCCACCACCGTGAAATCAACGCAATCAGCCGTAATAGAAGTCCATCGTTGGATTCGGTCCCAACAAGAACCGACAAGAGGCAGTTTCTTCGTGGTGACGGTAACGGTAAATTCGGGAGGTTCGGTGGGAAGTTTGTACCGGAGACATTGATGTCTCGCCTGATGGAACTTGAAGACGAATTTAATTTTGTTATGAGCGATCACGAATTTCAGGTTGGTTTTTCTCATATATTGAGCTTCTTGCAAATAAAAGAGAAAAACAAAATTACAAAACCAAAATTGCAATTGGATATTTATTTTTTTGTTTAGGGAAATAAACATTGTTTAAATAAAACATAATTGCTTTATTTTTAATTATAACTAGGAGGAGCTTACCACATCGTTAAGAGATTACGTAGGAAGAGAAACGCCTCTCTACTTCGCCGAGCGTCTAACCGAACACTACAAGAACATAGTTCCAACCATCGAAGGTGGACCTGAGATATACCTGAAACGGGAAGATCTTAGCCACTGTGGGTCTCACAAAATCAATAATGCTCTCGCTCAGGCCATGATTTCCCGGCGGCTTGGTTGCAGCCGTGTGGTGGCGGCCACTGGATCCGGACAACATGGAGTCGCCACAGCGGCTGCATGTGCAAAGCTCTCCTTGGAATGTACCGTTTTCATGGGAGCTACTGATATAGAGAAACAATCCTTTAATGTACGTTCCATGAAACTCCTTGGTGCTCAGGTAACTTGCGATTACTATTTCAACTCATAACCAAACATAACCGGATCCCGTTCGCAGCATATAGAATTTTTTTTAACTTATCAAAAAAAAAAAGCATTAAGAAAAACAACATTTTTAGTATATACAGTACTTTGTTATATGTTTAACATATTTTGTCATTTTGTGTTGGAATATTTGTTCAGTCTTAAAGTTATGGTGTATGAGATATGGGACCACTCCCTTTTTAAAATATACTTGAAATTATATTATAAATTTTCAGTAGACCAAGTAACATGAGATAAAGTGTTTGAGCAACTTAGTTACCGTAATATTAGTAAAGGAAGTAAAATGTTGGTATCTAACAATAAAATTAAAAAGTTTTATGTAAAAGTCACCAAAATTATCAACACTAACACTAAATTTTGTTTGATTTCTACAGAGATGAGTTTTATATCTAAAACAAATTATGTATACAGAACTTAAAATTCGTTTTATATATTGATCTTAAAAGGTGCATGAAATCAGTGGAAGGAACATTCAAAGATGCAAGTTCAGAAGCTATTCGAAACTGGGTCGAAAACCTATATACCACATACTACTTATCGGGTACTGTGGTAGGACCGCATCCGTGTCCGATAATAGTACGTGAGTTTCAATCTGTGATCGGGAAAGAGACAAGAAGTCAAGCCAATCAACTCTGGGGTGGTAAGCCTGATGTATTGGTGGCTTGTGTGGGAAGTGGCTCCAACGCATTGGGTTTGTTCCATGAGTTTGTTGGGGATAAGGATGTGCGGTTAGTCGGTATCGAGGCTGCGGGGCTCGGTCTGGATTCGGGGAAACATTCAGCTACTTTGGCCGTTGGAGATGTTGGTGTATACCATGGTTCCATGAGCTATTTATTGCAAGATGATCAAGGACAGATACTTAAACCACACTCCGTAGGAGTTGGGTAAGTGTTATAGTTATAATCTCAATATAGATTTGGTAGGAACCTAGACTAGACGACCTGAGTTAATCATCTCGATTGGAAAAACTAAACTAATCTCTTTAAAAAAAAAAGCATTTGAAAATAAATTAGTCTAAGTAGATATCATAATTATTTATTTCCATTTAAAGTTATTTTAAATAAATGAACAAACCTTGACATAGATAGAAATTCTAACTTCACCACATGATAAAGTAGTTATTGAGTGTGTGTGTGTGTGTGTGTGTGTTTTTTTTTTGTTAAGAAAGTAGTCATAGAGGTTGATGCATCGTTAATTAAATTATACGATATAATGTTACTTTTTTTTTATTTTATTGACAAAAAAAAAATCTGAAGTCTTATATATTTGTACAAGTTAAAAAAAGAAGAAGTTATTTTGCACGTCCTTTTATCGAAACAAAAAAAAAAGTTATCACGTTTATCACATGCAATGATGCAATGCAAGCACGTCTCGTGATCAGCTATGAACCGGTCTGATTGAACCGGATTTTTTTCCTGGCCGAATCAAAATTCCAAGCTGGGAATAATATGCGCTTGGGTAAAATTAATTTTGAAAACCAAGTAAAGCAAAGAGAAGTAATATATTGACAGATGCTTGATTACATGGTCGTAGGTTAGAGTATCCCGGAGTTGGACCGGAGATTAGTTTCATGAAAGAAACTGGCAGAGCCGAGTTCTATACAGCAACAGACGAAGAAGCCATTCAAGGTACGTACCTCTATAGTGACTTACTACTAATGTTTTCTTTATAATATTTACAAGAATCGTTATTACATAAAACATTAATATATCTTATATCTTGTCGACTGCAGCGTGCATGCGATTAAGCAGATTGGAGGGAATAATACCGGCATTGGAAGCATCTCACGCACTCGCGTTCCTCGACAAACTCGTTCCTACTCTGCGCGATGGAGCCAAGGTGGTCGTGAATTGCAGTGGCCGTGGTGACAAAGATTTAGACACTCTCATCCAACGAGGCATGCCCTCTTCTTTGTGTTGACTCACCAAGATGCGACATTACACTAAACCCTCTTAGAAAACGTCTATATAGTCCAATTACAACCATCATTGTGGATGAAATACTAATACATCAATCATTATTTGAAATTTCGATATATGTACTAGTTACCCTAAACTTCTCAACCCCTTTTAATTTCTTATCATTAAGATGTAATATAATAATTTATCCAATTCGTTCCAAAAAATTTTGTCAACATTTTTTAATCTATTAAAATCTTGGCTTGATCGAAAATTACATATATAATTTATTTATTTCCAATGCCTCACGAAATATCAATTGTGAATACATTTTGAAAGAATAAGATTTCAGCTTTTAAATTTCCACAAATGCATGTAGTGTACCTAACTCGAAAATTTTAGCGGTCAGACATTTACCAAAGTACAATTTTCTCTTATATGAAAATGTTTATTTATCAAGTAAATCCAAAAACATCTGACACATCACCAAACCTAACCTACTATGTACTGAATTACACACACCTTCATAATCTAGCTAAAAGGTCATCTCTATCCATAGTTTCTTAAGAGGGTATCTCATAATAAAAAGAAAAAAAAATGATATGAAAGAGGACAAAAATGAGTTCTCAAACAAGAATTTTATGAAACTTATGAAATACACAAATCTTAATTAGTTGTTACTTTGTCACTGGTTTAATTATTAAAAAAGAATTACTATAATTCTTTTTGAGAAACTCTTACCGTATATCACCATCTCACCTATGTTGGTGCTCTAAGACTTGACGTTTATTGCAATTTGCAGATAGTGATTGGCTGATTGCAACGAAAACCAACAAAATTAATTAATAGTATACACTCGTAATAGGTAATAAGCTGTGAAAGTAGCATTATACATAAGGAAACAGAAGAAGATCGAGCTTTTATCAGAAGTTCATCCTTGAATTGGTATAATCTCTGATTTTCTCGTCGGCTCTTATTCTTAATGCTCTCATTCATCATTAAATTTATATTTTACCGCTTAAGTTTTTCCTTTCTTTTTATTAAAACAATTGACCTTTTAACAACCAAATAGATGACCTCCACAAACAATCAACCATATTTTCCCATTATGGAATTACGTATCGCTACATTGAAACAAAATAATTCAGCAAGAAATTATAAATGAGCTCGATCGACTATATTATGGAATTGGGAGGAACGATCGATTTTCTTTAATTCCAATTTCTCTTTATGATGAATTCATGTAGCCTGTAGGACGAGTAATTGCGTACGTGTATTGTGTAATTATCATATAATATAATTTATTAAGGTTCCGAATATAATTTATGTTATGTGTTATGTCACTAATCATCTATACATGCATTTTCTTATTCTAACATTTTTTTTTTTTTTTTTAATATATATATAGTGCATGCATACACGTGCACGGAAATCATCTCTCGTCAATCTTTCAATCATTTTAATTTTAAACAAATTTGTTTCAATCGCATGTATTTCTTATACGTGCATGCATGTAAGATGAACGTATAGGTCTTCCAATAGCATTTATACATAGTATAATATTATTTTGATAAACAGTTTGCTTCTTCTAATGAATTATATTATTTCACATGTTAATATGCATGCTATACGTACAGATGAATATCAGGTTTAATTAGTTTATGTATTATTTTTTTGCAAATAAGTTGAGTTTATGTTCAGTTTTTTTTTTTTTTTGAACATCTAGGTTTATCAATAATAGTAAATTAGTAACCAAAGTGAATGATCAGCTGCAGACTTGCAGTGTGGTTGAATTCAAGCTATAAAAAGTCAATGAAATTAAGGGTGGGAAATTAAACCTTTAGCAGTTGGTGAACATTAATGAAGATAACAACAATTTGTGTAAATGACAGAAAATGATGTACGAACATGAAATATGATAAATTATTTGTATTTTATTTTGTAAAATTACAAATTAAAATATTGAAGGAAAACACAGAATGACAGAAACATAGTAATTATAACAAAAATAGAAAGAAAGCTTTAATAGAAAGCTAGCATATATTATATATATATATATATATATATATATATATAAAGAATACGATATAGTAACTATAAGAAAATACACTCAAACAGTTTAATTTTGTCTCCTTAAATAGACCATCCGAGAGAACTTCTTGACATGTCCAGTTTTCTCTTAAAAACTTTTTGAAAAGAAAGAAATAAAGTTTCTTACATTCTCTCAGAATGTTGGTTTACACAAAACTTTCAGTGTTTTACTTTCTCGTCATATCCTTTTCCACTCTCCTAACAATTTCTTTCACAGCTCCGGGATCCGATTATATACCAATGAGAGACGAGGTAATCACAAAGTCCCAAATTATTTGTGTGATGTAATTTGATAATTAAATAAAAAATATTATTTTTCTTCTTGTATCTATAAAGAGGAACTTTCAGTATACACTTATTCAAATTTACTAACGTCTTCTTTTCTCTCTACTAATCTCCTTAAAATGTATATTTTCTATGAAAAAAAAACAATATCAACAAACAGAAATTGTTTCGATTTTATTTAAAATATGTATATTACAAAGTTGGTTTCATTTCAGTAAACACAAGTTCTTTACTATGAAAGTTTAATCCGTCAATATATGTTAATATGTAAATATTGGTCTATCGTGTTGCGATCAAATCTTAAAGACTCTGTTCAGTAATTAAACACTATTTTTTGTTTTGGATCAATTTCAAAAATTCACTTTGATAAAATGTTGTATTAAGAAAAGAAAAAGCAAATGTAACCCATTATAGTTGGTTGGAAAAAGCCCACAACAGAGATATGTAAATTATTGCCCAAGAAAGAGCCCAATATAAATCAACAAAGGCCTGTGAAATAATATCCCAGATTTAGAATTATAGCCCAAAACTCTATACATTATTTCTCGAGAAAGGAGAAACTTTTGTTTAGTTTTCTCAATTGTTTATTAACTTTTTTCTGTTGTTTTTGTCAGGTACTGAAAAGTAACGCCAATGTAACTGTTGCTATGGATGGTACTGGCGACTACAAGACCGTCATGGAAGCTATCATAGCGGCACCCATGAATAGCAAACTTAGATACATCATTTATGTGAAGAAGGGCATCTATAACGAAATTGTCAAAATTGAGAAAACGAAAACAAACTTAATCATTATAGGCGATGGTAGAGATGACACTATTCTCAGTGGTAATTTAAATGCCAATGATGGTATTAGAACCTATGATTCTGCAACTTTAGGTACTGTATCTTTTTTTTTTCCTAAAATATTACTGTTTTCTTTTATTTATTTTAACTTATTATATTTTTAATTATGATTTTAGTAATGATACTGAGACATCTTTTTTTTTATACAAGTGCAGGTGTGAATGGAAATGGGTTCATGGCCCAAGATATTTGTATCCGGAACACGGCTGGACCGGCGAAAGGACAAGCCGTAGCTCTCCGAGTGAGCGCTGATGCGGTAGTCATTCATCGTTGCCGAATTGAGGCGTATCAAGATTCATTGTATGCTCATTATGGCAAGCAATTTTATAGTGAAAGCTATATCAGTGGCACCGTAGACTTCATTTGTGGACATGCAACGGCAGTGTTTCAACATTGTCAAATTGAAGCACGGAAGCCGAAGTTTGGACAAAGCAATGTGATAACAGCCCATTCACGTACCAAACCAAGTGATAACTCAGGGTTTTCAATCCACAAATGCAACATAACAGCAAGTTCCGAACTCGCGCCGGTTAGAGGAACTATAAAGACCTATCTTGGAAGACCATGGGGAAACTTCTCTAGAGTTATATTTCTAGAATCGTTCATGGATGCTCTGATTGATCCAGCGGGTTATATCCCGTGGAACAAGAGCGATATCGAAACTTTATCTACCTTATCCTACATCGAGTACAAGAACAAAGGCCCAGGAGCAGTTACAACCAATAGAGTCCACTGGAAAGGATTTAAAGTTATGACGGATCCGAAAGAGGCGATCAAATTTACAGTTGGAAAGTTTATAAATCAAGATTTTTGGTTGAACTCGACTGGAGTCCCGTATGAAGATGGTCTCTGAATATTGTACGAATTATAAGATATGAATAAAAAATTATTTGATATTATGCTATTCAGTTAAAATAAATAATTTTTCTTATATTTTTTTTTTTGTTAAATACTTAAATTAGATATTTGTTTTAGAGATTTGTTGGTTAACGTCTCTCTAAACACGAATAAGTGACGTGGAGATCAGAAAGAGGGAAGGGAATTAGCGTCGTTTACTAAACCGACGGTAAATAAAATTAACCCAATGGTTAGATGTACCTTTCTTTCTCTGCAAATCGAATTTTCCTGGTACGTGACACAAATCGGCGTCTCTCTCAACATCAAAATCACATAACTTAAATTAATCATCAGGTCTTTCGTTTTCTGCTACTCCAATGGTTTTGAGAATCATTGATCTCTTGTTTTGATTTTAGTTTCTCCTATTTTGAGCTTTTTCGTCTCCATTTATGGAGGTTCTTCTCTTCTCCAATAGCCCAGCAAGGTTTATGACAAAGCAATTTGATTCTAACAATGATTTACAAATTTCGTTGAAGGATATCGGCGTAGATCAAAATCAATCCATCGGTTTCATCGCCGCAGGTGTGTTATGGAAACTTTTTCGTTGCTTTCAGTTATGGGAATTGGATTGGTCTTGTTTCTGTTTCGAAGAAAACTTATATGAGTGATTGAAACTGCGTTATATGTGGGAACTGGATCTATGATACCAAGTGGTAACAAGAGAATTCATAGGACTTTGAAGCTAGATTTGTTCTTTCTGTCTGAATTTCTTTGAGAATTGGGATATGAATTCATTTGATCCCTTTTGTTGAAGAATGGTCACTTGCACTGTTGACTATCCCTCTTCACTGTGAATCTTCTCTTCTCTTATATTACACAAGACAAAAAGAAAAACAAGATAGACAGATTTCTGAGATTGTCTTGTTTTCTTAATGAAACAGAGGACTTCCTAGCCAAAGTTTGTCTCCTACATTGATTGTCTCCTAGAATCTTCAGATACCAGCTGCACTTGGAGAACATTCAACAACTTGAATTACTTGTGAGTGATCCTTGAAAGTTTCACACTTGTAATGACGTTTCACACCAATGTTGCTATTAAGTTGGTGGGATTTCATTTCCAGTGATCTGGTAAATAACTATCCTTGGCATTTTCTTGCACTATATTCTTGCACTACCTTATAATTTATGTAAATCTTTTCAGGCAAGGATTTCAATAGCTGAATTTAAAGTTTCGAAGAAGTGACTATGTTGCAATATTGTTGATTATCTCTATTGTTGTATATTTTAATATATGTTTGACGTAAACGTATTGTTTCAAAGTTTTAATTAATTACAATGTTAATATATTTTTTTGTTAACATTTTCTATATATAAAAATAAATTTTTTAGTGCTTATGTATCAAACCCACAATTATTCTCACCAAAAAAAAAAATCAAACCCACAATTATTCTTAGTATTTTTATTTTTCATTTATTTAGTTATACTATTTTCTTGCCAAATACTTTTAATTTTATATACTGTTTAAATTATACCTAGCAAACCAACGTAAACATAAAGTTAAACCGACGCAAGTTTTAGACGTTAAATTTAATGTCACTTTTTAGAACCGAAGTAAAAAATGTTAGGGTCAATTTAATCACTTTTAAACCGACGTTAGGCTTGATAATAAATGACGTTAAATCCCTTTCTTATAGTGATTTAATTAATGTTAAAAAGTTCTCTCTTTATGATCATTTTAAGTGATGTTTAAAAGTTTTTTTTTTCATTTTAAGTGATCTTTTCAACTTTCTATGTTAAAATTAAATGTATTAATGTTTTTTGACCAATTATTTTTTACTGTGTGTTTTTTAATTGGTTGAATTCAACTTATATAATGTTGTTTTATATAAAAAAGATAAATTAAATACAATTTCTGTGTGTTTTTTTATTTTATTTTGTGTGTAAGAACTTTAAACATCAATTAAAATGATACAAAGGGAATAACAATTTACTACTGATAATTTTGTGAGATTCATTCCAAATTTATGTTATTTTATATATATTTTGATATCAATGAAATCAACAAATTGAGAAATTAACTAAACTACCAAAGAAAAAAAACATTGAATTAATGCTTTGACCGTTGAACATATAAATGCTATTAATTCAAATCATTTTACTATTTGACATAATGTTATTCAATTACAATAAATAAGTTTTCTTACTTTTTTGGTAAATTAGATATTTGTTTTATTAATTTTAAAAGTAAGAATTTACGGAATTTACTATTGATAATTTTGGGTGATTTGTTCCAAATTTATATTCTACATCAACAAATTGAGAAATTATATAACCTACCAAAAAATAAAACATTGAATGCTTTGACCATTTAACATATGGATGGCATTAAGTCAAATCCTTTTACTATGGTACATAATTTGTAGCATTTACAGCAAAAGATAAATAAAGTTTAACATATGGATGGTATTAAGTCAAATCATTTTATTATGGTACATAATCTGTTTAGCATTTATGGCAAAAAAAAATAAAATTGGTTATCTTTTAAATTTGAAGATATGCTTTAGCCTATATAAATGTCACATAAGTTCTCAAACATTTTCATCCAAAAATGGTTACATATAACAAAAACAAATTTTTATTGGTTCATATACTATTTGTTCTTCTTTTGGTTGTCTTCTCAAATGCACAATTTAGTACCAAGATTACAAAAAGTGAAGTCAACGACATTTGCAGACATGAAGAAACCAATACTACGTTTTGCTTTGAGTTCTTGAACTCATCCCCTGAAACTGCAAAACTGGATTTTTCTGGCCTCGCCAAATTTTTGATCAATTATAATTCTCGAAAAATCTCAGTTATGTTGAAGCAATTCCAATCACTTGAAAAAAGCACAATTGATCCTAGCACTAAGGGTTCATATAAGGTATGTTCAGAAACTTTTGACCTTGCTATTACTTGTTCTCATGCTGCTCTCGAATATTTGGCAACCAAGAACTATGACGACTTAAACACCGAAGTTAGTGGTACAATTACCATGGCCAGTACGTGTAGTGAGGAGCTGTCAACTATCAAGCCTAGTACTGCAGAACTCTTACAAGAGGTTTCTATTGTCGATAGTCTATCTTCAATTGTTCTAGTTATTCTAGAATGTTTTTTAAGAAAAGAAAAAATTTTATGTTAGTCATTACCTTTTGTATGATGGGTCAGCAAGGAAATGGAAATCCCAATTTATAATAATAATATTATCTGATCTGAGGTTGTCTTTACCAATATTTAATTGTTTTTGGAATGTTAATTGGGGTTACGAAAAATCCAAACTCACCACACAATCATACCAAACCAAATCACGACAAAACTGGTATAACTAATCGATCAGAGATCCGGTATCCAATATATATAGTCTTTTGGTGTAAAAAAAAGAAGTATTTACGAACAGTATCCGATAACACTATGACCGCATAAACAATAATTATGGAACCGGATCAGATTAGTTTACTCCAATCCGTTTCAAAAAAATTTGGTATATTAATAAGTCTAAACTTTATCGAAAATTATGATAAATAATTTTATTATTTTCCAATGGCCTACGTTTTCTGGAGTTATAGACGGAAATATCAAATCATGAGTACATAAAGAAAAATAAAATATTCAGCTTTTTAATTCCACACATGTAGTGTACCTAACACAAAAAATTTAGCGGTCCAAAATTTACCGAGGTACAATTACGTAATGAGTTACACTACACTTACACACATCTTCATAAATCATAACTAAGTATATACACATATTCCATAATATAAGAATGATGATCAATTCTTAACTTGTTGAGGTCTGTGTGTTGGGGACCATAAATTAATAAAATTTAGCTATAAATTAATAGCTGCATCTCAATTACAACAGTGCTGTGTTTGTAACGTTGCATATCTATATTTTTTTTCTTTCTGGAAATCTATTTTTATTATAATAAAAAAACTACCATATCTCTTTTCTTGGGTCAAAGGCTAACATATCTAAATTACCAAAAAAAACATTGAAAAGAACATTTTATTATGGTACATAATTTATTAGCATTTAAATTTTGAACGTATGTTTCAATCTATATAATCTCACAAAAGTACTCAAACATCTAGAATGAAAAAATGGTTGCATCTGTAAAAAGAAATATTGTAATGGTTCCTATAGTGGTTTTACTTCTTGTTGTCTCATCATCATATGCAAAATTTAGTATTATGGTTACAAAAGGTGAGATTAACTCCATCTGCACCAAAAAACAAAATCTTTCTTCACTTTGTTTTGAGGTTATAAAACCAACCTCTGAAATTGCTTCATTAGATTTTTCTGGCCTCACCAAATTTTTGATCAATTATTATTCTCAAAATATATCAGATACGCTGAAGCAATTGAAATTGTTCGCGGACAACACGACTGATTTTCGTTCTCATAATATATATCTAGGTTGCATAGAAAATTATGACAATGCACTTTACGATAATCAGAATTTTCTTAAAGATTTGGCAGCCAAAGATTATGACGGTTTAAACGTTAGAGTCGGTGGTACGATAACAGGGATGTATGAGTGTAATGATGATTTGTCAACAATTAAACCAATACCACAATCCTTGATCATGAGGAGTAATGTTATTAGAAATCTGTCAAGCATTATCTTGGTGATACTCGAATTTTTTCTAAGAAAAGATGAAGTAAAATGTAATATGAAGTCCTAATAAATTAATAATAATATTGGTTGGTCTGGAAAGCATATGAGAGTTATACACTAATACTGAATAAGACCATTTTCTTTTTATTGGTATAATAAGATCTATTTCTTAGCGTTGATATTTACGTTTGTGTTTTTACTATCATGCATATTTTAACAATCTAGATACAAAATGCAACTAAACGATCGTGATCTAAGTTATGTTTCCAAAACAAAATTGCTTCATTAAGCTATAATTTTTTGTTTTGGCAACCCTAAAAAGGTTAATTGGGGAACAGAATTGCTTCCTATGAGGCTATGACATAGTTTTATAATTGGTCATAGGATTCAAATAATATACCGTTGACAAAACAGAAGTGTTAGGAATTGAATTAATTGGTTTTGCTTAACCAATCATTAACTCGTATTTTAATTTCAATCTCATCTTATCAAAACACGGATGCTTAGCTTATAGCTCATGGACAGTCGCTACGGCCAACAAGACGTAAATACTAAAGACCCATCTCATAGAGCTCACGAATAGACACAAATCTAAGGGTATTTATGTAATTATACATAATCTGAAATTTTTCTCTTGTCGCCAACCTCTAAAGACCCATACTTTCCCTCCTCTCTGCCCTCACCTCCTTCCTTACCCTATAAAAACCTTCTCTTTGTTCTTTGTCTCTTCCATTTTCCCAAGAAACAAACGACTCTTTCTCATTCCATCACTTCTTCAATCAAACCCTCTTCGAGATCAATCGCTTACACCAATACCCAATTGTTGTAATTCCCAAATTAAGAACCGATGATTTCTTCAATTAAACCGGTTTCATCTTCCTTAACCGCAATCGCCGGCGTAAGACGATCAATTCCGGCAAAGCTTCAATTTTCACCCTTACCCATTATCGGAAACTTCCAAAAGCCTAAGCCTTTACCTCAGAAGCCTCTTTTATCATCTCAGAATTTGTCGAATTTCCCTTTGGCGGCGGCGGCGGCGGCGCAGAGGAGTGATGTTTTTAGGGTTGGAGCTTACGAGGCTGATCGGTCTCGTCCGATTGAAATCGGTATCGACGTTCCTGACGAACAATCGGGACAGAAGGTTAAGATTGGGATCTATTTCGCGACTTGGTGGGCATTGAACGTTGTGTTCAATATCTACAACAAGAAGGTTTTGAATGCTTTTCCTTACCCGTGGCTAACTTCAACGCTTTCTCTTGCTTGTGGCTCTTTGATGATGCTTGTCTCTTGGGTCACTGGAGTTGCAGAAGCTAATGCAAATCAATAATTACAGACATCCATTAATGTGCAACACATCCATCAGTTAAGTGCAACACATCTTACGGTAGCTAAATGGTGGTGAATTACTTCGTTTGCTTATCTGTGATGTCTGTTCTCATTGTTACTCCTTTTACAAAATGCCGTCATTGGACCAAACTTCGTCTGGTAATTTTATAATGATCCATCAATATACAGAGTAAATTGATTTGAAACTTTGTAAGTTGTAAGGTATTTTATTCTAAATGTTTGAATTCAGGTGGGTACTGGCACAGTGTGTTCTACTATTTTTATAATCAAGACTCATACATATCTCTCGACCAGATTGCGTTGACATTTAGAGTTGGAAACACGATGAAGCTGATCTCAGTCATTGTCGCCTCTATCATCATCATCTTCCAAAACCCGGTTAAACCTTAGATGAGAACAAGAGAGGCAAAAGCAAACACACAAAGATGATACCCTTTTGCTTTACATTCAGAGTCAGGCCACAATCTTGCTCTTTTTCTTAGAAAGCTTAAATCCTTAGTGCTGTGATCAGAGATTTAAGAAAACCTAACTCTATGAATTGGCTAATGGTGTATTGCATTTCCAATACGATCTTGAACTTAAAGCTCGTTGATTCCCGTAAGTGTCTTGGTTGATGATGTTCTTTTGTTGGTTTTGAATCTTTGAGCAGGCGAAGCAAATGAGGAAGTTGGATTGGTTTTCATTGGGGAGTTTGATGCACCAATACTGAGAGCAGAGGATAGTAGAAGATTCATTCATGTGAAGATCTCAAGAGGGTAATGTAATCGTTGGATCTGAGCAAATGGACTTGGAAGGTCAACGCCTTAAAATCTTGACTTAATCTTGAATATCTTTTTTTTTTTTGAATGAATGTAAAAATATATTCAACCAAAAAAGACATGTATACAATGAATGCATCTGTTTTTTGAAAAAATTAGATAGAAGATAGAAGACCTTAAAGGCAGAGTAGAGAGTTTAGAGAAGTTCCAAGGTCTTGTTTATGGAAGGAGAGCTTAAATTGAATTTTCTCCTAATTACTGTTCTGCGTTCAATATATAGTAATGGTTAGTTTGTGTATTACATGAAGTATATAATGATCAAAAGTAGAAGAAATTGATTTGAACCGATGATATCAAGATAGTGATTGGCCAGCGAAACCAACAGAATTAATCAATAGTAGGGATTCGTGATCGGTAATAAGTTGTGAAAATAGGCTGATCGGTGAGGACTTTTAAGATTTTAAATTTTTTTAACAGTTCTCACAGTTTGTTTTTCTCCAATCAGATTTTTTTTACTTTAATTAATTTTAAAGTCCTTAAATATATATTTTCTACTCTTTCTTTTCAATTTTTTAAAAATTAATTAAACTGATGATATCAAGATAGTGACTGGCCAGCGAATCCAACAAAATTAATTAATAGTAGGGATTCGTGATCGGTAATAAGTTGTGAAAATAGGCTGATTGGTGAGGACTTTTAATATTTTAAATTTTTTTAACAGTTCTCACAGTTTATTTTTCTTCAATCAGATTTTTGTTTACTTTAACTAATTTTAAAGTCTTTAACTATAAACATTTTTATTCTTTGTTTCAATTTGTTTAAAAATCCGGTAAACCCAACTTTAGAAATAGAAAAAAGAAAAGTCAATAGCTTTTTTTCTCTGTTTTCCAAATATATTCATAAAATTCTCATAAATATTAAATATACAGTTGTTTGTTCTAAATGACTATTTTTTTCGTATGTTAGTATGCATGCTATACTTGCACAAATATTCAACTTAGTTTTTGTTCAGATTTTTTGTTTTTTTGTGCGTTTAATTTTCTGAACTTTTAGGTTTAGAAATGTAATAAATTAGTAACTCAAGTGAGACAAAAAAAAAACACAAATAAATTTACTTTTAATTTAAAAGAGTTAAAAAAAAAATTAAGAACTAAATTCGTTTTACAAAATTCATCGAGTACGTTGGTTTTTAAAAAAAAAAAAACTGAGGCTCCTTTGGTTTTGTCGATCCCCCAAGCCGGTGAAACCTGCATTGTTCTTTAGTCATTTACATTGTTGTTGTTTATGCAGCTAAAACTATTTTTAAATGTTCCCGGACCTATACTAGATAATTCAAGAAACTACGTAACTCAATGACCAATTGCAGTGTCAAAAACGTTAGTATCCTTTAAAAGACATGGTTTTGATAAGACGTTTTCGTTTTCCTGCAAGGAAATTTAATCGGAGTGAACTCGATCGAGCTATAAATTCAGATGATTTGAAGCAAAACATCTCATATCATTTCTTGACTTATCCAGTTTTCTCAATCTCGTTTTTATCAAATTAACTTACTTGAAAAGGGAGAAAGAACATTTTCTATTCTCTTAATGGCTGTTTACACAAGTCTTTCAGCTTTTTACCTTCTTCTAATATCTTTTTCCAATCTCGTAACAATTTCTTTCACGGTGAGAGACGTTGAACTCGAAATGGCTAGCGATGGCTTTCCGTCGTGGCTTACAATACTGGACAAGAAATTTATAAGTTCCACTCCCGAGGTAATCACAAAAACCGTAATATGTTTTGTGTTGTATAATTTGACAATTGAACAAAAATATATATATCTTGTTTATCTATAAACTAGAACTTTCAATATATACGTAGTATACAAAATTTACCAACATCTTCTTTTCTCTCTGTTAATCCACTTTTAAGATTTCTATTTTCCACAGCAAAAAATAAAACGATATAGACAAACATAAATTATTTTGATTTTTATTTTAAACATTTTTTTTTTGTAGAGATTTTATTTTAAACATTGGTTCTTAAAAGGTTGGTTTCTTTTTTTTTTTTTTGTTAAAGTAAAAGGTTGGTTTCTTCTAAGTAAACGTTAGTTTTTTAAAAAAAAATTATTTTCGCCAAAAACGTAATTTCACATTTTCCCGCCAAAAACGTGATTTCCGTTTTCCTACTAAAAATATGATCTCACGTTTTTCCAGCCAAAAACGTTATTCAACATTTGTCCGCCAAAAACTTAATTCCGCGTTTTCCTGCCAAAAACGTGATTTCCGTTTTTCTATTAAAAATATGATCCTATGTTTTCCCGCCAAAAACGTTATTCCGCGTTTTCTCGCCAAAAACGTAATTCCGTGTTTTTCCGCCAAAAATGTGAATTTGTTTTTTCTCCGAAAAAGATGTGAATTTCATGTTTTACCGCCAAAAACGAAAATTTTGTTGTAATCATATTTTTAATTATTAAATATTAAAATTTGTTAATTAGATATAATAAAAATAATTGAGAATATATTGGTAAATATACCTATAACTTACACTTGTCGCACCCTAATTATAGGTTTAAATTCCGTTTATGCAATGATTAGAGTAAAAGTAAATTACACGAACCTAATCGCTTGCTAACAAAACTTGATTCACATCACACTCTAATCGTTTTGCCATTCGATGGTGACATGCGATTAGGATCATCACATCATCACACCCGAATCGAGTTGCCATTCGGGGCCAGAATCACTGGGTTGATGTAGAGTCATATGGGTCACAAACTATCGTCATTGGTTCCAATGATCGTAAATTATCACGCTTTTATGCATTTTTTTTAATCCATATCTACAAATTTAGTTCCCGGTATTTTTTTTTGTTTTGAAACTATGTTTATTTTCCGGTAATTATTACTAGATAATTGTTACATAAACTGTTAAACTATGTTTTTGTTTCTCGTAAAAAAGGTTACATAAACTGTTACAATTGATAAATTACTTTCTAACTTTTTTTAAAAAATGATCATAACAAGCTAAGCAAAATATTTCTAGAGTTTCTTATGTTTCTTTTTTTTTTTTTTGTGAAACCGTTTCTTATATTTCTTTAAAACATATCTATAGCTCCTCAAGATGAACGCCGACATTGTAGTTGCCAAAGATGGGACCGGAAACTACACGACGGTGAGCGAAGCAGTTGATGCGGCACCTGAGAACAGCAAGAGAAGATTTACCATCTATGTTAAAGAAGGCGTTTACAATGAAACAATTGAAATTGGGAAAATGAAGACGAATTTAACGCTCATAGGCGATGGTAGAGACGCAACCATTCTTACTGGCAGTTTAAATGCTAAGGATGGATACCCCATCATGAAATCTGCCACGCTTGGTAAAGTATATGTTTTATCTAGTATTAGAATATGATTAATTTTGTTCTATATAGTGAAATGGAAATTCTTGATACAATTTACAGCCACTAACGCGGACGGATTTATGGCGCTAGACGTTTGGTTCCAAAACACGGCTGGGCCAGAGAAGGGACAGGCTGTGGCTCTCCGCGTGACTGCCGATGTTTCAGTCATATATCGATGTCGCATAGATGGCTACCAAGACACACTTCTGGCTGACAAGTATCGACAACTTTATCGCGATTGTTACATCACAGGAACAATTGATTTCATCTTTGGAGATGCTGCAGCAGTGTTCCAATACTGTGATATTGTGGCACGAAAGCCTATGAGCGGACAGAGCAACGTGTTGACAGCTCAGGGACGCAGTGATTCGACCCAAAACTCTGGCTTCTCGCTACAAAAGTGTAATATAACAGCGAGCTCGGATTTTGCTCCGATCAAAGGCACAGTAAAAACATTCTTAGGACGTCCATGGAAGATGTTCTCCACAGTGGTAATAATGCAGTCTTTCATAGACGATCTTATTGATCCGGCAGGGTGGACTCCATGGAACAACGATGTTGGACGTTTATCGACATTGTTCTATGCTGAATATGAGAATAAGGGTCCTGGAGCAGACACTAGCAAAAGGGTTAAATGGCCGGGATACAAATTGATTACTGATCCGAAAGAGGCAGCGGAATTCACGGTGGAAAATCTCATTAACGGGGAGTTGTGGCTTAATTCTACGGGAGTGCCTTACGAGAAAGGACTCTAATGACTTGTGTATGTTATATTGTTATGTTAGGTACTAATCAGCATAATGCTATTAAATAAAGGTAATTAATCATTTGCGTAATAAAAACTGGTAAAATATAGATTTTGTATTTTCTGTTATTCATCCAAAATTCGTGCAATCTTTCTACATGAAAGAAATCTATAATTTTAAAAGGGGAGCTATACTAGCATATCAAAACTACCAAAAAAAAATAAAAAAATATTTAATGCCTTTTCTTTAACAGCATTAAATTAAGGGTGATTTTGCTCAATATACATATTTGTAAAAATAATTAAGAATATAGCATACTAAATCAAAAAATGTAGTAAGTAACCATGAGAAGTAGGGATATGACGAAACTAACCTTGGAAGAAGGACACACGCCAACTGAAGAATGAAGGAAAGAAGAGTGTCGTGAGAGTGAAGAGAGAGAGAAAGAAGTGTAATTGATTTTTTAAATAATTTTTTTACTTTTTACCCCATTTGTGTATTACTTCACATTAATTGTTTGAAAAATTAAATAGTAATTTATAAATTTTATAGAAATAAAACCTACTCTTTTTTCTCTATATATCATGATTTGGATTTAAAAAAATAGAAATAAACTTATAAAAATAAAAATAAATAACAAAACTTGATCTAAATAGATACAACTAAAATAGTATAGAATTAAATAGAATAGTAATGAATACTACGTATAGTGATGGTGGTGAAATGCTATACCTTATAAAATACTAAATAAGAAATTCAAACGATCAAGTTATACATACGTTAAAAAAGAAATATTATAATTTAAGGGATAGAACATTGAAAATTCAACATGCCGAAACATTACATCTTATAAGAAATATAACATAGAAAATTTAAATTGTTGAATTAAACACACACCAAAACTATCGAATTGCTATACCCTAAGAGATACAACATAAAGAACCCAAACTATCGAATTAAACGCGCATCAAAGTTAGATTACATAAATTCATAAATGAAATAGTATAAACTTAAATGACATAACATGGAATAATATAAAATTGATGATAGAGAAAAACAAAAAAACAAAATACATAGAAAATGATATGACATATGAACAAAAGGGTAAATTAGTATATATTACATGTTATACACAGAATATTGTAGTCAACTTTTTTTTAGGTTAGTTATTGAATTATTAAATTTTTTATGGTTATACACCCAAATTTCTCTTAAATTAATTGTGGAGAGCTGTTTACAATGTCGTCATCATACAAATTATGTAGAAAAATAGACAAGTATCCATTAAATTACATAGCATTAGTCCTTAATCCCACTTTTGCCGGAAGATCGGCACACTTATCATCTATTCCCTCTAATTCTAATAAATCTATATTTTAGAATTTCACACACATTAAGGAATTTTTTGAAATGACAAAAACCTTATTTTATTAATGTTACATGTGTGTGTTTTTAAGTAATAAATATTATAAGGGTAAATTGAGAAAAAAGAACAATAGTTAGACCTAAAAATTGAAAAGATGTAGGGTTTGAATGATAACCCCATACAGTTGCAGTATGGAGTATCCCGCTTTGACAGTTATCAATTACAAATGCGATATTAAAAGCGTTACTAAAAGTTTTACTTTCTACTTTTTTGTACAGCTTTCATATACAACTGTTTTGTACAACTTTGTACTATTCCGTAAAAGTTTACCGCTCTAGCTAACAACAAAAAAAGTTGTACAGTTTTATGTTACCATTCACACCCATAACTTAATGAACCCGTTTTTTTTCTTTCTAAATTGGATCAGTTAGTATTAATTATTAGTTTATTACTAAGTGTGTTTTCACACTCACTATATAAATGCTTTGAAATATTGCTATAAATGTAAATCATTTTATTATGGTATACACCGCAAAAATGTTTCCATACGTCAAACAGATACGTCAAATGTTTACTAAGTGTGATATACTGATATGATATCCAATGTATGTGAGATTTATGTAGTAGGCTGAGAGCCTGAAACGTATCTTTTTTTTTTTGGTAAGGAAGCCTGAAACGTATCATGAATTTAAATCTAAACAGATTGCTATAAAATGTAAATTAAAATGATTTTAATACTCAAAAAGAAAAATATTTTGTTATGTCAAAAATAACTTTTTAAAATGCCTTTTTCTTCTAATAATTTGCAGGTTAATGGCTAATAAAAAATGGTCTTTAAAATTTGTTCATTTTTCATTGAACAAATATTAGTTAAATGGATTGGATCATTTTCCAGTTTAAAATTAGATATTAAAAAATCAACCTACTTTTATCCCTCTTAAATGTACAATCATTTGCAACCTTAAAAAGAGAAATTGAATGCTTTCACATAATAATACTACAAAATTAAATAATCATTTGGTATAGCTAGTTCATCTACTGCATCAAAAGGATTTCAGGCCTGAATGAGTGAATTTTTGTGTGAGTGTTATGTACTTGATGGAATCACGTTTTAAAACATGAAAACTTATTTTTTTAAAAACTCATTTAAGCTAATAATGTTTTTATACTAATAATGTTTTTTATGAAAAAACTACCATATCTTTTCTCCTGGGTCAAAAGTTAGCATATCTAAACTACCAAAAAAAAAACATTGAAAAAATCATTAGACTATGGTACATAATCTATTAGTATTTATCTTTTTTATGGTCAACATAAAAATGTTTTTAAGCTAATAAGGTTTTTATAAAAAAAACTACCATATCTTTGCTCTTGGGTCAAAGGTTATATCTTTTTTTGTCAAACTGGTTATAACATATCTAAACTACCAAAAAATAAAACATTGAGAAAACCATCTTACTATGGTACATAATCTATTAGCATTTAAATTCTGAAGATATGTTTCAGCCTATATAAATCTCGTATAAGTTCTAAAACATCTCAAATAGAAAAAATGGTTGCATCAGTAAAAAGAAAAATTGTAATGGTTCCTATAGTGGTTTTACTTCTTGTTGTCTCATCATCATATGCAAAATTTAGTATTATGGTTACAAAAGGTGAGATCAACTCCATCTGCACCAAAAAACAAAATCTTTCATCACTCTGTTTTGAGGTTCTAAAACCAACCTCTGAAATTGCATCATTAGATTTTTCTGGCCTCATCAAATTTTTGATCAATTATCAGTCTCAAAATATATCAGATACGCTGAAGCAATTGAAATTGTTCGCGGACAACACGACTGATTTTCGTTCTCATAATATATATCTAGGTTGCATAGAAAATTATGACAATGCACTTTACGATAATCAGATTTCTCTTAAAGATTTGGCAGCCAAAGATTATGACGGTTTAAACGTTAGAGTCGGTGGTACAATAACAGGGATGTATGAGTGTAGTGATGATTTGTCAACAATTAAACCAATACCACAATCCTTGATCATGAGGAGTAATGTTATTGGAAATCTGTCAAGCATTATCTTGGTGATTCTCGAATTTTTCCTAAAAAAAAATTAAGTAAAATGTAATATGAAGTCCTAATAAATTAATAATAATAATAATGTTTGGTCTGGCGTATGCTGCTTTAAATTATAAACATTTTTTTTTTGCGGTAAGGAAAGCTTATGAGAGTTTTTTTTTTTTTTCTGAAAAATAGGAAAGCCTATGAGAGGTAACATCAAACCTTATAAAATCAATAAAGTTGTCTCACATGTGACCAAGTTTCGTTTCAACGGTTCATAATACACTTAACACATAATACTTATAATTTATATCAAATCAAGACTATAGTATTTTTTTTTCTTTCAAGACTATAGTTTGCATAGATAAATGTATATCATATAAACCAATTTAATTACTTTATTCTACAATTCTTTAAACTTTATTCAATCACATAATTTATATGGTGATCTATATATCCATATCGTTCTGTGACCGGTTAATTTTTTCCTTAGATTTACTTTGCTACATAGATCATTGTTTTGTCTAGTATACTGAACAAGACCAATTTCTTTTTATTGGTATAATAAGACCACATATATATATATTTGTTAGCGTTTATACTTACGTTTGTGTTTTTGCTATCATATTTTAACAATCTAGATGCAAATGCAACTAATTCTTTATATTTCCAAAAAAGAATTGCTTCATTATTCATTAAGCTATGATTTTGTGTGTGGCAACCCTAAAAAGGTTAGACCAAATAGAAGTGCAAGGAATTGAATTAATTGGTTTTGCTTAACCAATCATTAACTCGTATTTTAATTTCAATCTCATCTTATCAAAACACGGATGCTTAGCTTAGCTTAGCTCATGGACAGTCGCTACGGCCAACAAGACGTAAATACTAAAGACCCATCTCATAGAGCTCACGAATAGACACAATCTAAGGGTATTTATGTAATTAAACATAATCTGAAATTTTTCTTTTGTCGCCAACCTCTAAAGACCCATACTTTCCCTCCTCTCTGCCCTCACCTCCTTCCTTACCCTATAAAAACCTTCTCTTTACTTCTTTGTCTCTTCCATTTTCCCAAGAAACAAACGACTCTTTCTCATTCTATCACTTCTTCAATCAAACCCTCTTCGAGATCAATCGCTTACACCAATACCCAGTTGTTGTAATTCCCATATTAAGAACCGATGATTTCTTCAATTAAACCGGTTTCATCTTCCTTAACCGCAATCGCCGGCGTTAGACGATCAATTCCGGCAAAGCTTCAATTTTCACCCTTACCCATTATCGGAAACTTCCAAAAGCCTAAGCCTTTACCTCAGAAGGCTCTTTTATCATCTCAGAATTTGTCGAATTTCCCTTTGGCGGCGGCGGCGGCGCAGAGGAGTGATGTTTTTAGCGTTGGAGCTTACGAGGCTGATCGGTCTCGTCCGATTGAAATCGGTATCGAAGTTCCTGACGAACAATCAGGACAGAAGGTTAAGATTGGGATCTATTTCGCGACTTGGTGGGCATTGAACGTTGTGTTCAATATCTACAACAAGAAGGTTTTGAATGCTTTTCCTTACCCGTGGCTAACTTCAACGCTTTCTCTTGCTTGTGGCTCTTTGATGATGCTTGTCTCTTGGGTCACTGGAGTTGCAGAAGCTCCTAAAACCGATCTCGATTTCTGGAAAACTCTGTTCCCGGTAAAGGATCTAACTTTCATTAGTGTTGTTACTTCATAAATTGTCTTGATTTAGGTGTGTTCGATCTTGAAAGGGGCTCGTCTGATTAGTTCTTTGAGTTTAGAATTTGAATTCTGCAGAAATCCTCAGATTTAGCATTTTTCTAGATTAAGTGTGTAAGTACTGATGGAACTGTGTGATGATGATTTTGATTATTCAGGTGGCTTTGGCGCATACGATTGGACATGTAGCAGCGACAGTTAGTATGTCTAAAGTGGCAGTGTCCTTCACACACATAATCAAAAGCAGTGAGCCAGCCTTTAGCGTCCTTGTCTCAAGCCTCTTCTTAGGCGAGGCGTTCCCTTTACCTGTTTACCTCTCCCTCTTACCCATTATTGGAGGATGTGCTCTCGCTGCAGTCACGGAGCTCAACTTCAATATGATCGGTAATTAACAACTTCCATTCGTTGCTAATGTATTATTCACTGAAATGTTTTGAGCCAATGCAACACATCTAGATGTAGATTAAAAGGTGTTTCTTGGGATTTTTCAGGGTTTATGGGAGCTATGATATCGAATTTGGCGTTTGTGTTTCGTAACATATTCTCAAAGAAGGGGATGAAGGGGAAGTCAGTGAGTGGGATGAATTACTATGCTTGCTTATCTATGATGTCTCTTCTCATTGTCACTCCTTTCGCCATTGCCGTGGAAGGTCCCCAAATGTGGGCTGCTGGTTGGCAAAATGCTATCTCCCAAATCGGTCCAAACTTTGTCTGGTAAGTTTATAATGATCTATTGATGTTAGTACAAAACAAAAGAAATAAATTTGTTCGAAGAAGTTGATTTCAAACCTTGTAAGGTATTTGATTCTAAATGTTTGAATTCAGGTGGGTAGTGGCACAGAGTGTGTTCTACCATTTGTATAATCAAGTCTCATACATGTCCCTCGACCAGATTTCGCCCTTGACATTTAGCGTTGGAAACACAATGAAGCGGATCTCAGTCATCGTCGCCTCAATCATCATCTTCCAAAACCCAGTTAAACCTGTCAATGCCCTTGGTGCTGCCATTGCGATTCTTGGAACTTTCATCTATTCTCAGGTAAAAAATAGAGTGAAGAAAAAAAACAGACTCTTTTCATAGTCTGCACAAGCTTCTTTCTCATTATCTGCTCTGAGATGAGAACAAGAGAAGTACACAAACACACAAAGATGATGCCCTTTCGTTTTATGTTAGAATCAGACCACAATCTTGTTCTGTCTCTGAGAATGCTTGAACCTTTAGTTATAACTCTACGAATTGGCCAATGTAGTATCACATTTCGGAATCAATCTTGAACTTAAAAGCTCTTTAATTCCTGGAGAGTGTTTTGGCTGATGATGCTCTTTTGAATCTTTGAGCAGGCGAAGCAGTGAGGGAGTTGACGGAGGACCGGTTTTCACAGGGTAGTTTGATGCACCAAGATACTGAGAGCAGAGGACAAGAGATGATTTCTGTGAAGATCTCATGAGGGTTATGTAATCGTTGGATATGCGCAAATGGAGTTGGAAGATCAAACACCTTAACAAATCTTGGCCTACTTCCTACATGATTGTATAATATATAGTTTACCTTCTTCCAATAGGATCCAAAGTTCAACTAGTTGAATAATCTAATAAAGTTGATATTACAAGACCTACTAATGTATCATACTTTCCTTTTTTGGAATTTTTATTAGAAGCTTCCTTATTCTTTTCACTTTTTGGAAGTTTGCTGATTGTTTTCTGCTTCTTATGTGTCCTGGTGAAGTGGTAAGCTGACTCGTGGGTCAAGAAGACTACTTCGTTCACATGACACTTCTTTGCGTTCAAGATCATCCAAAAGACAGGCCTACAATTTCGCAAATCATTTATATGTTGAGTTACGATCATGCTCTCCCGGTTCCGAAACGAGCAACGTTCACAAATGTTTTAAACTGCAATCAGGGGTTAGTGCCGTCTGACTACGTGTTCTCTATTAATGAAGCAACGCAATCAACTGATACAAGGAAGATGAATAGTAACAATATTTGGTAGTCTGCGTTAGCTCAGCCAGAGAGCTTTGATCACCGAAGTGTGTGATTCCTCTGTTTTTCTATCTGTTGGCTTGCTCTGTTTTCGTTGGGGTTTATGTCTACTGTCTAGCTTTCAAGTTTAAACAAACATTGAGAGTTATTTTCATGAAATGTATAATGAATATAGTCCTTTGTATATATAACAAGAAAAGTAGGTGAAATAATTTACTCGGAATGAATCATTGTAAATTGGGAACGTATACAATGCCCACGTACCTTACAAAGTACAAACATTAATTTTGACATGCTACATGTAAAATACATGAATTGTCTAGAAATTGAGTATATTTTAGAAGATCTCGCTGTATCTTTAAACAATGACTTGAAAAGTAGACAAGTGAAAGTAAAAAAAAAAAAAAAAAAAGGAAATTGAGCCAATAAAGACATTAACACTTGGCCAACTAACCTCCACCCGTCTCTGTTTAATTCTACAGAGAGTAATTAAAGACTCAGAGGCTTCTCTGTCTATTGACACGGACCAACTAGTATAAGATATGGGTTTTACGAATACTCATTGTAACTTTTAGATTCTCAAATTTTACCTGTAAAAATATACTTCCTCTTGTTTATACTTTTGTATTCTTTCACAAAATGTCATGTTATAAGTTTTCGATGTAAATTTTATTTTTGTTACTATGAAAAATAAAATATATTTCTAATTTGTAATTTTAACTATTAACTTCTATCATCTTTCTTTGCAATTAATTCTCTTCTTTAAATAGGAACTTCACTAGGATAGATAAACTAAACAGAGAAATGAGGTAGCTTCTATGTTTGTGTTAGACGACATTTAAATATATCAACTAGTATTTATTTTCTTCTCAAAAAGCTAAAACCTAAACTAAGCGACAAAAAAGTCTATAGCTAAGAAGACTTGACGCTTGCAAATATATAAGATAAAATAAGTTTGCATCCCCCTAATTAATGTTGCCCAAGAAAATATGCGATGACTAATGTGTCCCCTATGAACATATATATACCTTAAAGATATATCATTATGGAAAACACAACTAGCTAGATCAAGATTTCACAAAAAGATAAACAGATCTTTAATACTGTCATACTGAAAATTAAGTACAATTAGGTTAAAATCTAATCATATAGTAGTAAAAGATATACCAATTATATACAGTATGAAGTAAATGCACACAGATGACAGATGGTTGGTGAGACCAATTACTAGTTGGCAGATTCACTTCACCACCCATACATATACTTTCTCTATATAAGAACCCTAAAACCCCTATTCACTATAAACTTGCCCAAAACTCCATCTGACATTCTTCTTTATATCTCTCCCATCTCCCTCTCTTCAAATAGTAACAAACATGGATCTTACCGACGTTATCATATTCTTGTTCGCTCTCTATTTCATCAACCTATGGTGGCGCCGGTACTCTTCAGCCGGAAGGAGTCAGTGTCGTTTGAACATCCCGCCGGGACCGAAAGGATGGCCACTAGTCGGAAACCTACTCCAAGTCATACTCCAACGTCGCCATTTCGTCTTCCTAATGCGTGACCTACGTAAAAAGTATGGTCCAATATTCACCATGCAAATGGGACAACGTACGATGATTATCATCACGGACGAAAAACTCATCCACGAGGCACTAGTCCAACGTGGCCCCACATTCGCTTCCCGGCCTCCGGACTCGCCCATCCGACTCATGTTTAGTGTCGGGAAATGCGCTATAAACTCGGCGGAATACGGATCTTTGTGGAGGACTCTGAGGAGGAACTTTGTGACAGAGCTAGTGACCGCGCCGAGAGTGAAGCAGTGCTCGTGGATTCGGACTTGGGCTATGCAGAATCATATGAAGAGGATCAAAACGGAGAATGTTGAGAAAGGTTTCGTGGAGGTTATGAGCCAATGTAGGCTAACGATTTGTAGCGTCTTGATCTGTCTTTGTTTCGGTGCCAAGATCAGCGAGGAAAAGATTAAGAACATTGAGAATGTTCTCAAGGATGTTATGCTTATAACTTCACCGACGTTACCTGACTTTTTGCCAGTTTTTACTCCGTTGTTTCGGCGTCAAGTAAGAGAAGCGCGAGAGCTGAGGAAGACGCAGCTCGAGTGTCTCGTGCCACTGATAAGAAACCGTCGTAAGTTCGTTGATGCAAAGGAGAGTCCTAATGAAGAGATGGTTAGTCCGATTGGTGCAGCTTATGTGGATTCTTGTTTGGTTTGAACCTGATCGAGAGAGGTGGTGAGCTTGGAGATGAAGAGATAGTGACGTTGTGTTCGGAGATTGTCTCGGCCGGTACGGACACGAGTGCAACGACGCTAGAATGGGCTTTACTTCATCTAGTGACCGACCAAAGCATTCAAGAGAAGCTATACGAGGAAGTTGTTGGAGTTGTTGGCAAAAACGGCGTCGTTGAAGAAGATGACGTGGCGAAAATGCCTTATTTGGAAGCCATTGTGAAAGAGACTCTCCGACGACATCCTCCTGGTCATTTTCTTCTCTCTCACGCCGCCGTGAAAGATACGGAGCTAGGAGGGTACGATATTCCGGCAGGGGCATATGTGGAAATTTACACTGCTTGGGTTACTGAGAACCCGGATATTTGGTCGGATCCTGGTAAGTTTCGACCCGAAAGGTTTTTAACAGGTGGGGACGGTGTTGATGCTGACTGGACCGGGACACGTGGTGTTACAATGTTGCCTTTTGGTGCGGGTCGTAGGATCTGCCCGGCTTGGTCTTTGGGGATTCTACACATCAACTTGATGCTTGCTAGGATGATCCATTCGTTTAAATGGATCCCGGTTCCGGATTCTCCACCCGACCCGACTGAGACTTACGCCTTCACGGTGGTGATGAAAAATTCTCTCAAAGCCCAAATCATGTCAAGGACTTAATGGATATGTTTAGTTTTTGTATGCGTGTGGGGTTATTATAAGTTATAATTCCTTAGTACGTTACATTAATCTTTGCAATTTTTAATGTTGTTTATGTGCTATCTTTATCTATTTTCAAGGAGTGTAAAATATATATATAATCATATGCTGTTTCGGTTGGTTTATGTGTTTGTAGGTATAATTGTTCATTAATTACATGAAGTATTAATGCAACAATAATATATTTGTTGTAACTTATAAAGCGTTGTAGATATTTGTGTGGATAGTCTAGTCAAGTCTAGTCAAAAGAGATTTAATATTTAGATTCTATTTTCGATTTATTTCAATTATAAGTATATCTTGTACCACGACGAAATGTGGGTAAATCTGACGCAGACCTTTAAAAATTTAAATGAAATTGTCAGTAGTAAGGTGGACACTTAAATTCCACCCAAATATGTTGGGGCTAGCCAAGTAGTACGGTGAACGACATTAAATAACTTCGATCAAAACTCAAAAGAAAATACTTTTTAAAACCTATCATAAATGTATAGTTGTACACACAGTGAACTATATATATATTCGTTAAAAATACATATTTCACTGGGAGAAGTTGAAATTGTTTTTTGGCCACCGACAATTACAGTAAAATTGAGAGATGAATTCTTACTATAATACTATAATCAATTATTAGTTGTTCATATAATAACGAACAGGCAATAGTAGTAGTTCACCGATTGTCTTAAAATTGCAAAACATTCACACTGATCATTAAAATGGTTAAGGAATGATGGATCTAAAGTTTCTAAATATATGAGTATGTAAAAAACGAATGTGAAAACTGAAAAGTAAGTAAAGTTTGTGTGTTGGCCTCACTTGGTGAATGAGTGGGCAGTATCTTAATTTACAGAAACATGAATTTTCTGACCTTCCAAGCCTGTCATTGGGCCAACCGTGCATTAATTTTTGAGCAAAATCATATGCCGAAGATTATTTTTTTCCCGACAACTCTTGAATTAGTAATAATTTTTTTGGTAAAAGGTTAAAAAAAAAAGTAATAATTTTGGTTCAATATTAACAACAGTTTTGAATATTATTAAGTTTTCAGAAAAGAAAATCCCATTTCAAATTTGTATTTTAAGCAAAGTTCATATTATCAAATTCCCTTAGTTTTAACTTTTAACCATGCCACATTATCTAGCTTGACTTGCAAACTGCAGACATAGGTGATAAAAATGGAAATATTGTTTTCTTTCCCTTTTTAACAAGAATTAAATTTTGAAAATTGGTCGGCCCTAAAAGTTTGAATGAGTATTCAGAAAGTTGTTTTCTTCAAGAAAAAACTTATTTAATTCATGGTGGGCAGAAATTATATATTAACATCTCGACTTTGAAATGAACTCAGAATTTATAATTATACAGACCCACACCGGCTATCTTCTTGTTCTCGGTGCAAGATCTATAGACATTATTTTATATATCATAAGTTTACTTTTTTGTAACATCTGATTTTATTAATAAGAACTTGCGTTGCATTGTGTGTGTTTATCTATCATAAAGTTATATGTGATTAATCCAAAGTTAAAATCACCTTTAGATAATTTAGTTGTTTAGACTTTAATTTCTTATTCGATTATAGTTAAAATCCGCGTAATCTTGTTTATAAGATGGGAATAAGATTCTGAAATAAAAAAATTAGACAGTGAAATATGTGGATCTATGGATTTATATTGGGCCTAAACCAGATAATTGGGCTTTAACATTCTAGTTTTGTGTCATATTAGGGTTTCCCAAGGCTTGCATGAGGCACCATCACCTAAATTTTGTGAAGTGTAAAAAATCCTCAAAATCAGACGACGATAGCGATGGAGCTTTCCTCTGATATGATAGAGGAGATACTCTCATGGGTTCCATCTAGATCTCTTTCACGATTAAAATCCACCTGCAAGCCTTGGGAAACCCTAATCACAGAGCCAAGATTCATCAAGAAGCACTTGTCACACATGCGTGGCCGTGAGCAACAATTCACTGTCTTCAACAACGTTTCCAGTTCCGAAGTTTCTAACTTGTCGAGTTCCACAGTTTCTTGTGTTGGTATCGATTTTGACGAACTCGAAAACCCTTGTTTGAATTTGCAGGTTTTTCAACCAATTTCGACCTCAAATATATTGGTACAGAACATGTATCTGGTTTATTGTTGTTTATCATGAGATCCAAAAAGCTTTTAGCTTTGAATCCTTTGTTGAAACAAGCGAGATGGATCGAATGTGGCTATGGTACTGACAAGTTAAAGGATGTGTATGGATATGGTCTTGGATACATTAGTAACCAATCATCATCAAGTCATTGTGATTACAGAATCGTTAGGTTTCGTTGCGAGTTTTGTAATGTTGGCAAATCAAGAATTGAAGTTTACGAATTCAGCTCTGATTCTTGGAGGGTTGTTGTTGATAAAAGCTTTGATGGGTTTTTAGAGTTACCAGAGTCTAGTGTGTGTTTGAGAGGAACTCCTTATTGGTTAGGTTATCTAAATGGTATACCTTATGGGACGATACAGAGTTTCGATTTCTCTAAAGAGAGATTTGAGTCTTTGTTTCTTCCACCTTCATGCGTTGTGTCTGAGAAGTTGGAGAATTCTCTTTCTTTAGGAGTTTTCCGAGGACATCGACTTTCGTTGTTACATAAGTCCCGAGCAACAAGTAAGATACATTTGTGGGTGATGAAGAAGCATTGGAGTAGGTTGATGACAGTTGCTCTACCTGAATTTTCCATGTGTCCTAAGTATTCAAGTTACTTCATTGAGAATAATGGTAAACTTGTGCTATCTATTCGTCACCTAGGGTCTATTAGTATTTACATTGTTGGAGAGGATCAAGAATGTCAAAAAGTTAAATGTTCTTCTATGGAACCTTCAATTGGTGGTTCTGGTTGCTACTATGTTCCGAGCTTGCTTCCGGTTCCCGGTTTTCTCTAGAAGAAGGTCAGGTAATTTTTAGAAGAAAGATTTCTGACTAAGGATTCCAGGAAAAAAGAGTGGGATAACATGTTATGAGTTTGAATCTGATTCAAAGAATGATTTCATGGCTTTTCTTGTTGTTGTTGGGTTTTGTCACTACATTTTTCCCATTTGAATATGTGTTATTTTCTCTTTTTAATGAAGAAAGAGTATGCAGCTTTCATGGAGACTGTTTCTTGGAGTGGCTCAAAAGTATGTATATATGTAAACCAAATATATATATATATATATGTGTCTAAGTACATATATAATAAATACACAACATGTTCAAGAATGTTATGAGAAATTTGACAGTTACAAATACTTCCTATTTCGTGGTTAGGAAATTATTTAGGATTTCTATTTTGTTATTTCTTTTTCTCATATTTTACTTTTACGTTATATTATAAGTAGGGATGAGAATTCGTTTATGAGACTCATCCAAGCAATAGAGAGCTTTGAAGATTTTGATCAAGTTAGGCCTAGGGAAAGAGAAGATAGCTCTTTGCTTGCTCTGTTATTGTTTCTGTTTTCTACTATTTTAATAAAAAGAGTTTTTACAAAGGCATTATGATTACAAAGTCGTAAAGTTTAGTAACCAATCATCAAGTCATTATGATTACAAAGTCGTAAGGTTTCGTTGTGATACTGTCAGAATTAATGATCCATCATATCATTATCAAAAAAAAAAAAAGATTCATCAAATGTTGAAGTCTACACATTCAAATCTGATTCTTGGAAGGTTGTTGATGAAAACTTTATTGGGTTCTATGGATTACCATTGTCAAGTGTGTGTTTGCGAGGAACTCCTTATTGGCTAGGTTACAATAAGAATGATAATCAACTCATGTCGTTACAGAGTTTCGATTTCGTAAAAGAGAGATTTGAGCCCTTGTTTCTTCCTCCTCGATCCATTGGGTCATGTAATATGGAAGCGTGTCTTTCTTTAGGAGTTTTCAAAGGAGATCAACTTGAAATTACTATATGTGTGCTAGATCTATACGTTTGTATGATGAGAGAGTGTAACGAGTTCGTATGTGCATAAAGTAAATGAGACACAAGAGATTTGTTAACGGGGTTCGGTTAACCTACATCCCCGGGACCAAGTCCAGAAACCATTCACTAGAAAAGGCCGCAACCTACAATTGCTATATGGTATCCACCACTCTTTTCTAGAATTACAATGAAAGAAAACTACTACTCCTATTGTCTTTTCCGACGAGTATAGCTTCTCAACAAAACCATCAAAAGATCTCTCTATCTTGTTGATGGGGCGACGTCACACACATGTGTGCCTCTCTCGATAAACCCTAGACGCGCAAGTCTTCATGTTGCCGTCTCTTGGTATTTATATCAAGTGCCAAAAACCCTAGACGACTTAAGCCACACTTCAAGTCTCTACAAGCAATTGGGCTTAACTTGAACAATGGCCCACGACCCACGTGGCCTTTTTTGCTTTCACGCTAGAAAGACTCAATCTCGATCTTGTTCCAACAGCTTCAATAGTGTTCCAACAATATCTGCACTTTCAATCTCTCCCTTCTTAACTGAGTTTTATAACTCAAGCTCACCATGTCAAGCACGCATACTCATCAATAGTCATGATGTAAAAGCTCTCCCTTAATCATATATCATCTTGCTACTATTCTGTTCAAGAACTATCTCAATCTCCCCCTGCTTGGTTGATAAAACTCTGTTAAAACACTAAGTGCAGAATCAGCTTAATCATACCTATTGGAGCATACTCCTCAATCAGAATTGCCTTCCCTTTTGAGCTCTACAATGATTTTCCTCCTCCTGAGCCTGATTGCACAAGAACCTCAAAATCAAATTTGAGATACCAATCTTTGCTCTCTAAATTGTTAGTTCCATCCAGAAAGCTTAGTCTTTATCAGCAACATGGTCAATGGATTTAAAGAGCTAATCATCATAATCAAGCATCTTGTGCAAAGTACAAATCAAGGATCCTCCTTGCTTTAATATCTTCACCTTTCTCTTCTTTTGCAAATTTCTCCTGCTTAATTGACAACCAAAGTCAACACCCATTAAGTCTTTACATCTTCGTCAACAGATGGGCCAGAATAAAAATCCCACGAAGATATCCATTCTCAAACCAAACATGCATTGGTAAAATTAACAAACCAAGCTCCATTAATCAAATCGTTCATATGAGCAGCTACACGGCGGATGACACTCCCCCTACACCATTGCATCACATTCTCCCCCTGAGTTTTACAGCTCAATCATACATAACCAGCATCCTCCAGTATCTCCCCCTGAT